CGCATTCTGATTGGTTTACATAACAATGATCGATAGTAGGACGAGTCTTCTTACGGTTACGGAAAGGGACGAGTGGTGACGAGTGAATTGTTCAAGGGAGACGTGACACTCAACAATGTTTTTTTCAGCTATGTGACGACTGTCTGTAAATAAGTCAGTTTGGACAAACCAAATCAGTTATTGACATGAACAACGATCCACCCGTTAGCATCTGATGACACGAAATCAACTCATCAACATGCGATCCATTTAATCGCCTCGTACGACCTTCATAGGTGAGGTGAGGTGAAATTAGGTTTAACGTCGCGTCCAAGATTGTTGCACTTATATAGCGACGTGCATGTACCTATGTGTGGCTGCTTGTACTAGTCCGGACTGATGCCGATTAATAGTGCTAGCACACTGAGATACCATGCTGCAGTTTAACATGAATGCCCAACTCAGACACAATATACTGACTCCGAGCCGACCAGTCCTTGTTTTATACCCTTAATGCCGAGCGCCAGACAGGATAACAACAAGTACCATCTTTTAACGTCTTTTGGTATGACGCGACCGGGGATCGAACCCCGGACCTTCCGCTCTCCGGGCGGACGCTCTACCTCTAGACCACGGAGGCGGTCTTGTGGGAGACAGAGTACATTCTCTAGTAGATATGCCACTGCCTACCCCCTCTAGTATGCGAACGACGCAAAATACCACTTGGCGTTGACTGGTCATAGTTACTGACTGTACTTGAAGTCTCTCACTCCCAGATATCGTGGAACGTTCTAGGATCATGGAACGAGGACATCTATGTTTTGTTATCAGCAGATATCTGGCCCCCTTTTGTATTAGACCCCCTTAGATGTCACCGAGTGAACATGGTCAGGACCTCATACAAACTGGGCCATTGAAAAACGTTTCCCTTCATTTCTGATGCTGAATCCTTAACTTGATGTCATTTACACGAACCGGTTGTCGGGATATGGTAAGTGAATGAAGGAGACACCCGGTGTCAGCACTAACTTTCGGTCATCCATTCATTGAACATTAACCGCTATTTTGCCTTTTACGAACAATCTGTTTCGTCGGATATCCGAGACTGGTTATCAGTTGGTGTTGACGTATATTATTTATCAAATACTGAAATGTGTAATAATGCACTCAGTCTGTTAAAAACCTCAATGATGGTAAGTTGGTTGGTTGGTTTGTTGTTTAACGCCGCACTCAGCAATATTCCAGCTATATGACGGCGGTCTGTAAATAATCGAGTCTGGACCAGACAATCCAGTGATTGATATCATGAGCATCGATCCACGCAATTGGGATCGATGACATGTATCAACCAAGTCAGCGAGCCTGACCACCCGATCCCGTTAGTCGGCTTTTACGACAAGCATAGTCGCCTTTTACGACAAGCATAGTCACCTTTTACGGCAAGCATGGGTTGCTGAAGACCTATTCTACCCCTGAATCTTCACGGGTCCAGTGATGGTAAGTATATATCTATGTTGACTGTACATGTTTATGTAACCGAAATACTTGTATATATGGCTGACGTACATGGATATATAAAAGTTTGTGGTCGGGTTTTGCGATAAAGGTGCGAATTATCCGTTGATTACTTGGATAAAATTGGCAGAAAAATTGCGAATAACTCGCGCTTAATCCTCGAATGATTTAATCCATTGTCTCTTAACGTTAAAATCATGATCATTATAGTACTTTTTTTCATGACGTTATAACAATTTAATACTTTATCCAATCACAAACTAGTATCTTATATTATTTCAAACATTTTGCCTTTTTTTCGATTAAGACGTCTAGAAATATCTTCATTGAAAGATAATGTTAATATTTTATGTAGTCAACACAACATAGTTCGTTTATTTGAATGCGAGTTATTGATGGCAGGTTACCGTGGTAACTGTATCTCACAAATTAATATATACGGAGTGATTAATGCATTTAGTAGTATATCTTGTTACGCCCATTAAGTGTCGGTCTGTAAAGAACAAGTTGTCCACCCATAGACCTGTCTTCTCAACCTGCTAACAGCTCTAATAACAGACAGCATCAAAGCTGATAGATGGACAATGTGGAGAGAGAAAATATACAAAAGTTTGTACACCCACACAATGAGACACGCATAATAAAACACCAGAGCTACATATGTTTTAAACTTGAAATATCAATATTTTACAAAACTGTTATCAATTAAAGCATAATTAAAATCGGCGTAATCCTGTTTTAGGATTTTGAAAAAGTATGGTTCCAGGGAAGGACTGAAATCAGTATAATATTATTAATAACTTTGAAGGTTAGGTGAGGTGAAATTGGGTTTAACGTCGCGTCCAAGATTATTGCACTTATATAACGACGTGCATGCACGTGTGTGTGTGTGTGTGTGTGTGTGTGGCTGCTTGTACTAATCCGGACTGATGCCGGTTTAGAGTGCTAGCCCACTGAGATACCATGCCGCAGTTTAACATAAATACCCCACTCAGACACAGTATACTGACTCCGAGCCGACCAGTCCTTGTTTTAGCCCCTTAATGCCGAGCGTCAGACAGGTTAACATCAAATACCATCTCTCCGGGCGGACGCTCTACCACTAGACCACGGAGGCGGTCAATAACTGTAAAGATTGCGATGTTACATTTAAAATATACTATCACTTTTGGCCTCAATGGTACGCAGTTTAGTCAAAAGATTTGAGGAGCAGTAAAAAGTGTCGGAAACTGAACGGATGCAGATGATGTTTTTTTTTTTTTTTAAAATGATGTCAATTTAAATGGAAAACCATATTGTTGAAGAGACCTGGATGGTTGTCCATTTTACAATGGTAGAGTTTTTCCCCGTTGTATTGCATTGTTGAAGTCACTGATTTATCTAAACTAAACAAAACTAAACAAAACAAAACAAAACAAAACAAAACAAAACAAAACAAAACAAAACAAAACAAAACAAAACTAAACTAAACTAAACTAAACTAAACTAAACTAAACTAAACTAAACTAAACTAAACTAAACTAAACTAAACTAAACCAAACTAAACTAAACCAAACTAAACTAAACAAAACATGTTAGCGTTATTATCAGTGCAAGAAATTACTCAGTATTTCTTAAGTAGTAGGTCGGGTAGCCTAGTGGTTAAAGCGTTCACTCGTCACGCCGAAGACACGGGTTCGATTCCCGACATGGGTACAATGTGTGAAGCCCATTTCTGATGTCCCCCGCCGTGATTTTGCTGGAATATTGCTAAAAGCGGCGTAAAACCATATTCACTCATTCACTTTAGTAGTATTTCCCCGGATAGCAGGAATTACGTTTTTTATGGCAGGTGTAGTATTCACTTTGACACGTCTATAAATGAAGCATCGTGTTTAAGCGTTCAGGTATATTATTTGTTTAAAGATGTTAGTATATTATCACGAGATAGACCAGAAAGGAGACTTGATAAATAAGTATTTGGGTCAAAATATCGCTGTCCGCGGGAAGGCAGCTATTTAAAACGTCACCTTTCAGTACATGCCAGGGTTCATTGGTGACACATCAAAAACGCCGTAATTAGCTTTGCAGAGTTAGGCACCTTAGTCTACCGGGATCTGCTGATCGTAGATGAGCCACGATTATGATCCTCGGATTGCCAGCACTACTACTACTGTTTGTATCACGTTTAAACGGGGGGCACAGGTGGCCCAGTCGTCTAACGCGAGGTGTTTCGCTTTGCAGAGTTGCGTCCCTGGGCACGCCAGAAACCTCTAATTGTGGGTTCGAGTCCCGGTTCGACCCGATTATGTATTTAGGTTTGTCAGCACCATACCCGTGCTCGTGGGTTTCACCGAAGTGGTAAACGTCTGAGACCTGCATCACTTCGGGCTTTTCTCCCACATTAAGCTGAAACGCCGTGATATAACTGGAATACTGTTAAAAGCGGCGTTAAACCCAACTCACTCACGTGGAAATGAATTAATATATAATTGAAGCAATATTTAAATTGGTGTTACAAAGCAACTCGCATATTAGTACATTCCGTCCCATGTTATAGCAAATGTCGACTCTGACTGATAATCCTGTCAAGCCACTTACTGTATCATGCCAAACTATTTGTTCGATTAAACTGACCGTGGTATAACGGGGATTGATTGAGTACAAGCCTAGTTAACACCTCATATAACATACATCAAGGAATATTAAAACTGACTTTGTACGGCTTACGATAAAATCCGACTAATCGTTTAAACGACGTAATACATGTACTTATATACACAGTATATCAGCAGGATTTTTTAACGACTGTTACGACACAGGCAAGTGATCGCTATCAATGATCTTGAGATACCAACCTGAAAGGTCAAGGTCACAACTCCGGCCAACATCCGGGTTACTCAAACTAGACGTTAGTGTATATATACCAGCGAGAATAAAGGTCACACCATGACGCTGACACCGGGTTATCTGTTACTCAACAGAGACAAAGACGTCTCGTCGACTCGAGGATGTTGTCGGCAATCCCCATGTTGTTCCATTCGACCACGACACCACAGTGACAGGATATATAATTTTACTGTCTAAAAGCATGCAAGCCTTTTTCCTGAAAGACGGAGTAGAATCCATCATGTTAAGTAGACAAGTTATAATTTGTGGATTAACTCTAATGGATAAAATACGTTTTGAATATTTTTTTATTCAACTTTTATCCTTAAAAGATACCCTGGACCCTTTTCCCCCAGAATATCGACTGGTCTGCCCCAATGATGTGTTCTTACTCCTTCATATTTTCTTTGTTAATTATACTTATTAACTGAGTGACGTTTTATGCCGCATATTTCAGCAATATCAGGGCAGTGGGACTCAAGAAATCGGCTTCACACAACGTACCCATGTGGGGAATAGAACCAGGTCTTTTTGCGTGCCTTACCAACACTTTAACCACTGCGCTAGCTACCGTCCCTGAATAATAGAGTTGACTTAATGATTAAACTGCGACTGACGTTTTCTGGCAACACCCCACCCTGGTGATAGGGGATTGTGGGGGACTGGATGTAGGTAGGACATCTATATACTTATCATTGACCCAGTTTGTCTCAGTGACCACTGAATGGTATCAGGGGACACAAGGTCAATCTCGGATAGCTTCATAACTGATTCCGTTCAAAAATAACAGCTGTGATCATATGGTAAGTGTTTTATCCGCTAATGACAAGTCCACATTACAGATGAGATTAGTTGGTCAGTTGACTCGGGCCAGTTGGCAGTTGATTTAAGTCAATCCAGAATCTCGTTTTGTGTGACTGCTCCCTCACATTTCATTATACAGATCAATAATAGCAGTTCATGATTACTCTACATTGTCAGTGTCTCAGTTTCATATTGGGCGATAATTATCGCCTGGGCCTCGGCTGGAAATAGGCAGCCATGCTAGGGTATAGTCTCCCTTTAACCTTGACATGATCGTATTTATCTACACGGAGAATACGTATATATGTTACAGCCAATGCCTGAATCAGTCACTTTTCAAAGTGACTGAAATTTCAGACAATATGTTAAAAATAAGTGATTTACTCAGTCAATCGACAATTTGAATTTAAAAAGCCTGGTCATTAGACAAATTTACTGAAATATTAAGATGATTTTATCGCAGATTGACTGATTTTCCTTCCAAGAAGGTCAGGTTCAATCAATTTTATTGGTTACTGGGATACGAAATTTGGTATTTCTGTATAATATTTGGAAAACATAAGGTAAAGATGAAACAGTGTCAGTAGCATTGTCACCTGTGAAGATCCGGGTTAGAATTGACCTTCAGCAACCAACGCTTGTCGTAAGAGGCGACTAACGGGATCGGGTGGCCAGGCTCGCTGACTTGGTTGATGCATGTCATCGTTTCCCAGTTGCGTAGATCGATGCTCATGATGTCAATCACTGGATTGTCTGGACTCGAGTATTTACAGACCACCGTCATATAGCTGGGATATTGCTTAGTGCGGCGTTAAACAAACAAACAGTAGCGTTGTCACTCATCATGCTGTCAACATGTTCTTGTTGTCACAATGCAGTCCTTCTATTAAGGGGGCGGTCGGGCAGCCTAGTGGTTAAAGCGTTCGCACGTCACGCCGAAGACCCGGGTTCGATTCCTGACATGGGTACAATGTGTGAAGCCCATTTCTGGTGTCCCCCGCCGTGATATTGCTGGAATATTGCTAAAAGCGGCGTAAAACCATACTCACTCACTCACTCCTTCTATTAAGCCTAGTTTTACACACTGGGAGATAGGGGCAACAAGTTTATTGTTCTGTACTACTACTACTACTCATCATCATCATCATCATCATCATCATCGTCATCACGAAGAATCACGAAAAATCATGTCAGACAATACATCACACCACCTTCGACTTGGCAGCGCTTTCTGGAAGAAGTCCCATTCGCTGTCTGGACTGCGTGTAGAGGGGGCAAGGACCCTGAGCAGATGCTGCGCCTAACCAGCCTGACCGTGCCAGGATAACCACAACCCTATTTGCTGCATTTTATATTTTAATCTATATATATACACAACGAAAAAAGTTAAGCACATCCCTATTTCTGAACCATGACAAATGGCAAAAATCATGGCATGGGATGACTAACCACAGGAGCTGGGAGATACCAATGTCATCGGAAAGAACATGTCAAACATTTGACAACAAATATAAGAGAAGATATTGGTGAGTTGTGATTGAAATTGACTGACAAAATCATCATGGTAACACAGGTACTGTTTTTGACCTTCGACAATACCTAAAAAAGTATGGAGCTGCAGGATGCAGTAAACGAGTTACGTTTGATGTTACATGTGAAAATGTTTCTTAAAGTCTCTACTTGACCTGACACGTCAAACAGATCAGTAGCGGGTATAACCGCCGGATGACGCATTCCACCCTACGTCTCATGCCTCCAGTCAGACGTTTGATCTGTTGATGGGTCAACAACAACCACTCCTGATGCAATGCTGCTTCCAATTGGCGTAAATCTTGTACAGGAGGATCTCGTGCCTGTATGCACCGTCCCAGAATATCCCAAACATGTTCAAGGGGGTTCAAATCTGGGCTCACTGCTGACCAGGGTGGAATCATTATTGCATTGGCCCTCATGTAATCCATGACTGGTGGCGAACAACGAGGCCTGGCATTGTCTTTCATTTACTGAGGTCTTGTAGCAAGAGGGTGGTTGTCAAAATGAGGAACGACGACTGGCCCCAAAATGTCACGGATGTACTGAAACCGTGTTAAGTTGCCCCCTGTGGTGACTACATCCAACCTGCAGTCATGAGAGATACACCCCCAAACCACTACCGAGCCCCCGCCGTATGAAACAGTCGGTTTAATGTTCCTTAGGGGTGAAGGCCGTGTTCCGGAGCCTCCAAACACTCGTTCTTCCATCAGTGACGTGGAGCAGAAAGCGACTTTCGTCTAACCAATGGATCCGTCTCCAAGTTCTCAGATTCCAGTTCTGTCGCGCAATACATCATGCTAAACGAGCAGCTTTGTGGTGATCTCTCAACAAGGGACGCTTTATGACTCGTCTAGCCCTCAGTCCTACTGCTTTCAGCCGGTTCCTGACGGTTCTGGTGCTGAAACGACGATTGGGCAACCACAGCTGTTTCAGGCGAGTTCTTGTTAGAAAGGCTTCTCGGCGTATGAGACGAAGAAGGTCCCTGTCTTCGCTATGTGTCGTCACAGGAGGTCTTCCGGATCTGGGACGGTCCTGTACATCACCGGTCTGAGCATGTGTCTCGACTAAACGACTTACGACAGTGTGATGATACCCCAAATTCCGACCAATGGCATTACAAGACATTCCTGCGTTATGCATGCCGATTATTTGCCATCTTGTGGCTTTTGATAATCGCCTTCGTGCCATGGTCACACAATGTCACGGAATAACTGTTTAAAACCGAGCTTAAGAAAGCAATTTTAACTTTTGGATGTACTGCTTTTAGAGATACTCGAGGTTAGCATGCTGCACGGGCATACTATGTATGGCACTTGAGCTTTCGTCACGCATGACGGATTACATCATCTCGAGAAAACATAATTCTTCGTGTAATTATATCTTTCATGATTATTACAAATTTGGGACCAAACAATAATGAAATATATTTAGGTGAGCTTAACTTTTTTCCTTGTGTATATATCAGGATATGTCATGGCCATTCTTTTATTCCTTTGCTTTTCTGTTTGGCACAAAATCCTTGAAGTGTTTTTGCTCAACTAAGAGGAAGGTTATCATCACAGATCCCCAACATCCCTTACGCACCTCCTTTACATGGATGACCTCAATAAATTGATCATTAATCAATCAATACGTTATAAACCGATGCATGAATACCTCGTTCATTTGTATTCAAAAGAACCCGCTTCATACTGAACTCACGAACACAGTGAGTAGCGGGTAGGTGCCATGCGGGTGCCGGTGCCACATCCAACCACAGTTACTCGTGTTGAGGTGCAATGCGGGTGCCGGTGCCAAATTTAACCACAGTTACTGGTGTTGAGGTGCAATGCGGGTGCCGGTGCCAAATTTAACCACAGTTACTGGTGTTGAGGTGCAATGTGGGAGCCGGTGCCACGTTTAACCACAGTTACTGGTGTTGAGGTGCAATGCTGGTGCCGGTGCCACATCTAACCACAGTTACTGGTGTTGAGGTGCAATGCGGGTGCCGGTGCTGAATTTAACCACAGTTACTGGTGTTGAGGTGCAATGTGGGAGCCGGTGCTACATCTAACCACAGTTACTGGTGTTGAGGTGCAATGTGGGAGCCGGTGCTACATCTAACCACAGTTACTGGTGTTGAGGTGCAAAGCTGGTGCCGGTGCCACATCTAACCACAGTTACTGGTGTTGAGGTGCAATGCGGGTGCCGGTGCCACATCTAACCACAGTTACTGGTGTTGAGGTGCAATGTGGGAGCCGGTGCCACATCTAACCACAGTTACTGGTGTTGAGGTGCCATGCGGGTGCCGGTGCCACATCTAACCACAGTTACTGGTGTTGAGGTGCAATGCGGGTGCCGGTGCAACATCTAACCACAGTTACTGGTGTTGAGGTGCAATGCGGGTGCCGGTGCCACATCTAACCACAGTTACTGGTGTTGAGGTGCAATGCGGGTGCCGGTACCACACCCAACCACAGTTACTGGTGCAATGCCAGTGACACTAACATTAACACCATAACATCCAAATGTAAAAGAGTATGTTGATCAAATGGTTTATTTTATTAGCTAAGGTCACTATTCACATATTACTGTTAATCCCGTGTTGGTGTATGAACAGTGGACATGGTGATACACTACGATATAGTCTGCACAGCCGAGATTTACCATAAATATATTGTGGTTTACCTTAGTTTATTGTATACTGAAGATCATAAAAAAGTATGCCGATCAGTTTTTCAAAATGATTAAAAAAACACAAGCTACATTTTGATCCAAATGTTGTCTTGCGAAAGTATAATCTTTGCCGAGGTGGAAACTCAGATGAACACACTATAGACCATCAAGTGACATCATGACAGCACCCACACAGCACTAGGGGTAACATGGGCGATATCACAGTTTACACTTAGGGCGACATGTGAGTTAACATGATCTTGACAGTTACTAAATGAATGTCAGTGCAACAGCAATGCGTTTCATTATGAGCAGAGTCCGGGGAAGTAGTCATAACCTTCATCAGGAAAGGTGGTACAGAAGGCCCCGTCGTCCAAGGCGCCTCAATCCGCTGAGCAGAGTTGCGTCCCTTGGGCACGCCAGGAACCTATGATTGTGGGTTCGAATCCAGGTTCGCCCCGATTATGTTTCTAGGTTTGTCAGCACCATACCCGTGCTCGTGGGTTTCACCGAAGTGGAAAACGTCCGAGACCTGCATCACGGGATTTCCTCCTACATAAATCTGACATGCCGTGATATAACTGGAATTCTGTTCAAAGCGGCGTTAAACCCAACTCACTGTTAACACGAAGAAACAATTACAAGTCAATGTCCAATCTCGTAAATTCTAAAAATGCTGAAGCAATCATGTTGTCGTGTCCTTAAGCATGTACTCAATATTTGATCAAGCGATTGTGCTGTGGGTCATGAGGCCAAACACCGAACACAACTCTCTACTTTTACTTGGAAAGTATTTCTTCTGTTATCAGCAGGATTGCGGACGTAAAGACGATGCCTGACAACAACGTTGCACTACACAAAATGTCGGCCCTGGATAACCCGGGGTTCGAGAATGACAGCTCGGACTGTGAGAAAAACGGAAATGTAGGTAATCTATAAACCGAGTGGATAATGTTATTGAATCAAATTATTTTTTATCATCAATTTTTGGTCATAATCGATTTTTTCCAACCGATCAACCGTTGATTTGGAATGCAGTAAACTACGGTAATAACGAACTCAAAGAGGGCAGTAATTTAGTTCGTTAGAACCGTAGTTCGTTGTAAGCGTAAACAGCATATGTACAGCAAATGGCCGGGACAAAAAATAAGTTCGCTATATCCGTCACTTCGTTATAAGCGTGTTCGTTTTAAACGTAGTTTACTAAAGTTAAGTTTTTCGTCCGTATTTTTATGTACGTGTACGTCCAAGATTTTAATTGATTAGAATCATTTCATAAATGTTTTCATGACGACGATGAATCGGACGAGATACGTCTGCTGAGTGTGAAGCCCATTTCTGCCGTGGGGCGGTAAGGTAGCCTAGTGGTTAAAGCGTTCGCTCGTCACGCCGAGGACCAAGGTTCGATTTCCCACATGGGTACAATGTGTGAAGCCCATTTCTGTGTCCCTGTCGTGATATTGGTGGAATATTGCTTAAAAGCGACGTAAAGCCAAACTCACTCACTCACTCACTCACTCACTCTGCCGTGACATTAATGGAATATATATATAGCGCTATTAGTGTCGTAAAACAATATTCACTCATGTCGCTACCATGAAGTCTCACGTATTTATGCTTTGAAGTGACATTATTTTGTATAAATATGAACTTTAATTAAGCAACACCTGATTCAAAATCCAATTCAAACATATTGACAAGCCTTGATCTGAACCCAATTGAACACCTTTGGGATTACCTTGGTCGCTAAGTTAGAGGCAGAGACCCTCCAATTGAAAACTGAAAGAACTGACCCAGGCACTGCATCAGGGATTCCAGGGGATGAAGAGACGCCTCGCGAATGTCATCCGTGACTGCAGAGTTACTGGTGATTCCTAGGTTGACAATAATAGTTTTTCACTGCATCATGTGACATTCCGACTCGGGGGGTGGGGTGGGTCGTGTTTCCGTCAATGAATCACACCAGTAATTTATTTAATGTACATATTCATAAAAAGGTAGGCGGTGCTTAATTAAAGCTCATTGAAATATCTAAATTTAAAGCTTACAAACTGACAGACGGATAGGTTTATGTGCATTAAAGGCCACATGACCTAAAGTACAAAGGTGTTTACATCATAGTGTGAGTAACCACATGAAAATATACAAACTCAAATTAACAAAACTACTTATTAAGAGGAGTAGTCCTTAAAAAGACATATCTGGTGAAGTACATGGGGCATTTAAGTGACTAAAACTGCTTATTTTACCATTTAGGTAATAACCGCGTAAGTTCATCTTCATAATGTTTGCAAACATATGCACCATGAATTTCATCTTAAATTGCGTTACAATGTTCACACAGAACATTATCATCGGTTGTTGTTGATACACCCCTACGAAGATAATGTGTACCCAAAGAATTACAGCCAGTTCTAAACTATATTAATAGACGTTTGTACTCCCAGGGCATTTGAAGAGACAAATATTTTTAATAATCTAAAAATGATTTCTGAGTCTTAAAACACATTTACACATTTGAGTCGAAGGATGCGTGTCATTCTTGTAAAGAAAAGCTGTTCACTCTTTCTTTAAGAAATAGTACAAACTTCGATCATGTAAGTGAGTGAGTATGGTTTTAAGCCGTTTTTAGCAATATTCCAGCAATAGCACGGCGGGGGACACCAGAAATGGGCTTCACACATTGTACCCGTGTCGGGAATCGAACCCGGGTCTTCGGCGTGACGTGCGAACGCTTTAACCACTAGGCTACCCGACCGCCCCTCGATCATGTAAAGGATAATTTGTCTCTATAAAGCAACCCCACAACATGGTACCTTGTGAAACCATACTAAATCTGTAACCCATAGATGCATTGAGATTTCATCGAGATACGCATCTCTGTGTGTTACCCCAGATACCAGCTGCCCCCGAGGAGCCGGAAGACCGGGGTAACCTGTGTTCCCGGGGGGTGGGGACTGTACAGACAGCTGTGACGTCAGCCTTCACCAAGCATCAGAAGGCGGTGTGGATGGTGATCAAGTTCCTCATCATGGGCGGATACATAGGCTATTTCGGCTATGCGATGTATTACAGGTGAGTCAATGATGTATTACAGGTGAGTCAGTGATGTATTACAGGTGAGTCAGTGATGTATTACAGGTGAGTCAGTGATGTATTACAGGTGAGTCAGTGATGTATTACAAGTCAGTAAATGATGTATTACAGGTGAGTGATGTATTCCAGGTGAGTCAATGACGTATTACAGGTGAGTCAGTGATGCATTACAGGTGAGTCAGTGATGTATTACAGGTGAGTCAGTGATGTATTACAGGTGAGTCAATGATGTATTCCAGGTGAGTCAATGACGTATTACAGGTGAGTCAGTGATGCATTACAGGTGAGTCAGTGATGTATTACAGGTGAGTCAATGATGTATTACAGGTATTTCAGTGATGTATTACAGGTATTTCAGTGATGTATTCCAGGAAAGTCAGTGTTGTGTTACAGTAATTTCGCCGTATTGTGGCATTATTCAGCATTCTTTTAAACACACCCCAGCGGCATAAATCAGCATTCACTCGCACACTACCGCTCTGTGTTATTCCAGGTTTGGTGACGAGGGGTCCTACAGGCTGATGGTGGTCACGGTTCTCGGGGCTGTCATCCTGCTGTGGGGCTTAGGGGGAAGCTACGTCGTGAACGTCATCAACAGCTGCTACAGAGGTTGTGTGCAATACCACGGCAGGAATAGATGCCGAATATTTGGCATCTCTCTCAGATGGTAAGTTGGAAAATAACTTTCGAGTTCCGAAATTTGGAGTTTTCACTGCGTATGAATACTTTATAAGGGTCATGACCATGATTTTGGAAACGTGTGATGATTGCGATTTGAAAAATCTATTTGGTACGGTGGCCCATAAAGGACATCGAGTCTGTTTTTCCATATTTTGATGTTTCACTACCTTTTATCGTAACCTTTTGCAAATTAACACAATTTGTCATACAGATATGTGATAAATCATGTACATATAAAAACAACCGAAAACATGGAAAATGTACTTTCAAGTAGCTATTGAGTCGCTGAAATGTGAAGCGAAAATGTCAAAAACTAAAATGGAAATGTCAAAAACCAAAACGAAAATGACAAATAGTTTTCACCGCGGTGGAAATAGTTTTCTGTATTTTCCTTTCAGTTTTTGACATTTTCGCTTTTGTTTTTGACATTTTTCATTTTAGTTTTTGTCATTTTCATTTTAGTTTTGACATTTTCGTTTCACTTTTCAGCGATTCAATATCTTCTTTACACATGATTTATCACATATTTGTAAGACAAATCGTGTTAATTTGCAAAAGGTTGGGATAAAAGTAAGTGAAATATCAAAATACGGAAAAACAGACTCCATGTCCCTTATAAGCCACCGTAGTTTGGACCAATCCGAGTATGGTAGAATTCTCAATAATAAATCTGAAAACGCAACTGCACCGTTCATTCCAACAATAACTAAAAAATCCCATACCTATTGCTTATAAACTTATTTTGTAAATAGTCGATTTTATGTTGTCTCGTGGATGTATAATTCTGTTCATTCCGAAGCCATATTAATGGGTGTTAGACCTTTCCATTGTAATTCTACGGTAGTTTGTCGTCAAACCAGATCTCATGTTATTGTGGTATATGGGGGCACGGGTGGCACAGTTGAAGACGCGCTTTTGCTATGCAGAGTTGTGTCCCTTGGGCGGGTCAGAAGCCTATCACCGTGGGTTCGAACCCCGGAATCGTCCTGGTAAGGTTTGTCAGCACCATAACCGTGCCGTGGGTCTCACCAAAGTGGTAAGCGTCTGATACTTGCATCACTTCGGGAATTTCCTCCCACATTAAGCTGACACGCAGTGATATAACTTGAGTGAGTGAGTGAGTTGGGTTTAACGCCGCTTTTAACAGTATTCCGGTCATATCACGGCGTGTCAGCTTAATGTGAGAGGAAAGCCCGAAGTGATGCAGGTCTCAGACATGTACCACTTCGGTGAAACCCACGAACACGGATATGGTGCTGACAAACCTAGAAACATAACTGGGGCGAACCGAGATTCAAACCCACAATCATAGGTTTCTGGCAACTCTGCACAGCGAATCGCGGCGCCTTAGACGACTGCCCTCCCCCCACCCCCCGTGCCCCCGATATAACTGGAACACTCATTCATTCCTATTGCGGTGTCTGGGAACATAAACCGCGGTGAAGGTGAAAAAGAGGAATTGGGTGTAAGACTTCTCCCAGGGCCACATGTAACCTGTAAATGTATGTCCCTTTGAGACTGAGAAATGAAACATATTTGGAAAGAAATGTAGTCATACGCCATTGGCATTTAAAGGGGGCACGGGTGGCACAGTCGTCTAAGGCGCCGCGATTCGATGTGTAGAGTTGCGTCCCTTGGACACGCCAGAAACCTATGATGGTTCGAATCCAGGTTGGCCCCGATTATGTTTCTAGGTTTGTCAGCACCATACCCGTGCTCGTGGGGTTCACCGAAGTTGTAAACGGAAAAATACAGTGTTGATTGGTAATTTTAATCTACCAGAGGATAGTAATCTTAATATCAATGAATCTTTACATGACCTTTTTTTGCCAGACAATGCTTTTATTATATAATGCAAATATTACGAGATATCTGTTACAACTTTACTTACAAGTAAATGTAACTTTTAACAATATTCAGGATTGTGACACAATAAACTATTCTATTCTATTCTTAAGTTCTATTAAAAGCACTACTAATATTACTGTATTTCACCAAGGGCGTAAAGAGAAGTCCTTGATTTCACACAAGCCCAAGACTGAACGTGTGGTGTTTTAAATCCGTATTATCAAGTTTCAATGCCCCTATCAAACAATATACATTACGTAAACGCGACCCAATCTGGTGATATCGCCAAGGCGTGATATAAATGTATACAGTCCACTCGTAATACATCATCTGTTCGGTATTATGGGTTTGTTTTTATTTATTTCTTCTTGATAAGGTTGGGGATGGTCTTACTTGTATTACATTTACATATTGCTTAAATAACAAACACTTCATGAACCATCGTGGCTCTACCGAAATGTAACGAGAATGGAACTATTGACAAAACTGTTTCAGGAAATAATTAATCAAAGTATTGTTATATAATGAATTCCCATTCAATGAAAACAATGTTTTTGAATGCTTTGATATAATAACACTATTTCATGTCAATTTATATGAAATTAATAGAATAACCATGTCTGAAAACCTCAACTATAATCTATAAGTATGGCGCTGCTTCAAATGTGCTGAACCATAAATCAAAACCTACATTTACGTTTTTTTTGTTAAATGTGATATTTTAAGAATTACACTATATCCTATTTATTTCACGTCATACGCTGTTGTTGTTTTATATAGTTAATATCTTAATTATATATTATCTGTTAGTCTGTGAATGCTCTGACGTATCTAGCCCAACACATTATGGTACCTTTTACTACTTACTAATAACTTGAGAGCTGTACACATTAAAACAAAAGCCCAAATTAACTTTAAGTTGACCTACCTTTTGAGTTTTCTTCCTTTGTATCAACCGCTCCACACAGTACACTCCTGGAACGGTTACGGTGTTGGTAAATCTGGAAGATCGGTCGCAGCTAAGTGGTTCTCCTTCATGTAGTTTCTTCCAGTCCGTGTGGTTGCGTGCCCTCAAATCCATTCTCACTTGTATATCGTATTGGCAGTAATTGCTAAGATAACAAGACGATTACCAAAATGACCGATAGCGTACGCAACAGGCACATGCATAATTTTTTATGCATCGCGCTTGCTTTTATACATACCTTTGACACACTGAGGTGAAGTGTCATATTGACAGCAATCTCTCAAATACGTACAACAAACCATGCCTTGAAATTTAAATCTTAACGTCATGTGACGAATGTAGCATTCTTTATTTTCTGTTTAAATGTTAGTCAACTGAAAACATGTTATTTTTAGTACAGATTTATATTGGAAAATGTGTCCATTATTTTAATACGTGAAAGGATAAAACTACTTAAAACTTTTTTCAGTGATTTAGTTTACGATACTTATTTTACTGAACTATTATTTTTGGGTATGAACAGGTATAAAGTTTTAGATCTTGACATATGGATAGATATCAACTCGAATCCTAATATTCATACCGTCTTCCTTTCTATGTATTATACACGAGAGACAGGACGACGCCTCCCCCCAAATATAGGAAATGTTGTTAACAATAAGAAAATGTTAAGAAAGGCAAATTTTTATTACAAATTTTTCCAGTTAAATAACAAAGATTGACTTAAATTCCAATGCAGCTACGGATACTTTCGATATTTCCTCATCCCGATTTAATGTTATCTAACACAAATCCCTTCATTAATGTCCGGTCTTTGACAATGAGCTTAACGGTTTAACACCTGTTACATTGGGGAAACAAAAGATAAGGCAAGTAAAGGAAAGAGTCACACTACACGTGTGATTACAGGACGTTTCTCCCTCTCTTATCTACTCAAATGGCTTAATTAAATTGCATTAGTTTATCAAAACAATGTAATTAAAGGATATCCGATAGTTTTTATAGGCAAAATATAATTTGTTCCGTAATAGAAACTAATTCGGATGGAGGTTTCTTACAGTTTAAGAATTGTATATAACCAAAAAATTACTTTGAAATACAAACCAAAACAATTGCTCCTTCTTTGTCAAGACATTCAATTCTTGATAAAGCCAATGTAACATAGTATATTGATAATATCATTACAACATATTGTTATTCCATGACGGTGATGTTATCATTTGATAGAAATCCGTATCTAAACAAACAACAACAGTTTAACAAGTATTTGCGTCATACAACACGATATCTGTTAAACATATCGGATCATTACGGTTACATTTATAAATCATTAACATGTTTATAACCTTACAATTCGTAAAATAATATACCACTGAGTCAAGAATTGTTTATATAATTTTCAATAAGTAAAGTAGGGAATTTCTGAATAGAATTGCGCCATGACGACAAATAATTAAACACAGAGTACACTCATGATACGAAGCACCTGAAGACAGACATATAGATATATGTGACCCCTATTGACCGCTTGTACCTAGGTCCAAGGGAGCTAACCAGCCGGTGCCATAACTGACTGGAAAATATAGCAATCTCGAAAAATGTGTGTCATCTTTAAGCTTTTGTGGAAGAAACTAAGCATCCATATTTTTTGCTAAGTTTTGGAATAGTATCTGAGAAAGGTTTGATGAATAAGTAGATATGCGCGGAGTATATCTATGTATTATACTTAACAAGTTATACAGTGTCAAACTATGTGATAAATCTGACAATTCTTCTTTCATTATGGTAACAGCAAAGCATAACAACCCTCTACATTCGTTTCAAGATGGAAGCCATTTACGTCCAAGTTAAAAATATATAGAAAAATTCTTTAGAAAGCTTACGGTAAGTAGAATACATACATAGGCGGGGAGATACTGTAACTTATGTCTATTCTATTTTAAAAATTAAAAAAGAACCTAGTCCTTCTTTGCTATCATATATTGCACGCTCCGTTGAACAGGAGGCACAGCAGGCGACAGGCGTCCAATTCTTGCACATGGAGACCTGCATCACTTCGGGCTTGACTCCCACATTAAGCTGACACGCCGTGGTATAACTGGAATACTGTTAAAAGCCGCGCTAAACCCATCTCACTCACTCATGGGCATTTGAGCAATATTCGCCAAACAAATGGACTATTATTATTGAGATTTCGCCGGAATAAACGAGAAACAACAGGTTCCGTTCTCGGCCTTACCGTTATCTGTGCGTGATTTACCTACACCGTGCGTGAGCGTCTCTGATATATGAGATATCAGCACAGGAACTTCCTGGTCTCAGCAAATGTGGGGCAATGCAGTCACGTGACTGACTAGTCGTACATATTGACAGAGTAATACACTTCATTAAATTCCTCCGAGTTATTTTTTCAAAAAATGCTATTTTTACATTTCACCAGCTGAGAATCACTCGAGGTTTGAAAAAAGTGGTATATATGAACTTAAATTTGAATATAACTCGAAATCTGGAATCCGAAGTTCGAGACAATAGGAAAAGGGATTCCACATGATTGTTAAGTTATATGGATGCCATTGTGGAATTAAGTGTGGTATATTTGTGGTTGAGAAGGAAGGGTATTTAGTAAGAGGTCTAATTCGTATTCCAAAAAAGATTCAGGGCTTTGAATCTCATTAAACAACCTTTTCAAAACCAAACTGACGCACGCGCTCACATTTGTTTCCAATTACCTGGCCATGCATCAGGTCCCCTTCCAATCCCCCAACCCCACCTCTCCTCCCTTCCTTCCCCAACTCACTGTGTATGTTCAGGTTCCTCTCCGTCCGTCCGTCCGCCCTTCCTTCCTTCCTTCACTTACTCACTGTGTATGTTCCAGGTCCCTCCAACCATGCCTCCTTCCGTCCTTCCTTCCCTCTATCACTCAATGTGTATGGTCCAGGTCCCTCCAATCATCCCTCCTTCCGTCCTTCCTTCCCTCCTTCCTTCCCTCTATCACTCAATGTATAAGGTCCAGGTCCCTCCAATCATCCCTCCTTCCGTCCTTCCTTCCCTCTATCACTCAATGTGTATGGTCCAGGTCCCTCCAATCATCCCTCCTTCCGTCCTTCCTTCCCTCTATCACTCAATGTGTATGGTCCAGGTCCCTCCAATCATCCCTCCTTCCGTCCTTCCTTCCCTCACTCAATCAATGTGTATGGTCCAGGTCCCTCCAATCATCCCTCCTTCCGTCCTTCCTTCCCTCTATCACTCAATGTGATGGTCCAGGTCCCTCCAATCATCCCTCCTTCCGTCCTTCCTTCCCTCTATCACTCAATGTGTATGGTCCAGGTCCCTCCAATCACCCCTCCTTCCGTCCTCACTTCCCTCACTCACTCAGTGTGTATGGTCCAGGTCCCTCCAATCACCCCTCCTTCCGTCCTCACTTCCCTCACTCACTCACTGTTTATGTTCCAGGTCCCTCCAATCACCCCTCCTTCCGTCCTTCACCCAATCACTGTGTATGGTCCAGGTCCCTCCAATCATGCCTCCTTCCGTCCTTCCTTCCCTCACTCACTCAATGTGTATGGTCCAGGTCCCTATACGTGTCCGTCCTTCCTTCCCCTATCACTCACTGTGTAGGGTCCAGGTCCCTCCAATCACCCCTCCTTCCGTCCTCGCTTCCCTCACTCACTCAATGTGTATGGTCCAGGTCCCTATACGTGTCCGTCCTTCCTTCCCCTATCACTCACTGTGTAGGGTCCAGGTCCCTCCAATCACCCCTCCTTCCGTCCTCGCTTCCCTCACTCACTCAATGTGTATGGTCCAGGTCCCTATACGTGTCCGTCCTTCCTTCCCCCACTCACTCACTGTGTAGGGTCCAGGTCCCTCCAATCACCCCTCCTTCCGTCCTCGCTTCCCTCACTCACTCAATGTGTATGGTCCAGGTCCCTATACGTGTCCGTCCTTCCTTCCCCCACTCACTCACTGTGTAGGGTCCAGGTCCCTCCAATCACCCCTCCTTCCGTCCTCGCTTCCCTCACTCACTCAATGTGTATGGTCCAGGTCCCTCCTTCCGTCCATCCTACCTTCACCCAAATCACTGTGTATGTTCCAGGTCCTTCCAATCACCCCTCCTTCCGTCCTTCCTTCCCTCTCTCACTCACTGTGTATGTTCCAGGTTCCTGTAGTGTCCGCCCTTCCTTCCTTCCTTCCTTCACTCAGGGGCGGTCGGGTAGCCTAGTGGTTAAAGCGTTCGCTCGTCACGCCGAAGACCCGGGTTCGATTCCCGACATGGGTACAATGTGTGAAGCCCATTTCAGGTGTCCCCCGCCGTGATATTGCTGGAATATTGCTAAAAGCGGCGTAAAACCAAACTCACTCACTCCTTCCTTCACTCACTCACTGTGTATATTCCAGGTCCCTCCAATCGTCCTGCCTTCCGTCCTTCCTTCCCTCACTCACTGTGTATGTTCCAGGTTCCTGTACGTGTCCGTCCTTCCTTCCTTCCTTCACTCACTCAATGTGTATGTTCCAGGTCCCTCCAATCGTCCCTCCTTCCGTCCTTCCTTCCCTCACTCACTAACTGTGTATGTTCCAGGTTCCTGTACGTGTCCGCGGCTATATTTATCGGGGTGTATACGGGCCTGGAAATCGGGAGGACCCAGCCGAGGAACCTCATGTCCCTCATTGGCATCGCATCCTTCATCTTCATCATGTACATCACCAGCACGGACCCCGCCAGGGTAGGCGCCTGTTGAACCGTTACGCCACAGGAATCCGATCGCGAATTTCTAAGATGATTCTAATTACTTCTTTAATTAAATGATAAGAGGTATTTAATAGTTAAAACCCCTGCAAAAACGTCATACATGAATCAGTGCACGGGTGGCCCAGTCGTCTAAGACGCCGCAAAACGCTGTGCAGAGTTGCGTCCCTTGGGCACGCCAGAAACCTATGATTGTGGGTTGGAATTCCGGTTCGCCCTGATTATGTTTCTAGGTTTGACAGCCAAAGTGGTAAGCGTCTTCGGGCTGTCCTGCCACATTAAGCTGACACGCCGTGATATAACTGCAATAATGTTCAAAGCGGCGTCAAATGACTATAAATGTCCAGATTCAACCCTTGCTAAAGGTTGGAATGTCGGGGTTATATTTTGGCTTGGCTAGCAAAACTATGCATAGTCTAATCAAAATCGCGTAGACAACTAGACATCCGGTTCCGTAAACTACATGGAGTTTAACGAGCAGATTTCGATCGACTGAAGGATTTGCAAAGCATGTGTACCGTCAATTGGCCGTCGACAGATATTTTCCAAATCTTTTAATTTTTTTAATCAAAGTGCTCATGAGATTTGATGCATTTTGTGAAGTATTACCTATTTTATTACAGTATAGGTATTGATTATCGATCTGTTCGTCTTGACAGGGCGCCGCCATTTTGTTTGAAGCAAATGTAAGTGATATCATTGGTGGAATCTGATTGGTCTGAGGGGCATAGAAGGGACATAACTCGTAATAGCCACTGGTCGAGCAGCGAAATTCCGGCCTAGTTCGGCAAGGGTGAAAACTGGACATTTATAGTTAGTTAATGCCCTTGACTCGGGAAGATGGATTTTGCCAACTGTTTTGGGTTGAGTTTCTTAAGAATACTGTCATTTCAAATGTATACTACTCAAAAGAAGTTTAGGACCACCGATTCTTTCATATTTCTATAGTTAATCTGAGTGATAGAGTAAATATAGTCGTATGAAATAATCGGGTTGTTCTTAACTTCTTTTGAGTAGTATAGCTTAACGAGAGCATTGATAGCATTGTAGCATGTTAGTGTGTTTGTTGTTTAACGCTGCAATATTCAAGCTACATGTAAATAAGTGAGTCAGGACCATACAATCCAGTGACTGACATCATGAGCATCGTTCTACGCAGTTGGGATACGATGATATGCATCAAGCAAGTCTAACGACAAGCCTCTAACATCAAGCTTGGATTTTTTTGGGGAAAATAATTTCTTCCAAAAATTTTCGATAGAATTATTTTTACCATAGATTTTACACTTCTTCCATCTCCTCAGGTGAACTGGCACCCTGTGTTTTGGGGGATGGCGATCCAGTACATATTCGCCTGTCTTATACTGAAGACTACGTGGGGGTACGGCGCCTTTGAATGGCTTGGAAACAGGATGACGGAAATTCTTGGTTATTCCAACACAGGGGCTAAGTTTGTGTTCGGGGACAACTATGAAGACCACATGTTTGCCTTCAAGGTAATTAACGCTTCGGCATACCCCACTGCACCATCAAATCAGGTTAATCTCCAATTATGTATCGCAGTTTCACAATATACAATGCCTGTCAAAAGAAAGCATACACTTTGGAAAATCGGATTTGACCAAAAATTACAAATGTGTTTGGGGATAACTTTGAAGAACACATGTTTGCCTTCAAGGTAATTAACGCTTCGGTATACCCCACTGCACCAGCAAGTAGGGTTATAATTAATCTCCCTTCACGTAGCGCAGTTTCACAATATACATTGCCTGGCAAAAGAAAGCATACACTTTGGAAAATCGGATTTGACCAAAAATTACAAATGTGTTTGGGGATAACTTTGAAGAACACATGTTTGCCTTCAAGGTAATTAACGCTTCGGTATACCCCACTGCACCAGCAAGTAGGGTTATAATTAATCTCCCTTCACGTAGCGCAGTTTCACAATATACATTGCCTGGCAAAAGAAAGCATACACTAGAAAATCGGATTTGACCAAAAAATACAAACGTTATCAAAACGTTACAAGAGTTGCCAAAATACTGCAAGCTTACGGTCCAGGACACGACTATGATACACGTGTTAAATACATCACCATCGAATAATCATATCTCGTTTGTTTCATTTTTGACCACAAGAACAAAATGGGGGTATACTTTCTTTTGCACAGCAGGTTTGTATTTAACTGGGTAATTTTCTCCAATACAAGTTTGCATTTAAACAATAATAACAATAATAATGACATTCCGAATAAACGTTCTTAAACACATAGTTCTTAAGAGGATTCTCTGGAAAGCCTTTGACATTCTGGTTTTATTTTCTGACCCAGTTTTAAAGCAAATAAATTACAGTTCATGGGGCTTCAGCGATATATCGAGTTAATTAATTTCCACTGTATTTATTTATTGATTGAGTGAGTATGGTTTTAGCCGCTTTTAGCAATATTCCAGCAAAATCACGGCGGCGGACACCTGAAATGGGCTTCACACATTGTACCCATGTCGGGAATCGAACCCGGGTCTTCGGCGTGACGTGCGAACGCTTTAACCACTAGGCTACCCGACCGCCCCTTGAAACTTTGAGTTATTTGTATCCTAAACTAACTGGATCGTCAGAACATGAATCCCTGACCCTTGTTTCCGCAGGTTCTGCCGGTCATCGTGTACTTCAGCTCGCTTATCGCTGTCCTGTATTATCTCGGAGCGATGCAGTACATCATCAGGATACTGGGCAAGTTCCTGTCAATCTGCCTCGACACGAAGGCTACAGAGTCCCTCAACGCTGCGGGTAACATCTTCGCGGGAATGGTGAGAGACATTTTAAAAATACTATCTTTATCAAACAATGCCATTTTAAAAATAATCAAAGTTTAGGTAATATATAGCTACAGAGCCTCTCAACGCTGCGGGTAACATCTTCGCTGGAATGGTGAGAGACATTTTAAAAAATACTATCTTTATCAAACAATGCCATTTTAAAAATAATCAAAGTTTAGGTAATATATAGCTACAGGGTCTCTCAACGCCGCGGGTAACATCTTCGCGGGAATCGTGAGAGACATTTGAAAAATCATACGACACGGAAACACACGTGTCAAATACTATCTTTATCAAATAATGCCATTTTAAAATAATCAAAGTTTAGGTAGCATTTTCATTCGCTGAATTAACTTGCCTGAGTGAACCGCTCAATTTATTATATCATGCCAGATAACGAGCGGCCATGCTTGTTTACATAAACACTCACACATCGGGAAACCAATACCGAAAGTTTGCAGAACATGATTCAATAGTTTTTTCAAGTGAGTAGACATCACATTGATGAATGGCGCTTATTAAAATTAACCTGGGGATATTTATTGGATTGTTATAGCAAGCTGATCAGAATGATTCATTGCATTGATAACTTATCAATTATATGATGAATATTGAAATACACATCATACATGCGCACAAACACAACAATCCAAAACAGGCCAATCTAAAATAAAACATAACGACAGCAATCCTTATGCCCAAATATTCTTGGAATGAAGTTAGTTGGACATTTTGGAATCAGCGGTCATTTGACCCGTTAAACGTGATGTCTTGGTTTGCAGTGATGGTGTCTTGGTTGTCAGTGATGGTGTCTTGGTTACCAGTGATGTTGTCTTGGTTTCCAGAGATGTTATCGTGGTTTCCAGTAATGTTGTCTTGGTTTGCAGTTATGTTTTCTTTGTTTCCAGTGATGTTGTCTTTGTTTCCAGTAATGTTGTCTTGGTTTGCAGTTATGTTGTCTTGGTTTCCGGAGATGTTGTCTTTGATTCCTGAGATGTTGTCTTGGTTTCCAGTTTTGTTGTCTTGGTTTCCAGAGATGAAGTCTTTGTTTCCAGTAATGTTGTCTTGGTTTCCAGTTATGTTGTCTTGGTTTCCAGTTATGTTGTCTTGGTTTCCAGTTATGTTGTCTTTGTTTCCAGAGATGTTGTCTTGGTTTCCAGTAATGTTGTCTTTGTTTCCAGATATGTTGTCTTTGTTTCCAGAGATGTTGTCTTTGTTTCCAGAGATGTTGTCTTGGTTTGCAGTTATGTTGTCTTGGTTTCCAGTTATGTTGTCTTGGTTTCCAGTTATGTTGTCTTTGTTTCCAGTTATGTTGTCTTGGTTTCCAGTGATGCTGTCTTTGTTTCCATTAATGTTGTCCGTGTTTCTAGAGATGTTGTCATGGTTTCCAGTGATGTTGTCTTGGTTTCTAGAGATGTTATCTTGGTTTCCAGTGATGATGTCTTGGTAACAAGTGATGTTGTCTTGGTTTCCAGTGATGTTGTCTTTGTTACCAGGGATGTCTTGGTTTCCAGTGATGTTGTCATGGTTTCCAGTGATGTCTTGATTTCCAGTGATGTTGTCTTGGTTTCCAGTGATGTTGTTGTTGTCTTGGTTTCCAGTGATGTTGTTGTTGTCTTGGTTTCCAATGATGCTGTCTTGGTTTCAAGATATGTTGTTGACCTGTGGTTCCCTGGACAGTGATATCACTGTCCTGTTAGTATTTTAATTTTCTTCTTACATTCTTTTGCAACTTTTGCTTTTTAGATTATTTTAATTTCAGACCGAGTGCCCTCTTATGATACGTCCATTTTTGCCGTTGATGACGAAATCAGAGCTACACGCCGTTATGACCGGGGGTTTCGCCACGGTATCCGGGAGTGTTCTTGGCGCGTACGTCACGTACGGGGTGAGTTGACGTACGCTTTTGACGTAAAACAAACAACAATTAAATGATGACATTATCTCAAGGCGTATGAGCTTGGTGTTGGAAGCAAGCCCAAAGCGATGCAGGTCAAAGACATTAATGTTAAAGAAACCACGTTCGTGACTTTATTGATAAAAAGTATAGAGAAAAAAAGCTTACAACGGAGGTCACTGAAGCCCCCGTTACACTATCAAAAACTTTGATTAAAAAAAATGGTCAAAGAAAACTTTGGCCACGTTTTCTTGGTCCAAGTAGGGCTGTTTACACTCATCGAAGTTTTTAACAGACCGTCAAAATTTTGGCGGGAATTATCTTGCCAAGATGGATGCTACGTTTTTATGAAAATTCTATCCATTTTAGTTATAATACTTGTTTAAACATTCACATTAAGTGCATTATATATCCCATTGTTAACGTCTGTGATTACATTAAAGTGTTGTATCGGAAACATATGTACTGGTCCTGTCGTTTCTGCTTGTTGTACATTTTGACTAGCCTGTCTTACAGGCCCTGATACAAATATATATCAAATATATGTAGCATGGGCTACATGCAAGTCTATAATGTTTGGCAAGTCTAGATTACTGGAGTGAAGAGAGTCTCTGGGCTCCCTTTTATTATATTTTTTTATGAAGATAATTGAACAACTGTTTTTTTCTGTACGATGTTCATTTCAGAGACTAGATGTTTGTCTACGTTTTTACAAGACATGTGCGATACAGAAACCAGTAGTGTAAATGTTTCGGCATAATAAATTCGTTATGGTGTCTTTAGTATACGGTGTCATATTAGGTTAGCAGAAAAATATTGGGCTCGGCTCATATATTTTTCTGCTAACCTAATAGGACACCGTATACAGCAACTAAAGACACCATAACTAATAATATGTAGTTGGTAGATGGCAAACGTTTCAATATTACTTCTTTTCTTCCATTTATTATAAAGGGTCATGAGGAAATTATTACATGCCTGCGTGTATCATAGTCACTCAATGATCGCAAGTATTCTTAATCAGCAAAACACAAAGTCGCACATGTAATTCAGGATATTTCCTGGTAACTGTTATTTTGTATGTTGTATTTAATAATGAATATATGCTTCGCTCTTATCTTCTCAAGGTGAAGGCCAACCATCTCCTCGCGGCGTCCGTGATGTCCGCTCCGGCCGCTCTGGCCATCTCCAAACTGACCTACCCCGAGACGGAGGAGTCGGACATCGACCCAGAGGATGTGTACAAGCTGCAGATGGAGTAGGTCCTCATACTACATGCATTAAAGACCCAGAGATGTGTACAAGTAGTTCTTACAATTCATTAATTTCTTGTTTCCGAAGGGGCGGTCGGGTAGCCTAGTGGGTAAAGCGTTCGCTTGTCCCGCCGAAGACCCGGGTTCGATTCCCGACATGGGTACAATGTGTGAAGCCCATTTCTGGTGTCCCCCGCCGTGATATTGCTGGAATATTGCTAAAACCGGCGTAAAACCATACTCACTCACTCCTTTGAAAGACTTACCCATTACCACTTGATGCTTCATTTTAATCTTCATTCTGTGATATTGTTCATAATTCTAAGAGGTCGCTTGTGGCCTAGTAAGGTAACACGCCGCAATTCGCTGTGCAGTGTTGCCTATGATTGTGGGTTCGAATCCCTGTTCGCCCCGATTGTGTTTCAAGGTTTGTCAGCACCATACTGTGCTCGTGGGTTCCACAAAAGTGGTAAACGTCCAATACCTGCATCACTTTAGGCTCCCCCCCCCCCCCCCCCCCCCCCTCACACACACACACACACATCAAGTCGACTCGTCGTGACTATACTGTTCAACCCAACAAGGTCTCCCTCATTCATTTCAATTTTTTTGGGGCGAAACCAATACAATCTGTTACAGTGAAAACAAAATCACTTTCGAGTATGGTGAATGTATTTAATTGACAAAAACACTTTGTCTTCCCCAGCACCCCAAATAACGTCATCGAAGCAGCGTCCAACGGGGCCTCCGTCTCAATCAGTCTTGTTGCCAACGTCGCCGTCAACGTCATGGCGTTCCTGGCGTTGCTCCAACTCGTCGACGCGTCACTGATATTTCTGGGAGACAGAGTCGGCATTGAAGGTCTGACCTTCCCCGTATGTATATCTCCACACGAGTCTTTGCCTTATTCACTCACGTTTTTAACACCAGCGCTTTTCCCTTTTGTTTTGTTTTTCACGCCGCAATCGGCAAAAAATCCAGCTATTTTAGGGCATCCTGTAAATTATCGCGTCTGGACCAGATAATCTAGTGATAATCTTCTTTAGCAAAGATCCATGCCGTTGGGCCGTGTCATTGGTGTTTGATGCAGTGATGTACTGAAGATAATAATCCTAATGCGTGTCATGGATGACCACCCCATCCCAACGTCCTTGCACACTTATTTAATAACAAATCCCCGAAGAGTCAAAATGCAAATCAGGTTATATTTTAATTTCAATTAAATTTTAATGACTTTTTTAACGACCTTCCCCTAAAGACTGTTATAATTTTTGGCGACCTTCTCTTGACCCCCTCTGATCCATACACCCCTATAACATAACCCGTCGCCTAGCTGCTCTGTGGTTTTTTTTGTGTGTTTCTGTTTTTTCTGGGTTTTTTTGTTTGTGGGGGTGACAGGATTATCAATTTGCCTCATGTTTTACAAAATGAAATTTAATGTCCGGATGTGATGTGGGTACCAAAACTTTGTGATCGAACAAACGTCTGTGTCTCACAAAATCCTCCAAACTAAATGGTCGATCCCTAAGCAAGATCTAGTGACCTCGAATTTCAATCAAATGTTTCCATATAATCTTTCAAATCTTTTCATGTTTTAAATCAAGGTACTCACGCGATGTAAGGCCCGTTTTATCACAATATAGATCCTGATTATCGATCAGATCGTCTTGACTGGGCGCCGCCACAAGTGGTGGAATCTGATTGGTCCATAGGAGAGGTATAGAAGGGACATAACTCGTAATAGCCACTGTGTGCGAAATACGCATCAGTCGGAAAGCGCACGTTAAATCTCCAAAGTAAGTAAGTAAGTAAGTAATAGCCACTGGTGGCGCTACGATCGAGCCTAGGTATTCTAGCCGAGTTGGGCAAGGGTGGAAACTGGACTTTAAAGTCAGTTAACTCCCTTGCCTAGGGAAGATGGCTGAAACCAGTAGCTCACTAACATGACAAATATCAATGAAAGATTATATATATAGCATCTGTACAGAACCGGGTTTCCATGACACCTGGCCACATGTCTTTGATGCAAAGTATGTTTATTCTTTGTCCACAGCTGATCTGCTCCTATGTGTTCTACCCAATCAGTTTTGTGATGGGTATTGACCCCGTGGACTGTCGCCGCATGGCCAGGCTGATTGGCTTCAAGACTTTTACCAATGAGTTCGTGGCGTACATTGAGATGGGGAAGCTGATAGATAATGGCCACATATTTGACAACTACACAGCGTCAGTGCCCAACGCCACGTGGGAAACCAAATCCAATGATGATATATTCTTGACGGATTGGGGCACGACATTAGTTGGTGGAATTATGCTGGTAAGAATTAATAAATAACGCTCAGTTTACATTGTAAACTCAATTTCCACTTTGTAATGGCTTCTTCATATAGGACGCATGGCCAAGTCGTCTAAAGTGCCCCAATTCGCTGTGCAGAGATGCGTTCCCCTCGGCACGCCGGAAAAGTATGATCGTGGTTCGAATCCCAGTTATGTTTCTCGGTTTGTCCGTGGCATATCCATGCTCGTGGATTTCACCAAAGAGCTCAACGTCCAAGACCTAAATCACTGAGGGCTTTCCTCCCACATTAAAGGGGGGCACGGGTGGCCCAGTCGTCTAAGGGCCGCGATTCTCTGTGCAGAGTTGCGTCTCTTGGGCACGCCAGAAACCTATGATTGTGGGTTCGAATCCCGGTTCGCCCCGATTTTGTTTCTAGGTTTGTTAGCACCATACCCCTGCTCGTGGATTTCAACCGATATAACTGGAATACCGTTAAAAGCAGCTTCAAACCCATGAGCGGGGTATGGTTTGTTTGTTTGTTGTTTAACGCCGCACTCAGCAGTATTCCAGCTATATGACGGCGATCTGAAATGATCGAGTCTGGATTCTAGTACATCACATCATGAGCATCGATCTACGCACTTTGGATCGATGACATGCATCAACCAAGTCAGCGAGCCTGACCACCCGATCCCGTTAGTCGCCTCTTACGACAAGCAAAGTCGCCTTTTACGGCAAGCATGGGTTGCTGAAGACCTATTCTACCCCAAAATCTTCACGGGTCAAACTCAGCGGATCCTGGCTCTGACCCTTGGCCACTTATCTAGCCGTGCCTGCAGTACTATTTTATCGGATATTACACGACAATGCAATACATTAATAACGTTTTTTCCATGATTTATCTCTTGTTTTATGCACGACGGACAATAGGGAGATTTCTTTAATATGTTTGCAGAAAAATGAACAGAATGTGACACAGTTTTCTTTTATTCCCAAAGCCCCGGTCTCAGGTTATCGCAACGTACGCCTTGTGTGGGTTTAGCAATCTCGGCTCCATGGGGATCCAGATTGGCGGATTAGGAGCCATGGCTCCATCTAGAAAGTCAGATCTAACAGCCTTAGCTCTGAGGGCGATGATAGCAGGCAACGTGGCCTGCTTTTTGACGGCGTGCATTGCAGGTGCGTACCTCTTAGTAACCAGTAATTGACTTGTCTTTGCATGTGTTTGTGACAGATGCCACCGGTGGATCAGGGAATAATAAACTACGCGAACATCCGGTACGATCACTATTTGGGAGTGATTCATTAACACATGCTCATGGTATAGTTGGAGTCGTACAATAGCTGCTTTTAGCAGAGATTTCTTATGATTATGTTTGTTTGTTGTTTAACGCCGCACTCAGCAATGTTCCAGCTATATGACAGCGGTCTGTAAATCATCGAGTCTGGACCAGACAATCCAGTGATTGTCATCATGAACATCGATCCACGCAATTGGGATCGATGACATGCATCAACTAAGTCAGCGAGCCTGACCACCCGATCCCGTTAGTCGCCTTTTAAGCCAAGCATAGTCGCTCTTATGATTATGAAAAGGGTTTTGTCCTTTTTATTTGAATATATATGCATTACTAAGATAGAAAATATAGTCACGGATGTGCAATAGTTTCAGAAAACAGACAAAACACTTCTCAGACACAGCTTGTTTGTTTGTTGTTTGACGCCGCACTCAGCAATATTCCAGCTATATGACGTCGGTCTGTAAATAATCGAGTCTGGACCAGACATCCCAGTGACCGACATCGATCCACGCAAATGGTTGGTTGGTTGGTTGGTGTGTTGTTTAACGCCGCTCTCAGCAGTATTCCAGCTATATGATGGCGGTCTGTAAATAATCGAGTCTGGACCAGACAGTCCAGTGATTAATATCGTGAGCATCGATCCACGACATTGGGATCGATGACATGCATCAACCAGGACAGCCAGCCTGACCACCCGATCCCGTTAGTCGCCTCTTACGACAAGCATAGTCGCCACTTACGACAAGCATGGGTTGCTGAAGACCTATTCTACCCCGGATCTTCACGGGTCTGTTAAAACATAAACAATGCACAACTTGACATGCCAGATGACTCATTTTTAGAGAATGTGTATGCAATAATTGAATTCAACTTTCATGACATGAGTGACATCTGTTTTTTTTGTTACAGGCCTTTTCTACAGTGGTGAACTTTAAGCTGTATCGTGATGCCACCACAGAGACTCGAACCAACGGTTGGGACAAACGAATTGGGCATAACGATAGTGAAAATGTTTAAAAGTGAGAGTCGGGTCATCTAGTAATTTCTCACCATTGCTTTCAAAGACTATAAAGTTACTAAACTAAGCCAGCCCTCACGTCACTTCCGGTGTCAGAAAGAAAGGAATACGGGCCGGGTCTAAAATAAACCATTTTTTTTGTGCCCCAGTTTCTCAACTGGGGTAATACGGTATGCCCATCACCACATCTGACCCCCGACATCACCGGAGACAGTCACATACTTAAAGAGAACAAATCTCCAATTGGAAGCACCATCAATCTTGATTCAAAATCCAAATTTCGTATCTTGTGCCATGCCATATTAACTACAGGTATATGAAGGAATCGGGTGGTCCTTAACTTCTTTTGAGTAGTTTACCTTCCTTTAGGCCATATGCATAATGCATGAACAGCTGTTTTACATCTTCATCCGTACTGTGGCAGCGTAAAGTTACGTTGGATGATACACAATCGGTTCATGAACGTTGGTTTGACCACTCGACAATAGCCATTTGTGGTTTGCTGTCTTCGCACAAGGTTCTTATGTATTTTTTTCTACAAATGCATCTTTTGTCAAATCTATCATTGACCATCTTCCCGAGGCATCAGAGTTAACTGACTATATAAGTTCAGTTTCCACCCTTGCCGAACTAGGCTGGAATTATGGAGTTACATTTTAGTCTGTAACGAGTCTATGCATAGTCCAATCAAAATCGCTCAACGAAATCGAATTCCGGTTATTTAACTGTCGTGCAGATTTCGGTCGATTGCAGGATTTGCAAAGCATGTGCACCGCCAATTCGTTGTCAACAGATATTTTCTAAGTCTTTTCATGTTTTTGATCAAGATGCTCATGTGATTTGATGCACTTCGCGATGTAAGACCCGTTTTATCACAACAGATTTTGATTATCGATCAGATCGTCTTGAATGGGCGCCGCCATTTTGTTTGAAACAAATGCAGTGATACGAGAGGTGGAATCTGATTGCTCCATAGGAGAGGCTTAGAAGGGACATAACTCGTAATAACCAATGGTGGCGCTACGATCGAGTCCAGGAATTCCAGCCTCGTTCGGCAAGGGTGGATACTGGACTTTTAAACTCAGTTAACTCCCTTGCCTCGGGAAGATGATCATTGACATGTCCTTACTTTATCGGGAATTTGTATCTTATCCCAAGCCATGTAATATTGAGGAGTGCCCTCCTCAGGTGCCTTCTGATATTTCACGGATCCCATAGCGGCAAATGATTCATGGTGACGTGCTCTGAGACAATCCTTTGTTTGTTTGTTGTTTAACGCCGCACAAACACACAATATTTTAGCAATATGACGGTAGTCTGGACCAGACAATCCAGTGATTGACATCATGAGCATCGATCTACACAATTAGGATACGATGACATGCATCAACCAAGTCAGCGAGCCTTGCCACCCGATCCCGTTAGTCGCCTCTTTCAGCAAACATGGGTTGCTGAAGACCTATTCTACCCCGGATCTTCACAGGTCCCAGACAATCCTAGTCTCATCAGTCAAAAGGATCTTTCTTCTGGTATACGATCACCATCAACACATGCTCTATGTCAAAATGTATTTGTATATCAAATCAAATGTTCACGTTTGAGGTTTTTATCAATATAAAGACTTGGAAGATTTGTATTTTCACATTTTGTCGTTATATTTCCGTCAAATGTATGAACTCGTCTGATCTATCTGGATTAAAGAACGCATGACTCAACGTCTCAAAAGAATCATGATTTATAAATGTACATTCGTCGGGTTTTACTTTTCTTAACTAAAATGCAGTATTTCTGTAAAACTTGACAATATTCTGCCATTAAGTATGTATATGTTTTCTTGAACCATAATTTCATACATCTAAATACCTAATGGAAGATCAACATGTATACTGCACAATTGCAGAACAAGAGGTAACCATACCCAGCAGTAAGAACCTGTTAATCGGGTGGTTGGTTGAATGCATGGGCAACGATAAGCATGCCGATCAATTCCCGCAATATCATGAAGTATTCTGAGCACAAAGGCTGCAGGAGAAATATTCCTCTTGAAATCGTGAGTAGGTTTAACCCTTCTTTGAGCAGAATTTCAGTTACAACGGGAGAAAAGAGATGCAGGTCTTAGATACACACCACCTCGCGGAAACCCATTGTCCCAGGTATGATGCTGACAAACCAAGGATTATAATCTGGGGTTTCAGTAGAAGACCAGATTGACTGATTGTTCAAATTACTGCTGGTCAAATCAGTAGAAGTTAGAGTGGTGCTTCTAGAAACGTGAGAAAGTAAGCTCTATGTGGGCAACATAATGACTACATGCATGACCACATGCTATGGGTGTGTCTGGACCAAACAAGCCAGTGACTGATAGTATGGGCGAACATGATCTCTCCAGACGATCCACCCCATTAAACACTTGGCTTCCTCAACACCCGAGGTGAAGTTTCAAAGTACTTATATCATTCACAGGGACAAGTCCCCAAACCGGACTAAATCATACACAACCTGATGCCAAAATATCCAAATAAGAAACAAGCATGAAATACATATATCCGCATGAAATACTTATATCCCCGCCAATATGACATGTCGGGTTGTGTGCAACTCTTTAGCCCCGTAGTCAAAGTTGTTGCTATGGAAAGTTGAAAAATATATATATTTTTTTTAAAATCCCAAATTATCCAAAGGCAATAGTTCACCACTAGACCTATCTGTGTGAAAAGTTTGGTTCAGATAGCTCTCGAAGATCAGGGTTAGAATAGGTCTTCTGCAACCCATGCTTGCCGTAAAAGGCGACTAACTGGATCGGGTGGTCAGGCTCGTGGATTTGGTCGATCCCAAGTACGTGGATTGATGCTCATGATATTAATCACTGGATTGTCTGGTCCAGATTCGATTATTTACAGACCGCCGTCATATAGCTGGAATATTCCTGAGTGTGGCGTTAAAACAACCAGCCAACCAAACAATCAGACAGCTCTAATGGTTTTTAAGTTCTGCTCCGGTAACGAAACGTGAGGGACAGGCAGACAGCACCCATTCCGATATCCCCCTTCCAATTCGTAGCGGGGGATAATAAGTAAAAACACAGACTTGCTAGTCTACCATTTATTAGCCTGACACAGTGTTCTGACAGACATTCACAGTAAGCTACATACACCGATACAGACATATGTTCAACATTGGAAGAGAAAGGATGGACAGTGAAGACAAGAGGAGGATAAAGGAACCTAAAGTAAATCTAAATTGATAAAATATGTCATAGTTGCTGTGATCCTTACATGTTCATAAAAACCTCCTTTTTGTGAGTTTGGGCGATTGCTTTTTGAACATTGTTCAATTTCAAATTACATAAAAACACTTTGACATGTTTTATCCTACATAAGATAATCAATAATTTGGCCTTCAAAGATCAACATGATTTACATTGTCCCAACGAGCACGGGTATGGTGCTAACAAACCTAGACACATAATCGGGCCGAACCGGGATTCGAACCCACAATCATATGTTTCTGGCGTGAACAAGGGACGCAACTCTGCACAGCTAATCGCGGCGCCATAGACGAGTGGGCCACCCGTGACCCCTGTACTGCAGGAAACTAATGTCAGACATGGTTAGGGGTTGACCATTTGATATTCCGGGGTGGGTCGGGGACTAGGATTTTATCGAAAAAATATATTGACGCTAAAAAAAAAAAGCCTGGCACAAAAATAACAAAGTTGCTCGTCTTGGTTGCCATGACGTCACAATCAAATGACATCACTAATGGCTCTGCTACTGAAGCTGTTAGCAGTACTTTTTACATTTAAGACACTGCTTATTACTGTCTAGAAACGGAAAAAGTTGGAAGAATGATGTTGGATGATAAATAAAATCTCACCCTCGTGTCTTTGGATATGAAATATATCAACACTTTTATCAACTCAACCCTCAGAGTTTTTCCACTTTTATCAACGAGTGTCGATATATTTGATATCGAAAGACACGAGGGTGAGATTCTCTATTTTGCTGTATATGGAAGATATTTCGAATATCCACTTGATTTGATATAGGACTGATGAACTGAGTTTGCACACATACAAAACGAATGAATGAATGAATGAATGAATGAATGAATGAATGAATGAATGAATGAATGAAAAGTACTTGAAATAAACCAAAGCTTTCCATTACAATACACAACTGATTGCTAAGCATCCTTTGAATATTCACTGTTAAAATACAACATATAATACACCGTTATCCAAAAGCACTTTACAATAAAATAAAAGGGGGCACTGAGCATAATCTATGCTGTACCACACTCAAATCCAAGCTGGTGTTCAAGAAAACTGATCCACCTTGCCTAAGGTGCAGTCAACTGGCTCACAAACAGAACTGAACACACTGTGTAACTCTCTGACCAGGACCTTGTTCCAGGAAGGGATCTTACATAGACAAATGACCTTACATAAACTAATAATCTTACATAGACTAATAATCTATCAGGTGAAATGGGCTTAACATTGTGGTCAAGATTATTCCACTTCTATTGTGACGTGTGTGGCTGCTTGTACTAGCCTGGACTAATACCATTCTTATAGTGCAAGCCCACGGTGATACCATCCCACAGTTTAACATGAATACCCTGCTCAGACACAGCATACCAACAAGTACCATTTTCTACAGCGATAGAAACTAACATTTTTAGTCCACTGGTCCTTATAATAACATATAGCAAACCCCTTAAAAATGGCGAATTTCTACTAGTCCTTATGATACGTTAGTGAGTGTGTGAGTTGGTTTAACGCCACTTTTAACAATATTCCAGTTATATCACGGCCTGTCAGCTTAATGTGGGAGGAAAGCCCGAAATGATGCAGGTCTCAGACATTTACCAATTCGGTGAAACCCATGAGCATGGGTATGGTGCTGACAAACCTAGAAACATAATCGGGTCGAACCGGGATTCCAACCAACAATCGTAGGTTCCTGGCGTGCCCAAGGGACGCAACTCTGCACAGCGAATCGCGGCACCTAAGACAACTGGGCCACCCGTGCCCCCTATGATACGTTAACTTTTTGGTAAATGTGGCAAGCACTATAGGACTAGTGCCAATTTCTATCGCTGTTTTAACGCCTTTTGGTATGATGTGGATGGATGGAACCACTGACCTGCCCTCCAGGCACTCTATCCACTACACCGTCAGTCACTTTGTGGAACTAGGCCCTAAACATCATCTGACTACCATAACCATACAAGTCTTCATCAACAGTTATAAGTGATGCTGACAAGGATGAACATAACAATATGATTACTATACAGAATAAATACAATAATGCATATAAATATTACATAAAAAGTTGTCAAAACCATAAGAATAAAAACATGCTATACCTTCTTCTCTGCCTACATGTCTAGTCACAACACAGTAAGCTCTTAGTGCTAAGACCAGTCTATCTCCTACACAGTCTTACAATACTTGTAGTGCTACCAATACCATCATTAGGTGTGCCGGATACGAGTGTACATCTTCCCGAGGCAAGAGAGTTAACTGTCTATAAAAGTCCAGTTTCCACCCTTGCCGAACTAGGCTGAAATTCCTGGGCTCGATCCTAGCGCCTAGTCAAGATGATCTGATTGATAATCAAGATCTATTGTGATAAAACTGGTCTTAGTCGCGAAATGCATTAAATTACGTGAGCATCTTGATTAAAAACATGAAAAGATTTGGAAAATATCTGTTGGTGGTGCACGTTTTGCAAATCCTGCAATCGACCGAAATCTGCATGACAGTTTACGAACCGGATGTCGATTTCATTGCACGATTTTGATTGGACTATGCATAGACTCGTTAGTCCAGCCAAAATGTATCTCCATAATACCAGCCTAGTTAGGCAAGGGTGGAAACAGGACTTTTATAGTCAGTTAACTCCCTTGCCTCGGTAAGATGACGACAGTAATGACTCCCTGAACATTCAGTGCACATGATACCTTGCTTAATACGAGTATAAAACAAACCGATACAACTATATATAATCATAAGCATGTACACATGACAGGCACAACATAGAAAATTGTACGAAAATAATTTGCAAAATACTTTTTCTACTGTACAAGGGGTCTCAGGCCCTTAGAAATATGAACTCAAATCTATTGTATGTTCAGGTTACCCCTTTCAGGTCTGTAGCCTAGCTTTCTGTTTGTTTGTTGTTTAACGATTCATTCAGCAATTTTCCGGCCATATGATGGTGGTCTGTAAATAATCGAGTCTGGACCAGACAATCCAGTGAATCACATCATCAGCATCGATCCACGCCTTTGGGATACGATGACATGAATTAACCAAGTCAGCAAGCCTGACCAGCCGATCCCGTTAGTCGCCTCTTAAGACAAACATAGTCGCCTTTTACAGCAAGCATGGGTTAATGAAGACCTATTATACCCCGGTTTCTGTATTGTTGGATTCAAGAACTCTGTATTCATGATAATCCTCCTCCTAAAGTTTCGTGTTCATCCTTTCAGTTTTGGAGAAGTGGTAAAAAATCAATTTCAAATAAAATGATAAATAAGGGCTCAAAGATATAAAAGAATCACTACGTAGGGTTAAATAGTACTGTACATACTCTTGTAGATACTCCCCTAGGCAAAACATGAGCACTATTAATAGATCACGGTCACATGTTAGGATGGATGAATCAGAAGTTCATTAACAACAGTAACCTCACCAGCAGAAAGAAGCACAACTCAATCTCATTAAAATCAGATCTTGTTCTTATAACTCAAAACAAAGATCTGAGGACATCCCATTTCGGGACAAGTCAGACCGAAGTTTTGCGACCTTTGACTGACCAGTGGAATGACTAACAAGAAGTTGACAATAGCCAATCAGAAGGCAGCTTAATTGAGCTTTACGGCACGGGTTTCTAACTGGCAACTACACTTCGAAACATATTTTGACATGTACTCTATTTAAAAATTAAAAACTGAACAAACGAACATTCTGGAAGGGCAAATAGATGGCCTTGATTGTATGAATACAGACATAAAACCCATAACTGTCATTCGGAATACTCTGTGTTTTTATCGAGGTTTCACGATCCAAAATCACATTCCAACTGTCACTTTTATGATCTGATAAGCGATGTTCTGATTGGTCAGATGAAAGGTTGTTTTGACATGACACGCAATGGGATGTCCTCAGATCTTTGCTTATAACATAGCGATAGCGAGAACTAAGATATGATTTTAATGAGATTGAAGCACAACTAAAAGATTTGATAAATAAGTCTGATTCCAACCAGGGACATCTCGACAAGTTCTCCATGAAGGGGGAGTTACAAATCAAGCCAGTAAGAATGGGACCTTCTAGTAATGCCACTTTGAACAGTATCCAGTTACATCACAATGTGTCAGCTTGACGTGGGAGGAAAGTCACAAGTGATGCAGGTCTCACACGTTTTACCAATTTAGTGGAACACCCTCCAGGAGATTTAGATTCCGAGATGTAACCCAGGTATACAGGCACTTCTGTGATAGTTTTACAGTGTTTCATTCATCAGCTTCTACTTCAAGTCCCGCTGTGAGGCAGAACGACTGGCTAGGTCCACGTAAGTGCTGCCGATCTGTCAATTACTGCTATCCACTGTGTTGGAAATATTGTCAAGAACGCTGACTCCAAGACCGTCTCTTTCATCTGGAAGGAATAAACATGTAACCATTATTAACCAAAATTTGACAGAAAGGTATCACAATGTGAAATGTTCAGTTTATGAAATTGACAAACCAGTAGCAAAAGTTTGTTTGTTGTTTAACGCCACACTCAGCAATATTCCAGCTATGTAAATAATCAAGTCTGGACCAGACAATCCAGTGATTGATATTATCAGCAGATCCACGCTATTGGGATGTGATGACATGGATGAACCAAGTCAGCGAGCCTGACCACCCGATTCTGCTAGTCCCTTCTTAGGACAAGCATAGTCGCCTTTTACAGCAAGCATGGGTTCCTGATGACCCATTCTACCCCAGAACTTCACTTAAACAATTGAAAAAAGCCTATATACATTATTTGGATTAGAAAAGAAAAAGTTACAAGTATCCACATCTAACTGAACATGCTATATGTAATAGTGAACTTTTTGAATAATAGAGAGTCCTGGCCAGGGATGGGGAAGAACTAGCCTCGGCTGTAACTCCCACAATGAAAGACTGTCTGAAGCCAAAAGTTCAGCCTGTTACACCGATTCAAAATATTACACCGATTCAAAATATTACACCGATTCAAGATGTTACACGTCAAGATGTTTCAATAGAGAGTCCTGGCCAGGGGTGGGGAAGAACTAGCCTCGGCTATAACTCCCACAATGAAAGACTGTCTGAAGCCAAAAGTTCAGCCTGTTACACTGGTTCAAGATGTTACACGGCAAGATGTTTCAATAGAGAGTCCTGGCCAGGGATGGGGAAGAACTAGCCTCGGCTGTAACTCCCACAATGAAAGACTGTCTGAAGCCAAAAGTTCAGCCTGTTACACTGGTTCAAGATGTTACACGTCAAGATGTTTCAATAGAGAGTCCTGGCCAGGGGTGGGGAAGAACTAGCCTCGGCTATAACTCCCACAATGAAAGACTGTCTGAAGCCAAAAGTTCAGCCTGTTACACTGGTTCAAGATGTTACACGGCAAGATGTTTCAATAGAGAGTCCTGGCCAGGGATGGGGAAGAACTAGCCTCGGCTATAACTCCCACAATGAAAGACTGTCTGAAGCCAAAAGTTCAGCCTGTTACACTGGTTCAAGATGTTACACGGCAAGATGTTTCAATAGAGAGTCCTGGCCAGGGATGGGGAAGAACTAGCCTCGGCTATAACTTCCACAATGAAAGACTGTCTGAAGCCAAAAGTTCAGCCTGTTACACTGGTTCAAGATGTTACACGGCAAGATGTTTCAATAGAGAGTCCTGGCCAGGGATGGGGAAGAACTAGCCTCGGCTATAACTCCCACAATGAAAGACTGTCTGAAGCCAAAAGTTCAGCCTGTTACACTGGTTCAAGATGTTACACGGCAAGATGTTTCAATAGAGAGTCCTGGCCAGGGATGGGGAAGAACTAGCCTCGGCTATAACTCCCACAATGAAAGACTGTCTGAAGCCAAAAGTTCAGCCTGTTACACTGGTTCAAGATATTACACCGATTCAAGATGTTACACGTCAAGATGTTTCAATCTGTGAAACTTCTAATACAAACTAAACCACCTTGCACTTTATAATAAGAATTACCCGGTACCAGGTCAAAGATACAGTAATGGTTAGTCAAAAGTGCAAATACAGAAATGTGAATAAATTGTTCACTGTAAGCATGCATATATAACTCAAACAATCAACGCAATCATGTTAAAAAGTAAACATTAGGCTGAAAAATAATAATCATAGTCTTGGTTTTCATGCACTGCCCGCATAAAGTCTGCTACATGTTTTGGTTTTACTTCAATTTAAAAAAAATTAAAATGATCTTATTACTTAAAAATAAGGTTGACGGTACACACTGTTTATTTGGTTACATACTAGTTTGAACAAGCAACAAAACAACAAAAAGGGTGCCTGCACTATATTTTCAAAAGTCATTGCCTGAGAACCAATTCTTTTATTCATTTTTTTTACAGACTTAAGCTTAAAGCCTGATATTAGACTAACAAGCAGGAGTGCATCTAATGTACTGTCATTCAGTTGTTTCACAATTCCTTGTTCTCTGAACAGTATTCCCGTTATATCACTGTGTCAGTTTAATGCTGGAGGAAAGATAAAAATCAGGGTTTTACGCAACACAGAAATGTGTATCCAGTAGGTCTGTTACAATTCACTCACCTATTCGGTGAATTGAACCATATCCCTTCATGAATTGAATTTGTAAATCGTGGTCACTAGAATCGAATGTTTACCAAAAAATAACTCCATCTGGGTTAAAAGGCTTACTGTCTATAACGCTCTTCAATTATTTGGACCCAAAAAGTAGCGTTGAAGCAAGCAATCACTGTATTTTCTGCAACCATGAATATGCAGTCATGTGCATTTACATACCCTGTACCTAAAAATATCCGTAAGAACTTATTATTTGCAAAGATTTCTTAAAAAAGACGACACTCCTATGGATTTAATTTGACAGTAATGTGTGCTCACATTTGAGCAGATACTAGTCCCTGGATAAGTGAAGAATATAAATGTTGTTGTTGTTTAACGCCGCACTCAGCAATATTCCGGCTATATGACGGCGGTCTGTAAATAATCAAGTCTGGACCAGACAATCCAGTGAGCCCGGATCTTCAAGAGGCTATTAACACCAACGTTGCAGTGGAGAAAGGGATGGAGATGATGATGTCAAAATGGAGCAATGGTGGTGAAAACGTGCAGGGTATTTATAACCCAATGGACAAATAATACACTAAACCGAAGATGATCTGACAAAAGGATTCATCTTTTTGGTAAATACCAAACTGCAGACGATTTGAGGATATGATGAGGATGGAGAATGAAGGTTACTTGTGACAGGATTTGAGGACATGAAAACATGCAGAGTTTTGCACCAACATGAACATAATGAAACAAAACAAACATTAACAGATTTGGTCACCATCATATTCCTTCTTAACTCTTTTCTTTGGGACTCCCGCTGCAGTAGGAACAATGACTCCAACATATTACATGATCACACTTCCTTTCTGAAAGTTTTTGTTTTGTTTGCTTAAGGCCGCACTCAGCAATATTCCAGCTATATGACGGCGGTCTGTAAATAATCGAGTCTGGACCAGACAATCCAGGGATTGACATCATGAGCACCGATCCACGCAATTGGGATCGATGACATGCATCAATCAAGTCAGTGAGCCTGACCACCCGATCCAGTTAGCTGCCTTTTACGGCAAGCATGGGTTGCCAAAGAACTATTCTACCCCGGATCTTCACGGGTCCTATCTGAAAGTGTTCTCTTCGTAGGTCATCTGTGTTAACAACTGGAGTAACTGTTCAATGTGAGACCCTATTTATGCCAGAGCAGTGTTTATAACGAAATCACCAGGATAAGCTTGAAGGAGTGGTTGGAGAAGGAAAATTTAGAGGTGAAATGGTGTTGCGCCCAATATTATTTGCAATATTCAGCTAAATGATGGCAGCTTGTAAATAATCAACTCTGGACTAGACGATCCAGTGATTGATATCATGAGCAACATTCAACGTCGTCAGGGTACAGCACCGATCTAGTGATTGATGTTGTGAGCAACGATCAACACCCTATACGTACATGACACACTATCAAAGAAGTCTGACGATCCGACCCATTAAGACCACTAATGAACAGCAGTGGTTGCTGGGAACCGAGGCTAACCTGCAATCCACACATGAAGACCCCGACACCAGAAGACCATGATAGCATCAAAAGTCAAAACAGTGTCAAAGTTCAATTCACAGGAATAAAACATATAGGTTTTACACTGTAGGCCAAGATCATTAGGTATAACCTGGAAAAGAAATAGTAGAAAGCTGAATTTTTCTGGAGACCTTGCCCCTGGCACAAAGTTCCCCAAATTGCCAATGGCGGCATTTAAAAAAATGGCTGCCATTATTTTGGAAAATGATATGAAATTTGTAGTGTTACATTCATGATATTATGCAATATATCAAATGAAAGCTCTTTTTATAAGCTTTCCCACACTACTTGATTCAACCTCGTGCTATAATAAGGATTTCTTTTATAAGCATTTGAAGTATTATTTATTGAAAATGCCAACGGGGCAGCTTGGGAAACTTTGTGCCAGGAACATCAGTATGACTGTCTGAAGGTCTCCAGACAAAATTTCAGCTTTCTACTATTTTTTCAAAGTTGTTATTTTTGTCTAATGTTCATGGCCTACTAGCAGACTATGCATATTTTCTACTTGCTATTTTGTGACAACAGTGGAACAATGAGTGCAAACAAATGGTCGTAATCAGGGATAATTCTTGGGTGGGGTCTTGTGCTTTTAGCCACAACATTTGAGAAACAAAAAGGTCCACATTTTCAAATACCATGGGACATTTTAACATTCTGTTGTATTGGCAAGTGTGGGTGTACCTCTGGAATATATGAAATTTTCACATAAAGGGCATATGTCAGAACATTCCTAGAGTGAACCCTGCTTAATTAATCCCTGAAATGCATGCGACTTACTTTTAGCTGCCTTGGGAGATTTGAACAGCTTCAGTGATGAGCTTGTGCAGTAGTGGGATGTGCCTGGATCCCCTCGACGAAGCTTCCTGAAACACAAAAGCAATTACAATACCAGAACACTACTTCCGTTGTTTATATAAAAAAAAATAAAAAAAATAAATAAAAAAAATGGAGATGATTCCATGGCATTTGATTAGCTAACCAAGCAATTTGAATAAAATAAGCAACACCTACTTATGGAGAACTGTTTCCTGATTGGTTGAAAGTAGGCAGAGTAGGCAGGGTTTTGCTGCATTAATGAGATATAATTGATTTTGTATCGTCTAAAGTTTTATTAGATTATTTAAGTTGCATGTGAAGTTATTATTTTTGACATATATTCATAATTAACTTTGATTGGCTACGTGGATTTACACCGTGCGTACACCATTTCTCTATTTTAATAGCTCCATAAACACACACAAAGAAATCCTCCAGTATGTCAGCTTAATTTGAGAAAGGTGCATAAATGATAAACATGATAATAGTTATAGATATTTACAACTTTGGTGAAGAAACAGTCAAACAGGTTTAGTGCTGGTGAAGATCATAAACAAAGATAATCAGGGTGATTCAGGGATTTGGTGCTTCAACCACATTATCTTGGCACAATGAAAGGATATGATCCTGTCCAGGTGCTGAGCCTCGGACAACAGGGATATCAGTATTCCCAGAACCAAAACAGAATCATATCAACAGAACAGAATCATATCAACAGAACAGCTACTATCCAACCTTCAACTCATGCTAGTCCGCTAGCCCAGACTACTAAATTGTGCTGATACAGCGGTAGAAACTAACAGTTTCAGTCCACTAGTCCTGATAATAACATATAGCAAAACCCTTAAAAATGGCAAATTTCTGCAAGTCCTTATGATACCATTACCATTGAGCAGTTTGGCAAGGACTACAGGACTAGTGCCAATTTCTAACGCTGTGAGAACAAGCAAATCCAACGACGGTAGACATCCTTGACTAGTAGCATTGGAAGGCTATAATCCTGAACCAATTCTCAATGCTTCAATTGGAAGGCTATAATCCTGAACCAATTCTCAATGCTTCAATTGGAAGGCTATAATCCTGAACCAATTCTCAATGCTTCAATTGGAAGGCTATAATCCTGAACCAATTCTCAATGCTTCAATTGGAAGGCTATAATCCTGAACCAATTCTCAATGCTTCAATTGGAAGGCTATAATCCTGAACCAATTCTCAATGCTTCAATTTTGCTACAAATTGGAAGTAAAGAAAACTGACAGACGACTGAATCCTTACAATCTAGACCAGCGATTAGCCATTCCAGAATGTCCTTTTTGTTCAGCTTTCAAATTTGTAATCGAGAATTTGTCAAAATATGTTTCGAAGCATGAGAAAGCTGCCTTCTGATTGGTCAGTCCATTGGTCGGTCAAAGTTTCGTGCAAGGTCGGTCTGACGTGACCCGTAATGGGATGTCCTCAGATCTTTGTATAGTGATAGCGAGAACTTAGATCTGATTTAAATGAGATTGCCCTCTGGAATAAACAATAACACAAGTTGCTGTAGCTACATCTGATCATGACAACAGACTTTCAGGAGACTCGGAGCCAAACAACTCCAGGATAGAAAGCATTACATGTTTTGCAACACAATTAAGAATTATGGTATTGAATTAGTTTTCTTATAAAGAAAATGTTGCACAGGTGGACAAAGTTGTACTCACGCGCTCATTGAAGGTTCCTTGTAACTGACTGCACCAGTTCTGCATGACCTCTTCATACCTCCTTCGCTGCAGGGGAAGTAAACATGGGTTGTTGTAGGAAGTAAACATGGGTTGTTGTAGGAAGTAAACATGGGTTGTTGTAGGAAGTAAACATACAACACATTCAATACAGCTGCCATGTTTTGTATTATTTTCAGCATTTTTAGACACTATCAGTAACAATTGATCAACACACAGTTGCAACTTTAGGCCTCCTAAATATTACCAGGAGAGATGTAAAAATGTTAATGTTTATGATAGAGGGACAGTACCCCAAGTCAAGGGCGAACTAGACATCTCAGTATTCTCTGTTGAAATCAAGGAGGATTTACCCATTTTCCTCGGACTCTCTCTTCCTCTTCAACTCTCCGTTCTCCTTCTCCGTCCCCGCGAGTGACATCCTCTCCGCAGGGTTGGGAAGCATGGACAACTTGCGCTTCAGCTCGTTGAACATAATCTTCAGCTCAGCCTAGAACCATGAACAAGTGATGAAGACACTAATCCAGCAATATAATGGTGGGTGAAACCAGTTATGGGCTTCACACATTGTTACCATGTGGGGAATCGAACCCGAGCCTTCGGCGTGATGAGCTAATGCTTTAACCACTAGGCTACCCCACTGTTCTGAGTGAGTGAGTGAGTGAGTGAGTGAGTGAGTGAGTGAGTGAGTAAGAGTGTTAAGTTGTATTTTCAGCCGCTTTAAGCAATATTTCAGCAATATCACAGTGGGGAGACACCAGAAATAGAATTCACATATTGTTCTCATGGCAGGAATCGAACCCAGGGGTTCAGCTTGACGAGCAAACGCTTTAACCACTAGGCTACCCCACTGCCCTGAGTGAATGAGTGAGTAGAGAATGGAGAATGTGAGATGCAAGAGATCTGTGTGTACACCTTATTTTCAGGAATAATATTTCAATCTATGCATGCTAGGAATGCCTTAATCTGTAATCATGAACAGTGTCTGAAATACTTTTTACTCAAAACACACCACTTGGGGTGAAAGATTCTCGCCTATGTTTTCTTTTCAGTCTCCTTTTCGTGAAATGTCTTTACTTTAAAAACAATAGCCAATTGCTTGATATATTTAAAAGAGGTTTCTGTTGCAAAAAGGAAACCTCTTTTTAACCAGTCAGATGAGCCCGACTTCAGTGATGTCAGGACATTGTTTTCGTGGCTTTTTGAAGGGACGAGTGTTTTCTGTTGGATTTTCAAATCCCCTCCGGCCAAATCCTTAGGGTGCTGGTTGACGGAGATGGCAAAGAATATCGAACACAAAAAGGGTTGTAAACAACATGTTATCATAACTAAAGTTTCTTCAAACATATTTATATAATGTCATATTTTACTTTCATTGTCGCTAGTCTGTCTATTAATTTCACGAGTTAGGGTCTATTAGAGTCCACACATGTAATAGAAGAAACATTGATACGTTTTACAGTTCTCAGTGGTGATTGATCGGCAGCCATTTTTGGGAATCAATATGTAGGCTAGCGATGTATTCATGCTCACGTGTTTTGTGTGAAAAGGCTTACTGTATTTAAAAGGGCTTTCCGTAGCAAAAAGGAACCCTCTTTTTAACCAATCAGAATCCAGCATTCATCAATGTCGTGGTAGAACACTAATTACACTGCACACTAACCTGTTGGCTTTCTTTGCTGCGGGCAGGTTTGTCAGCTACCACCTCTAACTTCTTCTTGGCTGATTTCTTCCCTGTTGACTTGGCATTTTTACTTCCAGATGATGGATTTGTTTTCTTATCTGTATTTGTTTTCTCCTCAGTCGGGTTCTGAGAGATCTCCTCATCTGATTTTCTTTTTTGTAGTTTCTTAACACTCCTCGTACCACCATCTTCTGGGGGCTCGGCATCAATTGTGATCTGAAGACTTTCTCTTCTTGAATGGGATTTTGAGTCATTCCCATTGTTTCTTTCGGGTGTTGCTGCCTTGTCAACTCCACGTTTTCTACTTTGACTGGAATCTTTCTCTACTCTTGACCGTGACTTGCTTCGGGATCTTGAGTCTTTCTTTTTTGGGACATCTGGACTTCCTTTTAAAGGCAAGGAATATGTCCCACTTTCTTCTACATTTTTTGTTTGTTTGTCAACCTTAGAATCAGAAATGCTGTTGGATTCTTTCAATTGTATTTCATCTTCATCATCAGAATCTACTTCAGTATGCTTCTTGCGTTGAACCTTACTCCTCTCTACTCTTGACCTTGACTTGCTTCGAGATCTTGAGTCTTTCTTTTTTGGTACATCTGGACTCCCTTTCAAAGGTAATGAATAAGTCTCACTACTTGACTTATTGCTGGGTTGTTCAATCTTTCCAGAACGTCCACTTGATTCTTCTAACTGTACTTCATCTTCATCATCAGAGTCTGCTTCAATATACTTCTTGCGTTGCCCTTTACCTCTCTCTACTCTTGACCTTGACCTACTCCGAGACCTTGAGTCCTTTTTCTTTGATTCATCTGGACTTCCTTTTAAAGGCAAGGAATATGTCCCACTTTCTTCTACATTTTTCTTTTGTTTATCAACTTTAGAATTAGGAGTGCTGCTTGATTCTTTCAATTGTATTTCATCTTCATCAGAATCTACTTTAGTATACTTCTTGCGTTGACTGTGATCTTTCTCAACTCTTGACCGTGACTTGCTTCGAGATCTTGAGTCTTTCTTTTTTAGGACATCTGGACTCCCTTTCAAAGGCAATGAATAAGTCTCACTACTTGACTTATTGCTGGGTTGTTCAATCTTTCCAGAACGTCCACTTGATTCTTCTAACTGTATTTCATCTTCATCATCAGAATCTACTTCAGTATATTTCTTTCGTTGACTGCGATCTTTCTCAACTCTTGACCTTGACTTACTTCGAGATCTTGAGTCCTTTTTCTTTGATTCATCCAGACTTCCTTTTAAAGGCAAGGAATATGTCCCATTTTCTTCTACATTTTTCTTTGGTTTATCAACCTTAGAATCAGAAATGCTGTTGGATTCTTTCAATTGTATTTCATCTTCATCATCAGAATCTACTTCAGTATGCTTCTTGCGTTGAACCTTACTCCTCCCTACTCTTGACCTTGACTTGCTGCGAGATCTTGAGTCCTTCTTTTTTGGTACATCTGGACTCCCTTTCAAAGGTAATGAATAAGTCTCACTACTTGACTTATTGCTGGGTTGTTCAATCTTTCCAGAACGTCCACTTGATTCTTCTAACTCTACTTCATTTACATCATCAGAATCTACTTCAGTATATTTCTTTCGTTGACTGCGATCTTTCTCAACTCTTGACCGTGACTTGCTTCTAGATCTTGAGTCTTTTCTTTTTGGTATATCTGGACTCCCTTTAAAAGGTAATGAATAAGTCTCACTTTCTGCCTTGTTGCCAGGCTCATGAACATTTTTAGAATGTTTGCTTGTCTCTTTTAACTTTAATTGTTTAGCTTTGTCAGCTGTAGAATCAATGCTGCTTGGTTTTCTTAATTCTATTTCATCTTCATCATCAGAATCTGCTTCAATATAGTTCTTGCGTTGACTGCAATCTCTCTCTACTTTGGACCTACTCTGAGATTTTGTGTCTTTTTTCTTAGGTTCCTCTGGACTTCCTTTCAAAGATGATGTCTCAATTTCAACATTTTTACCTTTGTCAACCTTAGTACTAGAAATGCTGCTTGAGTCTCCTGGCTGTACTTCATCATCAGAATCTACTTCAATATAGTTCTTGCGTTTACCACCTCTCTCTTCTCGTGACCTTGACTTACTCCGTGATCTGGATTCTTTTCTCTTTGTTTTATCAGGGCTTCCTTTCAAAGGTAATGAATACGTCCCACTTTCAACATTTTTAGATCCATCCTTTTTGTCCTTCTTTCCTTCTCTGCTGTTCTGCTTGACATCAAAGTCTTCAGATTCAGTCCTCTTCTTGCTACGACTACGACCTTTTGACCTGGACTGACCTTTTCCTTTTCCACTTTCTTTTGGGCTGCCTTTGAGAGGAAGATGATAAACTTCCTCTTCCTCCCCAGGATCTTCCATCTCATCCAAAGGCACAATGACTTTAGCACTCTTATCAGCAGAAGCAGAATAATTCTTGATCGATTCTGCTATTACAACACTGTCGTTTCTACAGGTTGCGTTTAACCGCAAACTGTGGTCAGGATCATCAAATTCAGTGAATGCTTGGAGGAGTTCCTTTACATCATATTTCTTACTTTTAGTCTGTTGTCTTTCAACCTTCTTCAGTTCCATAGATCTGCCCTTTGATGGTTCAGGCTTTCCCTTCAGGGGTAACTGATGTGCACTAACTGATGCAGCAGCATCTTCCTGTGTTGGCTTCCCATTCCGACTTTTAGCATCATCTCCGATATCATTTTTCAACGACTCCTTTTCTATGTCACTCTTTTGACCAACATCGGGTTGCTTCAGGGCCGAAGTTTCTTTCTTCTTCTGAAGCTTGTCTGTCTTCTTCATCACTGCATCCTCTTCACTATTGCCTTCATCATCTGTTGCTGGTACCACTTTGGTCTTGTTCCCAACATCATCATCTTCCAGTTCTTCATCTGTTGCAGAGGCCACACTCGTCTTGGCATCATCTGACTTGGTCTGTGTTGGAGGAATCACCTCATCGTCAGACTCTGACGGTAACCTCTGCCTTCTGCCTATGCTTCTCGAGGATTTCCTAATTGGTTGAATTTCTACAGTATCCTCCTCTTCCTCCTCTGATGTCTTAACCACAGGTCTAGACGAGCTGAGTTTTGCAATAAAATCTCGTGATGACACAGGCTGTAAGTCACCAATCATAGTGAGGCTTTCGTCCATTTCTGTCTCATCATCCTGCCAATCATCATCTGATTCCACAGCCTTCTTCTTCCTATCTGTAACAGACTCAGCTTCATCGTCACTGCAGCCATCAGCCTGGAGTTTGTTGATATGTTTGGCTTTAGTCTTGGCAGCTCGTGAAGCCCTGCCTACAGGTTGTATTGACTCTGGATCTGCATCTTTAGATTCTGCAGCCAAACACTTGCTACTTTTGTCTCCCAATTCCTGTTTGTCATTCTCATCCTCTTTACATTTTGCGGACTCTTCTGTCTGATCCTCTGGTTTGCGCTTCTTGCTCCTGCCATTTCGTGAGGATACAAATGTCGCTTTAGAAGAATCTATTACACAAACAGGTTGTGTTGATTCAGTTTTATTATTTGCAATCTTAGAGTTCTTTGGCTTCTCATGTGCTTTTTCTAGAACCTCTCCAGCTTCCGTCTTTGACACCTGTGCCTCTGACTCATCTGGACCCTCTTTGGCATCTTCTGAAACTGACTGGCCTTTCCCCTTCCCAGATGTCTGAACCTTTTCTCCCAAACAACCTTCCTCCCTTTGGTCTGGCATGGTTTCACCATTTGCATCACTCATTTCAACATCCTCATTAGCAGGCTGTCGTTTTCTACTTTGTGACCTTGACCTTGTCATCAGACCTCTTGACCTGGACCGACCTCTATCATTACACTTCTCATCTCCTTCATCAACATCCATCTCTTCATGACCTGCATCTTCTTTCCTGGCCCGACTGCGTGACCTCCCACGTCGACCTCTCGATCCTTCGTTGTCAGGCTCACCTTCAGGATCTGAAGTCGGCTTTCTACTTCGACTCTTTGACCTGGAAGTCGGTCCCCGGCTCCTTGATCGACTTCTAGCCCCAACTTTCTTCTCATCCGGGCTCCCTTTCAAAGGCATGTTATAAGTGACACTTACAGAATCACATTTTGGGTCACCTTTCTTTGTAGTTTCTCCATTTATCTGATTATCTTTCCCTTCAGGCTTGTCCACTGATGGCTGGACAGTCGAGTCATTTATGGAGATATCATACACCGATGGCTGGACCCTACTCTTCTCTGCAAGATGGACAGGTGTCTTGTCATGGAAGTCAAAGATGTTCTTTGGTGAAGGATAGTTTGCAGCGATGGAGTCCTTCATATCTTTCATCTCCTTCTTACTTTTAGTTCTCGGCCTTGAGGGCAACTTGGACGGAATAGCTTTCCTGCTACCATCGTAATCTTTCCGTGACGCAGTAAAAACAATCTTGCCTGGTTTCCGCAGCTGAAGGACAACAGCAGGTTTGCTGGAGTCATCCGACTCCTTACTAATATCAGAATCACTCTTGGACAATTTGACATCCTTCTTCTCTTTGGCTGATATTGATGTAAGAGAGGTTGATTTAGCAATCTTAGATTTTGATTTCTCGATGGTCTGTGTTGGTTTCCCACTCCCAGTTTTGGTCTTATCCTTTACCTCAGATTTAGGATTCTCATCTTCAGGAGGCAGAATGTCGGCTGGTCTGGCCACAGAAATCTGTTCTATGTTAATCACCTCTGTCAGCTCCATATCACTGTTCAGATACACAGTGACATCGTCAGGATCACAAACGGGGAGAGGGACTTTGAATACTTCCTGATCCGTCTTCACGGACTTAATCGACTGAGCTGGGGCTGCTGGGCTTCTGCTCAAGACAAATGTCTCTCTCTTCGGGTCCTTCTTTGGCTTTTCTTCGTTTTCTAGTAAAGGTTTGTTTACAACGAATGTACCTCTTCGATCCTGTTTACTACTGTCTTCCGTAGGCGCAGCTTCTAGTTGGGGCTGGGGAGCAGGAACGACAAATGTACCCCGGCGATCTCTTTTGAGCTCTGAAGTCTTCATACTTGACGCTTCTGCGCTCTTAATAAAATCTTGGTTAGAATTGGACACTGCCTTTTGCCTGCTTTTAGAACGCCCGTTTCTTTGGGCTTCTTCGATGATAAATTTGGGTGAGAGTTTATCCGAGATGCTGGAGGGACCTTTATCCTCAGATTCAGTCTCAGTTATCATTGGATCTTCTGAAACTGAAAAAGTGAAAACAAATTAATTAAATATTTCCTGAGACATCCATGCTTTATGTGTTACTCCTTTGCTGTGTCATATTACGTACAGAAATAGACTGATAGCCCAAAGAGGTGCAAGTCATAGATTTGTCATCTTCCCGAGGCAAGGGAGTTAACTGACTATAAAAGTCCAGTTTCCACCCTTGCCGAACTAGGCTGGTATTATGGAGTTACATTTTGGCTGGGCTAACGAGTCTATGCATAGTCCAATCACAATTGCACACCGAAATCGAAATCCGGTTTCGTAAACTTTCGTGCAGATTTCGGTCGATTGCAGGATTTGCAAAGCATGTACACCGCCAACTCGTTGTCACAGAAATTTTCCAAATCTTTTCATATTTTTAATCAAGGTGCTCACGAGATTTGATGCACTTGGCGATGTAAGACCCGATTTATCACAATGTAGATCTTGATTATCGATCAGATTGTCTTGACCGGGCGCCACCATTTTGTGTGAAGCAAACGCAAGTGATACGAGAGGTGAAATCTGATTGGTCCATAGGAGAGGCTTAGAAGAGACACAACTGGTAATAGCCACTGGTGGCGCTACGATTGAGCACAGTAATTCCAGCCTAGTTCGGCAAGGGTGGAAACTGGACTTTTTTAGTCAGTTAACTCTCTTGCCTCAGGAAGATGAGATTTGTGGACATTTTGAAGGCAGGGTCAGAAAGAGGAGAGCACCCATCAAGATTACCTAAAGAAGTCTGAGTAGTACATTAAACACCTGTTTATCACAGTTGGGGATTTACCTCCATCTGACTAATTCTGCACTGACCTGACTAAAGGTTTGGTAATAACTTTGGAACCCATGTTGAAGCCTTATTTTGAAAAAAAATAAACAAACAACACCCCCCCCAAAAAAAAAACCCAAACAAAACACTGCCCTGATAGGAAACAATAGTTGTGGTGTTAGAGATCTGGAATCCCCTTTTAAAGTTCACTTTTGTGGTAAAAAATAATTGATGAGGGGCTAGAGATTGCGAAGTTGAACAGGACACTGGTAAAGCTGAGTTGACATGGGGTTTATCGTCACATTTAATATTATTGCACTAATATAGCAATGACCATTCATGATCCGGACTAATGCTGTGTTTGTAGTGTAAGCCTATTGAGATACCATGCCTCAGGTTAACATGGATATTTAATTCAGGATACTCCCTCCAAGCAAAACCATTGTACCAGGCAGGGTAACAACAAGTACCATCTTTTGGTATGATGTAGCCAGGGATCAAACCTTCAACCACCGCGGTGGCAGGGATAGAACTAAACTCAAAAGCTTTACTATTTGTTTGTTTGTTTGTTAACAACGCACTCAGCAATATTCCAGCTATATGTCGGTGGTCTGTAAATAATCGAGTCTGGACCAGACAATCCAGTGATTGACATCATGAGCATCGATCCACACAATTGAGATACGATGGCATGCATCAACCAAGTCAGCAAGCCCGACTACCCAATCCCGTTAGTCGCCTCTTACGACAAGCATAGTCGCCTTTTACGGCAAGCATGGGTTTCTGAATTGTACCCCGGATAGAGTAAAGATAAAATGCTCCTGTAATGGCAAAACATTGGGGAAATTGCGAAATTTGTACTAGCCCACATAAAATTGTACTAGCCCCGAGCTAACGGGCTAGTGTTAAGTTCTAACCCTGGTCTGCAATATCAAAGCCTTGATCAGTGTTGACCACAGCGGACTCACCAGCAGGGAGGTCTTGACACTCGTCCTTGAGGTTGGCCTCCGCCAGCACAGACTGTTCCAGAATCATGGTCATTTCCTGCACCTGGCGGACAGTGTCCACACCCTGCAGCTGTAGGGCGTCGGCCTCCATGGGGGTGGGGTCCACGGTCTCCACGGGCTGGGGTCGGGTGACTGACACACGTGAAAATGTGTTCGGGTTGTAGTAGATCGAGCTGAAACACAGTTGGATTTTATTTTGTGAGCTATGGCCACAGAGTAGAGTAATGTTAATATGGGCTTGCTTGATGAATACATACATCATATGTCATATTAATGTTTTACATTGAACTGTCCATACTTTATATTTCTCACAAGAAATGTTAGCAATGCTTGGCAAAATCTTGTGTTGTGTGAGTGAGTGAGTGAGTGAGTGAGTGAGTGAGTGAGTGAGTGAGTGAGTGAGTGAGTGAGTGAGTGAGTGAGTGAGTGAGTGAGTGAGTGAGTGAGTGAGTGAGTGGGTTTAACACCGCTTTTAACAGTATTCCAGTTATACCGCAGAGTGTCAGCTTAATGTGGGAGGAAAGCCGGAAGTGATGCAGGTCTCAGACGTTTACCACTTCGGTGAAACCCACGAGCACAGGTATGGGTTCTGGCGTGCCCAAGGGACGCAACTCTGCACAGCGAATCGCAGCGCCTTAGACAACTGGGCCACCCGTGGCCCCGTGTTAACTTGAACATCAGTTAAAGGAATCAGACATTGATTAGAATGCTTGTTTACAGAACATTCAGCAATATTCCAGCCAATGGTTTAAAATAGTCCTGAGATGAACATATTCATAGTACAAATGATGAAAAGGTAAATTCCTGGATTTAGCCATTTTGTTGAGCATCAACATACCATTTCACCAGGAGGCAGACATGGTTTCAAACACTGATCTATCTTATGCACTCAGTTTTAAAATGTACTAATGTTTGACACCCTCCCCCTCTGAAAATTCTACATACAGTGAGATAAACTCATTATTAAGTTTTAACTTTAAAAGCTAAAAGTAAGAGGGCATAAAGTGTAGGAGTGTATCACTGAATGTTGAACGTGAGTCTCCTCCAGTGACACATGCATAATTTGGTTTGTTTGTTGTTAAACGCTGCACTTAGCAATATTCCAGCTATATGACGGCGGTCTGTAAATAATCAAGTCTGGACCAGAAAATCCAGTGATCAATATCATGAGCATCGATCCACGCAATTGAGATATGATGACATGCATCAACCAAGTCAGCGAGCCTGACCACCCGATCCCATTACTCGCCTCTTTCGACAAGCATAGTCGCCTTTTATGGCAAGCATGGGTTGCTGAAGACCTGTTCTATCCATGCTAACCTGGATCTTCACGGCTTTGAGCACAGGAAAGGGCTTGATGTGGCAAGGGTGGAAACAAGACTTTGATAAAAATTCTACTGGACATTCTTGCCACGGGAAGATGAGCATTCAGTCAGTAAGATTTGTGTATGTAAATTGAAAAAGCTACTTAGATTATTCTGCAGTGTTGCAACACCACTGGGTTATCAAGTTTCTTTATGGTGTACTTGTAGGCAAGCAACTGAACATTAATTTGGTATGGTTATTTATTCATATGTAAAGATATGGAGGGGTTGTGGTATGATACATAGCCCCATACTATGGATGCGATATGATTCGCTTCCCAATACAGCAATTATGTTTCACAAATTGATATTTGTTTCTTTTTGCTAGTGAATCACAACCCGGAATAATTTGTTCTTAAAATTGTGTATTTAATACTATTATAGCTGGTTGTTAAACAGTTCCATTCAGCATTTTAAATCTGATATTATTGACATGTTTTTCGACAAATATAACTTATAATAGACATATGGATCGAGATGTACATGACACAGAGTTTGTAAATCAATGTAATGTACCGTGGCCTTTGTATCGGGATACAATACTGTATCGCTGTATTGGTACACAGGTGATTTAGTTTACGTAATGTACACAAACATGCAGCTTATCTGGGGTCTTACCTTGTGGCTCCGCTGTTGATGGGAGAGAAGGCATCATCAGATGTGCCTAGGGAGGAGTTGCGGGCGCTGGAGGCCACTGACAGCCGACTGGGGTCCATACACTTGTCAAGGGCATCCTGCAGACAGCTGCCAGCATCCAGGAGATGGACACTCACTTTGCTCAGGATGTACTTCAGCTGCTGAGTCTTATCCTGCAAGCAGGTTATGGATCGGAGCTCCAGATAAGCTTTTGGTGTTGTGGGTATTTTACCCATGCTTTTTAAAATCATTGGGTATCAGTAATTCTATATGGGTATTCAAATTTCTGTTACCCACTAGTTTTTACACATGTGGGTATTTAAGTTAAATATTTAAAGACACTATTCATCTAGTCCCTGCAAACTGGTGTCGTGTGGGTTCAAGAGCTTTATAGGACTCAAAAATACCACGATTCTTCCACAAGAAAGTGTGATGGCAAATGATCGTGATGTAACTGTCATCGTGGAGTTTGGCAAGGTTGACGGAATGCCCGTTTATAATTTCAAAATAAGTTGCTGATTTGCTAATGGAATATGCAGGGTTACTTCACAATATTTTGATGATATGCACAAGTTTTATTTTTGTAGCTTATCTGTAATGTTCATTGCGTATTTGATACGCTTGGATTTAATTTTACTGCATATTTCTGAGTAAGTGAGTTGGGTTTAACGCCGCTTTTAACAGTATTCCAGCTATATCTTGGCGTGTCAGCTTAATGTGGGAGGAAAGCCCCAAGTGATGCAGGTCTTGGACGTTAACCACTTCGGTGAAACCCACAAGCACAGGCATGGTGCTGACAAACCTAGAAACATAATTGGGGCGAACCGGGATTCGAACCCACAATCATAGGTTTCTGGCGTGCCGAAGGGACGAAACTCTGCACAGCGAAGACAACTGGGCCATCTGAGCCCCCAGATGGTACAAGGTCCTAAGCACATTGTATGTCATAGCAACATGGGGTACAGACAAAGAGAAGTGATGCAGTATATCAGGGTTTGAAATTAACACAGGTCCACTCGTCTTAGACTGGTAAAATTCAGGAAGGACTAGTGACTTTTCCTTGAGGAGTACCACATTTACCATTAGGTAGATGGCAACTCTGTCACTGATCATGCTGATGGTTTTTGTGGACTGGTGATTTCTAACCCTGAACATCCTATTCACAGCCTCATGTTGATCCCAATGCTCCCCGTCATGTTACTATGGTTACCTCCATCCTGCGCTGGACCTCCTTCTCCAGACTGTCGTCCTTCAGTCCCGCAACTCGCTCCAGGTTCATGAGGCGCAACTGGAGGTCCTGGAACTCCTTCTTCATCTCGTTGTTCACCTCGTACGACACACGGAGGTCCTGACGAACCTTCTCCAGTGACTGGGCCAATGCCTTGTTGTTTGCCCGGAGGGACGCCTTGACCACAGACGAGTTGGCTGCTGTGTATAATAAACAGTTGTTTGTTGGAATAACGCCGAGCTATGCAATATTCCAGCTGTATGAAGATGGTCTCACATAATCAAGTCTGGGCCAGACAATCCTGTGATTGACATTATGAGCACTGACCAAGTCAACAAGCCTTGACCACCCAATCCCGATAGTTGTTGTTTTGTTGTTAAACACCGCACTCAGCAATATTCCAGCTATATGACAGCGTTCTGTAAATAATAGAGTCTGGACCAGACCATCCAGTGATTAACATCATGAGTATCGATCCACACAATTGGGATCGATGACATGCATCAACCAAATCATCGAGCCTGACCACCCAATCTCGTTAGTCGCCTCTTACGACAAGCATGGGTTGCTGGAGACTAATTCTAACCTCAATCTAAATGGGGTGTATTGTCATGATAATGAACAAGTCAGTGAGTTGGGGGAAAGCACAAAGTGATGTAGGCTGCAAATGTCCACCATTTTGGTGTAACCCACTATCACAGGTACCGTATTCGACGTAATAAGCGGCCAGGGTGCTCTCAAAATTAGAAATAGGGGTCTCTGATTGGAATATTATTTTGGTGAAAAAGACAGAGTTGAAAGATAAATTTCGTGGTTTATGCTGACAGCCTGAAATGTTTATATACGAAAGATACATTTTTCCAAAATTTAAATGCCCATAATTAAGGGTGCACATAACACCAGTACGTATTATGCGCGAATAAATAAGTGTTGTGTACATTGATCAATCGGAAGGGGTGCTAATTGGCATTGTTCACTAGACAATATATTAGCAAATATCGCGGTGGGCGTTTATTACGTCGAATACGGTAGGCCATATCTTAAATAAAAGCATAAGCACCTTAAATTTGCAATGATTTGTGTAAATGCATCCTTTCTTTTTTTACATGAAAAAATAATAAGATTTATTTATCATGTTTATCATGTTACTTTACACTGATCATGCTGATTTACCCATAAAATATCTTGATCATAGTTCATTTCTCAAATTTAAACACATCAGCAGAAAAGTTCAAGGACACATCTTTAATTTAGACACTGACGAACTAACAAAGTTAATACAAATTTCAAAGAATACCGGTAATATTCATTCTCGCTGAGAAGGACATCTTGTTATTTGTCGAGAGGTTCAGGTCAAACTTAGACTTCTTTTTCTTGATTCTCTTCAGTTTTAAACGTTTGTCACTGCCATCTTCCCGGGCACCACCCATGTTGTCATCCGGTGTGTCCTGAAAGTAATAGTGAGTGAGTTGGTTTTAACGCCATTTTTAACAGTATTCCAGTTATATCACGACGTGTCAGCTTAATGTAGGAGGAAAGCCCTAAGTGATGCAGGTCTCAAAAGGTTACCACTTCAACGAAACCCACGAGCATGAGTATGGTGCTGACAAACCTAGAAACATAATCGGGGCGAACCGGGATTCGAACCCACAATCATAGGTTTCTGGCGTGCCCAAGGGATGCAACTCTGCACAGCGAATTGCACCACCTTAGACAACTGGGCCACCCGTGTCCCCCTGAAAGTAATAACTGTTATAACACCACAAACCACATCAAACAGCTGCATTATCATGTAGGGACAACAGAGGTAGCCAAATGACCACCTTGAAAAATATCTTGTGCCGACTACATGGACTAAATTCTATTGCTTCACGTATGTGGACACAAAAATATATAACAGTTGATCTTGGATCATGCTAATAGTTGTACCTGCGAATAATTCCTCCAAAAGTCGACAATGAACCAAAGTACAAAAATATTAATGTAATTAGTATTTCGTTGACAATGCTCAATGGATAAGCAAGGATATACCTACATAATCTAGAAACATAAATTGCATCATTATTCAAGTCACAAATAACAAAAATCAAGTACAGTTTCCACTAATATACAATTCCAAGACCAGTGCAATGACTTGTACATGTTACAATAGCTATTTCATAAAAGATAATTTCAAATGCTTTTGGCTACCTAAAATATTGGCTTGATTTTGGTTTTTTCCCACTTGCTACCTGGAAAAAAATACTTTATATGGCTATGGTTAAAATTTAAACTTTGAGGCCTGCTGTTCATTGCAACAAGTGCGAGAAGACGTTGAGGAGAAATAGTGAGTGAGTGAGTGAGTGAGTGAGTGAGTTGGTTTTAATGCCATTTTTAACAGTATTCCAGTTATATCACGGCGTGTCAGCTTAATGTGGGAGGAAAGCCCGAAGTTATGCAGGTCTCAGACGTTTACCACTTCGGTGAAACCCACGAGCACAGGTATGGTGCTGACAAACCTAGAAACATAATCAGGGTGAACCGGGATTCGAACCCACAATCATAGGTTTCTAGCGTGTCCAGGGGACGCAACTCTGCACAGCGAATCGCGGCGCCTTAGACGACTGGGCCACCCGTGCCCCCTCACACTGTACAGACATGATCCAGTATTGGGAAGATGACAAGTTTCATGAATAGTGACTGAGTGCAGTGCCATCCATTATGTTAGCAAGAGTTGGAATTGGAGATAAACTTGGAAACCATCTGAAATTCCAGAATACCCTCTCATTAAGTAAACTAAATGCCTAAACAATAAATAAACTAAGTCAATACAGATATGTTAGTTTTGTTTCTCCAATATCTGGGTCCATTTTCTCCAAAAAATTGTGGTCATTTTCACAAAAATTGTGGTCTATTTTCTCCAAATTGTCTGGGGTCATTTTCTCCTGCACCCTTTGTATTGAGTTATAGCTCAGCTAAAACGTCACCTCAGCAAAACGTCACCTGGCGAGAACGGCACTAATTGGCGAAAACGTCACCTCGCCTCAAGCGAAAACGGCTACTATTGCCTGGCGAAAATGGCACCCTATTTTTTTTACCTTGGAAAATAAATTAAATTAAACTTACATGGTCGCTTGCAAACACCAATAATTGTGAAATGTTAAAACAAGTTTACATTAGAAATTAGCCTCTACTCCAACTATATTCCAAATTAACTTATACACAACTCAACTTATTGTGAAAGCAACATGCCTTGAAGTAAAACAAATGAAATTAAACTCACATCGTCTCTTACAAACATCAATAATTGTGGAAAGTTAAAACAAGTTTACATTAGAAATAAGCCCCCTGAGTCAGCTACTATCACAATGCTCGGTGGTACATGGGCCGATATTGTAAACTGTGACGAAGATGAAAACTGTGAAGAACTGTATATATGTGAATGTATGTAGTTATCTGTGAAAAAGTGGAAAACAGGAAATAACATGTAAATACATCAAATAATATGTAACAAATAACATAAATCAGATATACTACTACATAAATCATTCTTAAAAATAGAGGTGCCGTTTTCGCCCATCACATAATAGCCGTTTTCGCCAGAGAAATCGGTGACGGTTTGCTGAGGTGACGTTTTAGCCTGCACCCTTTGTATTGCGCCCTGACTACCTAATGTACATTCTTTAGCGTGTCCCTATGTTTATAATGACCTCAAAAGCATTATTTAGTAATATTTACCATGAATAAACCTGAAATATTGCTGCAGAGTTGACATGGTGTTCAAAAGTAATTGATCCTTGTATGAAATAGAAAGACATGGAGAGGTGAGATGCGATTTGTATGCAAATGGCCTTCCACAACAAAACAATTGTGATTTTTTTTCTATAGTTGACAGGTGACTGAAGATAATTGGAAAATGTACAATATAAATTTCAAACCAATGATTACATTTGAATCATTCGTTCGTGTGACACCGATTTAAACTGATGATCACTGACGATCTCAGTAACTAACGTGTTGACATTTCACTTTTCAATTCAAAACATTCTCCACGATTCGAACGTTGTCAGTCACCACTGAGACACCCTCGATCAGGCTAATACGCGTCCAAACCGCTAATTGTAAATGAATCTCTGTTAGATGGATCACAAACCATTTTTGTTATGTTGTTAAAAATCCGATGCTTTACAGTTCAACGATCGGGAATACAACCGATCACGGCATTCCTTCGTAACGGACATTGAACAACGCCATTTTACTTGAATCTGCCGCCCAGAATCTAGCAGTTCTACAGCTGAAATGCGCAAACGCCCCTTCCCTCATATCGTGGTTTACTCAGTTACATACAGAGCCAAGTTATTATTCGATAAATATTATTTTCATCTTAATTTTACAATTCATATCACAGATGATATTTATACAAATATTAGCGGATACTAGTGTCAAGTAATTTATTTACAGTAAATGATTTATATTTGCGCTCAGATTTAGTCACGTGATTTGTAGGTCACAACATGGCGTCTTCTGTCGTCGTGGAAATGTCAAACCTTGTTTAACAAAACGTTTCCCTCATAAAATAAACGGGAAATAGCGCTAGTCATGTGGAAAAAGCAAAAACATAAAGTGGAAGTTTAGAAAGAAGCAAAAAATCAAGATGACATTCACTCCAGGAGATCTGAAAGACGTGGCAAACCTTGTTGCTAGGAAGCTGTGAGTATCAACTGGGCTAAATGGCCATGTCGAAAACCTCTTCGTGTTTTTCTCTCATGTATTGAAGTTCATCGGTGACTGTTTTCCCTTTCCTGCTTCCCACTGCATCGTCAGTTAGCGGTGATTCTATTCTTTTGTTTGAAAATATTTCGAAAGTATCTGTTGAATTTTGTTCTTTTCGAATTCACGCACCTGTTTTGTGATTGAAAAAGGAATTTAAAAGACATGATGGGGATTTTAATGAATGGTCGTCCTTACTAAATTCTAATTAGAGCACATCACGATGTATATGTACGGTCCTCCTTACAAAATAATATTTATCTATATTTTAAAAAATGTGGAAATAATGCAAATCTGGAAAAAAAACTTCGTGTGAATTTTGATCTAGATTCTGTCTGTTTCTTTCTTTTTATTTTGACCTGAAGTATTTCATAACATTTCTTAACTATAAAAAAATACAATTTCAATCTAACAGATTGTCAGTGGAACAAGTGCAGACTTTATGAACCAATAACTTCCTGACGACCAGTCATTTGTCACTACAACAAATGCTACCATAATCACACATTTGACTGCTGCCTAACAATGGGGTATATATATATATATATACACTCACCCTGCTATTATCTGGAATGTAATGACCCTACCTCACTTAATGCAGATTTATGGGCCAGTATTGTAATGCGTAGCCGTTAATCTAATACCATCAACATAAAAAATATTGTGCAAGGCTTGTTTTAAAAAGAACTGTGATCTTGGTCTTTGATATTGTATGAAAAAAATGTCATTTATTGGGTTTGTCAAGTCTATTGTTAAGTCCTTTTTCAGAGGGTTTGCCAAACTGACTTGAGACATTTTTCTGAAGCTTGTGGTTCTTCTGTAGAGTCTTGAGATTGTAGCTACACCCTGTCCTCATGATTCCAGTAATCATTTTATTAGTTCATCGTTATACAAGATCTTTCTTTATCATGTTAATTGTCCAATTTTTTACATTATTATGATTTCTATTTTCCTATATCTAAAGTTCTTTTTTGCAGCTTGTTAAATGTCAATGTTGGATGCAATTGTATAACAGTAACTGTTCCCATATTGTTGGGGAAAAGAAAAGGGTGGTCAAATGGATTTTTGTCATATCATTAATAACCAGACAAACTATTTCAGTAAACATGGTCAAGCTTTGGTTTCATTGTGCGAACAATTACCTCCATAGTTCAAATGTTCAAACTTATCCTATCTCACACTATGCATTTCTTCTTATTCTTTGATACTGGTGTGGAAATGTCCCAGAACAGAATTTCTAGCTTTTAACAAAACAACCCACCCCGACACATCCCATACATCACTAAGTCAACACTGCAATCCCATGCGACACGACCCCTGCAACATCACCTGACATATCCAGCACCCACATTCTCAATTCTATTGTCTGGTGTTGTAGACGTTTACCTAACAGAGAATACTTTTTGTTTTTTTGTTTTACAAGGAAATCACTTCTGTCTACCATTGCCATGAACATACAATACGATATGGAGTCGTCACGCCCCCCTCTGCTCAGACTGTTTTCTCCACTTGACCCACTTCCTTTTTGTTGTGATTGTCGTGGAGTGTGTGATATCGATACACAATATGTGTTACCCTGTCTTAATCGGCTTTCAAAACTTACCTTCTCAAGTGTTCAAAATGGTCGGCGGGTCGTCGTGTAAAGATTCCGAGCCTGGTCCTTCCTCCGCAAAGAAACCCAAACAAATTGTGTTATTCCATGTGACTGCCTTCGTCTTCTTGCAAAAAGAAAAAGAAAATGTCCTCTTCGGCAACGGGTTACATCACTTTCCACTGAGGAGGACTTGCTCCCAAGTCATTTTTGCTTGCCGCCCTTCCCGCCTCTGTATGGACCAAGCCCTTGCAGGGGACAGCGTTGGGAAAGTCTCAGCCGTCAGCAGAGGGTTGGTTGCCTTTACCTCCTTCCTGCTCGTGAATCTGAACATCATTGCTCCCGGCAGCCCTCTGAGCATGTAGATTCATCTTTTTAGGATTTCTGTTTCTAATGGTGACAGCCCCACTGACCAAAAGGATGATCTTTCTCGAGCAAAGGATCATCGACGGGGATCGTCATCCTTCGTTAGAGAGTAAACGGCCGAGGGATTGACGGATTGCCAGATCGGCATGCTTCACCATTATTGACAGGTTGCTGTTCTTTTGTTGGACTACCGTGTCGACATTTCGCCAGATTGTACCTCTGAGGATCGGCAGATCGACATTTCAACAGATCCAACCCTGAGGGATCTCCACTCTTCTTTTCATCAACATATTGATACATCGACATATCAGCACATCGATACATCATCTGATCAAGAACTCAGCCGCTGACTTCGCCAGCTCGATACACGGAGATCGCCATTCTTCCTCAGATCAACGTTTCTCTCAGGATCGACAGACTTCTCAAGGTCGTGAGTTTCATATATCGGATCGTCAAAGTTCTCCAGACCGACGGCAGTCACGAGACCGTTGGGGGGATGTTGTTTGACTTAGCTCCCAGACTCGTTCAACTTCTTTTGACTGCTGGGATTCCTCTGACCACCATAACCAAAGGGATTTTCCTTTGTCCAAAGATACCAGAGCCCTTTTGATTTCGCAGATTGTTATTGGTCGGACACTTGACAGCATCTTTGCCCTTGGTCCAGAGCTCGTTACAGACAAGGATCCAGAATTTGTTCTACTTTAAGGACTGACCGTTCACCCATTCACCCGTTCCACCTTGACGACCTCAGTGCTCCCCTTCTACAACCCCCACTTTCTTCTCATGAGACGAGAGCAGTGGCTTCCACCTTGGCGTTGCACTGTAATTGCACTCTCTCAGCCATCATGGAAGGATATTTTTGGCGATCTGATACAGTCTTTGGTGAGTTAGTGATGTGTGGAATGTGTTGGGGTGTTTTGTTTTTTTTAAGCTGGAGGCGCTGTTCTAGGACGTTTCCACATCAGGATCGAAGAATAAGAAGAAATGCATAGTGTGAGATAGGATAAGTATATAATTTTACAATTTATTGTAAAATTTGCTTGTTTATTTATGATTAAGAAATTGAATAGAATGTTATTAATCGCAATGAAAAGGATGAAGGCGAACATTCCAGATTTCAGCTGCTGATTATCTAGTTCATGTTGAAGTGACATTCACTGGGAGGTGAACATTCTAGATTCTAGCTGCTGATTATCTAGCTTATGTTGAAGTGATATTCACCGAGTATGAAGGTTGATCAAAAGTATTCTATTCTTTTAAAATCCATAGGACACACCTAAACCTTCCTACTTGTATCCTGTGGCATGCTTGATAAAACAAATCTGTCTGAGACCTTGTCACTTTACAGCCCTGACTTCGGTGTATTGTTTGAGTTCGACCGTTAAGACGGGAATGTTGTCTGTGTTCACTATAGGGAGGTGTACATGAATAAAGAGAGAAGGGAGACAAGGTTCCAGCCGGCTGGGTGTTACAGAACCACGAAGAAAATGGTAGGCTGTTTTATACCCTGAACTTGCTGCTCTACATGTTACAAGTGACCGCCTCCGTGGTCTAGTGGTAGAGCGTCCGCCCGGAGAGCGGAAGGTCTGGGGTTTGAACCCTGGCCGCGTCATATGAAAAAGATGTTAAAAGATGGTACTTGTTTTTACCCTGTCTAAAGGGGCGAAAACAAGGACTGGTCGGCTCGGAGTCAGTATACTGTGTCTGAGTGAGGTATTCATGTTAAACTGCGGCATGGTATCTCAGTGGGCTTGCACTATAAATCGGCATCAGTCCGGACTAGTTCAAGCAGCCACACACACACATGCATGCACGTCGCTACATAAGTGCAATAATCTTGGATGGATGTTAGACCTAATTTCATCTAACCTCACCATCACGTTTCAATTTTTGCTTATTTGAAATCCTATGTTATTCTCTGCTATCATCTACCAGTTTGCCTGTTAGTGGCTCAGTTATTTACAGGTTGATATTGATAATATTGCAGAATGAGGCATACAACAATAATTGCCTCTCTCCAGTTTTCGAAATTAATTAAAACTTGTAAAAAGTCACAATTTTGAACAAAGTATCGATTTTTCCCAACTTTCTTGCCAATTATGCTTCGTTCTGAATCCTTGATAAAATCCAGCAATAGAAACTAACAGTTTTAATCCACTAGTCCTTTAATGATAACATGTAGTGAAACACTTAAAAATGGCAAATTTCTACTAGTCCTTATGATACCTCAACTATTGGGCAGTTTGGCAAGGTCTATAGGACTAGTGCCAATTTCTACAACTGAAATCCTTGATTTAGAGTTATAATAATAATAGGCCATTATATTTCCACACCACTCAGGGGCATGCTCAAAGCGCCATTACTTCCCTGGTCACTGGTTCAGTGTGCACTCAAGAATCGTTCTCAGCTCCCTGGGGAGTATACAACCCAAGCTGCCTGTTAAAGGCTAGAAGGTTAACAACCTCATTGCCATCTCATCCTACCTGGTACCCATTCACTTATGACAAGGTTCCCGTGACTAGTATCCTTAATTCCGACCTCCTAAAACAACTGTGTCGTTTACAGCAGAAGTATGACCTCCTACAGAGAGTAATGGAGACCTCGGACCTCGACCAAGTCCCAGCACCTCCTTCAAAAAGTCCGCAGAGAAAAAGCCTCCGGAGGAAGAGCCCTGATGGAAAGATGAAGGTGGACCACAAGTCCAGAAAACAAGACGCTTCCAAGGAAAGAAAAGTAGCCAAAGATAAGAAGTTTGACGTGTCACGCAGTGGCACAGACAAATGGAAGCCACAGTCTGATACGGACAGGAGGGGAGAGGTGGACAAGGGGAAGGACAAAGATGTGATGGTTTTGAATAGGGAGACATGGATGAGGCTTGTTGATGAGAAGGATGAGAGGTGAGACAGGGTGGAGTGAGTGAGTTTGGTTTTATGCCGCTTTTAGCAATATTCCAGGAATATCACGGCGAGGGACACCAGAAATGGGCTTCACACATTGTACCCAGGTTGGAAATCGAACCTGGGTCCTCGGTGTGATGAGCGAACGCTTTAACCACTAGGCTACCCGACCGTCCTGAGACAGGGTGGAACTGAAATGATGATCGATTACACAAATAAACCTGTACTGGTCACCGACCGGTTATGGCTATCTTTTTTCAGGTTATTTCTAAAATATTCCGTGTACAATGTCAGCTGTGCCAAAAACTTTGGTTTGTTTGAGACTATAAGCAAATGCATGTTTTTCTGTCCATAAAAAAAGTTCTAGTAGGTTTCTGTTATAACGCGACAATAGGGAATCAAAACAGTGGAAATAGAAATGTTGACTATGGATTTTGCGGTATTTTCAGGGCTATGCATTTATGAAAAGATAGCTGAAATAGGTTTTAAAATTGTAATGTAGGGAAGAAATAACACACAGATAGTAAGCTATGACAGAACTGAATGTGCATCATCGTGTTGCTGGATGTTTGTTATGCATGAATTAGTCACGTGACACCATCCGCATGTCTCTTCTAAAGTTGTATTTGAACAAGGTGATGATTTTTAAAAAAATATTTCTTCACAAGGGTCAGATTTGTTTATCATTTTTTATAAATATTTCTCTCTTCTAATGAAATTGAGCAAAAGTAAAACAAGATGAGATCATGTCAGATTCATGTGCATGCTACAAGGGGGATTTGGCGATAATTGGTCCTCAGCGATAACTGCTCGCTAGCCAGTAGAGAGATTAACTCTTAGCAAGCTCCTGCTCGTCGTAAGAGATGTACTCTTTGGGGATTATAGGTTAGAATCGGTCCCCAGCAACCTATGCTGGTTGTAAGGGGTGACCAAATGAATCGGGTGGTCAGTAGGGCTGCAATGAATGCACTATAAGGCGAATACGATTCGTATAATGAATATAGGGTAACGAATACGAATATTTATTCACGAATAATAATAAGTCAGCAGTTGATGTATTATTTATGATATTCAGTGAAACAATAACTAAATAAATTATTTGACATGGTTTGTTAATTATTAATTTATTATACATTAATATACTTCACTCATCCAGGTACTAGTGTCTGCTCAAATGCGACAAATGACCAGTGACTAAAATACTGTCACTCAAGAAATCTATGTATATAATATGTTCTTATGGATATTTTAAGGGTCAGGGTATGTAAATGCACATGAATGCATATTCATGAATATTTGATTCTAGTGACCACGAATAACTAATTCAATTCATGAATGGATGCGGTTCGATTCACCGAATATGCGAGTGAATCGTAACAGCCCTAGTGGTCAGGCTTGGTGTCTTGATTGATTATGTGTCCTCATTCCCTGACAGTGTGGACTATTGCTCACAATATCAATCACAGGATTGTCAGGTCCAAACTAGATTGTTAACAGGCCGCTGTCATATATAGTTGAAATATTGCTGAATTTGACATTAAACAACAAACAAAGCATATTGCTATACTTGGCTGATGCATTTCATCAATCCCAATTGCGTGGATTGATGCTCATGTTGTTAGTCACTGGATTGTCTGGTCCAGACTCGATTACTTACAGACCGCGGTCATATAGCTGGAATATTGCTGAATACGGCGTTAAACAAACAAACAAACAAACAACCTCTATGAAGGATCTTGCAATGTTAATGTCTCTGTTTCAGTACTTCTAGTTCCCCTGATATGAAGCTGTCCATCTCTCCCAAGCTTAAGAAAACATCCCGGTCTGTTGTGGCAAAGAAGGAAGCTGTTCGTCTCTCTGAATATGCCAGCAATGTCTTCGTAAGTACCTTCAGAATAGTCGTCCAGTGGCCTCACACTGACACCATGTACTGCATGTTTAACGGCAGTAGTTCTCTGTAGTATGGGCACTCGCATTTTTAAAATGCGCATTTATGTCTAAAATCAAGAGCTCGCATTATTTTCATGTCGCAATAAATTCCTGTTTTACAGTAACTGGAATACTGTTAAAAGCAGCGTTAAACCCAACTCACTCACTTATTCACCCTCCACATAACATTTTGAAGTTTTGATTCATAGCTACCATCAATTCATTACATTATTTCTTGAGCATAGTGAGCACCCAAGTATAATGCGCCGCCCCCTTTAGGTGATTCAGTATTTTGTTCAAGAGTATTTATTTTTAGTATCTTTTTATGTCTCTTCAGTGAATTCAGGTAAACGAACAGTTGATAACAAACTTGGTTGATACAAATTTGAAGTTTGAGATAAAATATCACCATATATTATAATTTCCCATTTAAATTGTATATCCTGTTCTGCTAGGCGTTGTTTTATATGCAGAGATTAAGATTACTGTGTGTATGAGAAACGGCCATCAGCTGAAGAGCCATTTTCTCCCAATCTATTGGTGATTGGGTTAAAAATAACCCAGTATTTTAACTTGAAGGAACGTTGATGCAATGATCAGAAGAATTGTATCTGAAACTATTATTTTATCAGGAATATTACATTCCAATTTCATGCTATTTTAGTTATTTTATATATTTAAAATAATAATAACTATAAGCATTGCACTTTGGTACAGCTGATCGCTATTGCTGGATATTTTTTACGTATTGAACAATTTGACCAGTCGCGTTGAGTCTTCTGTTTTCACGATCGCAAAACTTTTGTTGACATATAACAGGCAAACTACAGCAAATATGACATCTATGATCTATGCATCCATTCCCCGTCAACTAAAGATGTCAATAATGGTTATCTGTTGATGACGATAAGTTGTGCGATCTACCGATCACTTCCCACATGATTTGGCAGAAATTACACAACCATGATTTTTGGACGAAAAGTGCAAACTGTACTCTAGAAAATATGTTAATATCAGGTCTAGTTTATCTCCACATCTTTCTTTCATGGCTTTGAATTCTTGTGTATTGCAAGTTAACTAGTTGTCATCCTCACTGTAATGAAGGTGAGCTCCTGTACCCTGGGTACTCTGGTCGAATCCTGTGACATCACATTATGCTTTTGTGACAACTGAACCTGAGAAAAACCAACTTAATCAATGTTCTTCTAATAAATATTGTTAGTGGTCAGGCGTGTTAATTAAGGGTGTAAAGAGTTACCTCCCTTGAGTGATTCTCCACATTCAATGTTTGGGGCTCCAGGTTGTTAATGGTCTTACAGAGATGGATAAACCTGGTCCTTGTTTGATATTTTGTATTTTCTGTGCAGGGATAACATAAAACATTTCTACTTACCCTGACATATATTTGTTGTCAAAGTTTATGTATAATGAATGTGATGCCTGTCAGTAATCCATTTTTTCAAATTTAGGATTTATGTATATTTTAGATTCTAATCAAGAAAAGTATTCATTTGGTGTGAAAAGTTGAACTGATTTCCTGGTTTCAAATCCCATTTGCCGTGTTTGAACCAATCAAATTACAGCACTCTCATTCCTTTTACAATTTTTCTTGTTCATACTGTTACAGACAGGCTCCTATAACTTGAATATTGCTGTGTGTAGCATTAAACAACAAAGAAAAACAGTCACAATTTTAGCTGTTGACTTATAGATGATGGTTGTTGTTGATGTTGTGTCCAGGATGGTCAAGCCCTGGACAAGCTACAGGTCATCCACCGGTACCGCCCCAACAGCTCGGACATCCCCCACGTCACAGAGAACGGCAAGGTCCAGAACTACACCTGCCATGTCGGGTCAGCTCTGCACACCAAGAAATACGTGGATTATTACATCAAAGAGGGTAAGAGGACCACAGACATCTTGTGACTCAGTGGAGCCATGAGAAGTCCAAAACTCAATATGTTGTTTCCGACGATTATGATGCTACTTCATGATCCAAGCAGAAATGGTCATGGCGCTGAGTCTCAGATACTTGTAACTTGATATATCTTTTGGGAGTCACTCTCAGCATGATCAGGGGGCCCAGTCGTCTAAGGCTCCGCGATTCGCTGTGAAGAGTTGCGTCCCTTGGGCCCACCAGAAACCTATATGATTGTGGCTTCGAATCCCGGTTCGCCCAGATTATGATTTGAGGTTTGTCAGCACCATACCTGTGCTCATGGGTTTCACAGAAGTTGTAAACGTCGGAGACCTGCATCACTTCGGGCTTTCCTCCCACATTAAGCTGACACGCCGTGATATAACTGGAATACTGTAAAAGCGGCGTTAAACCCAACTCACTCACTCAGCATGATCAGCTGGCCGTCCCTAAACTTTAGAACATCACATCTTTGCAACATTAATTCAGTGATCCTTCTTAGGTTTATCAGATTATCTGGACCTGCACGGAACCAATATATTGGCAGATAAATTAGGAAAGAATAATCATTTCTTTATTCAAAATGGGTATCATAAAAGTTCTTATTTGGATAAATTCAGAGGTTTTTGACACTGCATTCAATGTAATAATGTAAAACTAAGAATTGAAGCCCCTTCCTTTTTATCGGTGCTGTGAAATACATGTCACATTAGTTGGAACTTTATAAACAGGATTTGGGAAATTTTGATTTCAAATTAGGAAAGGTTCACTGACATTTGCTGGAGACTTGGAGCAGAATATCGGCCTCTGACCATGCCCAGATAAATCCCAGATCAGCAGAAACTCATCTGTTTTGAGTTCTAACACAGTTCTATATTCTTTGTGTTGACCCAACTGTCATTTCAAGTGCCTTTCCTTGCAGGACTTCAGACAGGAAGAAAAGAATACTCCAAGAGACTTCAAGAGCTGAAACGGGTAAGGAGTAAAACTAAGAATTCTTAAGCTCGCCTTTGTATGAAAGATCCCAGCGTGTCTCTTAAAATTGCTCATAAAATTCCAATCTGATTTTAAACATACCGGTAGCGACCATATTGTAAATGTCAAGTTTTACATTATTCAACCATTTCTGCATGTATGATTATGGAATTTAATATGCAGCAGACCCTTGAAGATCCGGGGTTGAATAGGTCTTCAGCAACCCATGCTTGCCGCGAAAGGCGACTATGCTTGTCGTAGGAGGCAACTACCAGGATTGGGTGGTCAGACTTGGTGACTTGGTTGATGCATGTCATCGTATACCGATTGTGTAGAACTCTTGACCCCAGCAGTGATAACTCACCGCATGCCCATTGTTTAATTCCTATTCTTTGAATGACATTTGTATGTACCTGTTACAACTGCTGCTCAATAAACCGTGTTTATATATTCAAGTTGGTATTTCTACTATCCAAAGTGTGCAGTGAGGCCGTCTTATTGTTGATAGTCATTTTGTAGATATAAATGCAAAGTTAATTAATGCGAGCAAAGACCACTCACATTTAATTCACACTCGTGTTAATTTCAAGATTTTCGGTATTCAAAGTGGTGTTAACAGATTAAATTTTCAAAGAGGTGATAATCCCATCTCACTCACCCATCCTATCTCCACAGGGCACAACAACACCTTCTGAGAAAGGCTCGGAGAAGGGCTCTGTTCAATCGGTGAGAACTGCGGCGTCAGTGTCAACAGTGAGAAGTGAGGACTACAGAGACACCGTCGGTGGAAAGACGCGGTGAGTATAACTGTCATACATGACAAGTGCTTCCAATGTTGGTTTGGGGCTATGTGATCTTCAAACTATGGTGCACTGATCAAGAATTTGGGATCACTGTAAAGAGTCCTTATTGTAATCTGTGATTAAAATTACGTGTTCTTGTGCCCTTTGGTTAAAGTGCCAGTCAAAAATCTCATCCTGGGGCATTTTATTAATTTGGACATATTTTTGTTTACAGTGAAATACATCTTTAAAAAAACTAAATTTTAAATTATTAAATGGTATAAGATGGTGCCTTATTAATTTTTATTTTTATCATGATAACACATTGTTTTTTCGGCTTCGGTTGATGTTTTACTTATGATAGATGTAGTTCATCCTCAACATTCAATCAGATCTGTTAAACTGATGTGTAAAGTCAAAAGGTGAACACTTTATTATGTATGTGTTGGGATATGATAGATGTAGTTCATCCTCAACATTCAATCAGATCTGTTAAACTGATGTGTAAAGTAAAAGGTGAACACTTTATTATGTATGTGTTGGGACGTCTGGAATCCTATTTGCCTTTTTTGGCCAACTAAATAATGGGGTCTGGTCTGAAATTGGTCTTTAACTCCCATTTTTTATTTGGCTGAAAAAGGCCAAAATAAATTCAGACCCCATTATTTATTGATTTTGGACGTTATGAAGAAAAAGTTCCTAGTAAAGTAATAGTCTTGGTTCTCAGGCACCGCCTGCATCATCACAAAGTTCAGCGCACGTTTCGTTTTATTTCCATATTTTTAAAAAAACAAACCCAAAATCCTTAAATATTCCAAGGTATTCCAGTAATTTACTCATCAAGGAATACACATTGGGAGGGCCTTTCCCAGGTTGATTGTATTTGGTTACATACTAGTTTGAACAACTAAGAAAGAAAAAAACCACTGCCCGCCCGCACTATATTTTCAAAAGCCATGGAGCACCATACCTGTGCTCGTGGGTTTCACCGAAGTGGTAAACGTCTGAGACCTGCATCACTTCAGGCTTTCCTCCCACATTAAGCTGACTCGCCACGATGTAACTGCAATAATGTTAAAAGCGGTGTTAAACCCAACTCACTCACTCAAAAGCCATGGCCTGAGAACCAACTCTTTATTTTTGCAAGCCTTATTTCTGATTCTTGTAAACAGACATTGGTTTAAGTATTATGCTTTGTGAACATGGTAAACACTCTTTTCAGTGTTGTGTCAGAGTGCTACAGAGCAGTGTTGTGATATTTCTAGTATGTGTTGTCTATTTGAATGCCGTGTACTTCATCTCTGTTGGATGGGCTTCATTGTGAAAGAATTGTTTTCAAGTAGAAGTATTAATCATCCTCAATAATGTAGTGTATCATGTCTCCATTGTATGATGATTTATTTCATGTCAATGCACTCCTTCCCTACGACCCTGTGGGACACATGGAAAAACCTGCGTGGATCGATGCTCATGATATCAATCACTGGATTGTCTGGTCAGATTGATTATTTACACAGACCGCCGTCATATAGATGGAATATTGCTGAGTGCGGCGTTAAACAACAAAACAAACGAAACATGGAAAAACACAATTTCTGACAGACTGGCAACTCAAAAAGATTTACAGTCCCCACTAATTTTTGTCAGTCCCAACTTTAAACTTTAAAACACCATGAACATTACCTGGTTTTAATTCTTTCAATATCATATTCAATGTAATCTCTGAAGTAACTTAGTTAGATCTACATGTCATTCACACAAAGTTTAGGCACAATTTTCTATTTAAAAAAAAATATTTCGAGACTAAGTGGCTACAAATATATATTTAACCTCGAAGCAAAGGAAAATATTATTTCCTTGCACAAAAAATAGACAAAGGGAAACCCTGAGGGTAACAGATAAGCTGACATCGTTCAAAAAATATACTTCTTTAAATATCACTGATGTTTTGATCTACAAATATTTATAAGGTACTTAATTTCCCGATCCACAGGGACTGCCAGTCACAGAAATTACCGACCCAAGCCTAATTTTACTGTTGAAAGACTGGTAATTACTGGTAAACGGGAACATTGCTGTGTAAAGTTTCTGATGTGACATACAGAGATGGTAACTCTCCAATTGAAATTATAAGAGGGAATGAGTAATTGTATCATATCATGGAGATATTATACCCTGCATCATAGGGGATGGTTGTGAATGGTTTGAATATTCTTTTCATTCAAACATTTGGACTGTCTGTTTATCAATAAATGTTTATCATATGTATTAGAGATGGGTGTTGTCAATATCTATATGTAGTATGACTTTTCCTTGTTTTGTCATAGGAATATGTGTGACATGGAAAAGGTAGAAAGTGTTTTATTCTCTGAAATGGTGATGATAACAATGTTTTCAGGGTGAAGGAAACTCGTGGCTAGGTAAGACACAACGTGCCTCTAACCACGCATGGCTCCTAGATCTCATAGTCTACCCTATGCTGTTTTATTTCGATGAGGATAATCTTGTAGAGATTATTCATAATTTTTTCATTTTCACTTTATGCTTATTATAACCGGAGATGTAGATCTGGTCTATTGGCAACATTTATTTTCCTTTTATTAAAGCGTTACTGTAAATTATGAAATTAGTGAGCATCAAATAATTGGAGAAATGGGAGTGTCTCTTTATCTTTATCAGTGAGTGACATCAATCTCAGTAAAATCAGATCTTAGTTCTCACTACCTCTAAGTAAAGATTTGTTTAGCGGTACGAGAACTAAGATCGGATTTTAATGAGATTTAAAGTGACATTTTTATCTGTTGTCATGTCAGGCTTACTGCATTTGAGCCAAAAATAACATATACTACACAAAAGAAGTTAAGGACCACCCGATTTTTTCATATTAGTATAGTTAATCGGTCATGGCTCCCAATAAACAATGTAATTGAGTGCTAGATTTAGACAGACCTATGTCCACATCAGGTGTGGTCAGTTTGTGTACACAAGCTGGTCAAATTGTTGTGGCAATCGCTGTGGATGACGGCATCTTTGATTTGAATAACTTTGTCAAATAATCTGATGATCAAACACCAAACACTGCTCACCCACCCAGAGTTCCAGATAACTTTTTAAGCAATTGAGTTTTTACTCGAAGGTTTCTATTTTAATTGGGTTATTACATTTTTCATTGGGTAACCAATATCTTTTCATTCATCTTTTTATCACTCTGTTGGGTTTTTCCCAAAATGAGTAAACGTTTTGAGATTTAAAAAAAAATGAAATAATGTTTCAGATGTATGTAATGATGCTGTCGTTTGCTGAGTAGTTTTTTAGTATTGGAGAAAACACGCTCACGAGGTTTTGGTAGACAGAGCATGCCCTGGGGAGAGGGAAAAACCAAGGGGGCGAAGCCCCCGCGGTTTTTCCGACCCCCAGGGCATGCTCTGTCTACCAAAACCGAGGGAAAGTGTTTTACCATGCTTATAAACCGAAAAAAGAAACTTAAAACAACATTTATCAACATTTTTATGTTTCGAACATACTTTCCATGAACCTTAGGAAACGCGCGTAAAATATCTGTTGCTGGCATACGGATCTTGAAAAGGACATTCTAAAAACCAGTGAGGCTTATCAACACCTCTGTAGCCTCGTGGTACACTCACTGGGCTACAGATATGAATGTTGCGAGTTCGATCCTCGGGAATATAAAGAAAACATTTGTCATTTGATTTTACATTTCATTACATGTTATAATCTGAACGGAAGTTGTATTAATAAAATACCCAGGACATTATATAAAATCCCTGGGACATTACAACGTCCCTGTTTATGAGATTAACCCGACTGGAAAGTAAAACCTCACAATAGGTTTTAATGCCTATAGAAAGAAGTCTCTTACTTAATGGCGATCCCAATGAATAGGTTTATAAACACAGTTAAAAGACAGGGTTACTCTCATTAATTCCATGACAAGAACAGGGGTCGACACTCATAATAATTTGGTGATGCATTAATTTCATGATTAACGGTATGTATAATATTTGTTGAGCTTATGATTGTGCTTTTCATTCTAGCTTTTCATTCTAGCTTTGCTTTGCTTGCATTTAGAATGGTACTTACATTTTTCACTTTTTATATCAGCATGTGCTTTCACTTAGCTGCTTTCAGTATTGCTGCAGCTTCCTTGCTTGTAGGGGGCACGGGTGGCCCAGTTGTCTAAGGCGCCGCAATTCGCTGTGCAGAGTTGCGTCCCTTGGGCATGCCAGAAACCTATGATTGTGGGTTCGAATCCCAGTTCACCCCGAATATGTTTCTAGGTTTGTCAGCACAATACCCCTGCTCGTGAGTTTCACCGAAGTGGTAAACATCTGAGACCTGCATCACTCTGGGCTTTCCTCCCACATTAAGCTGACACGCCGCGATGTAACTGGAATAGTGTTAAAAGCGGCGTTAAACCCAACTCACTCACTCACACCTTGCTTGTAATGTCTTTGATATATGCTATGTGTAGTTATCATGAGATATTATTTATCTGAATCTGTATGGTGAAGCGTCCGCCCAGAGAGCGGAAGGTGCGGGGTTCGATCCCCGACCGCGTCATACCAAAAGACGTTATAAGATGGTACTTGTTGTTACCCCGTCTGGCGCTCGGCATTAAGGGGCTAAAACAAGAACTGATCGGCTCGGAGTCAGTATACTGTGTCTGAGTGGGGTATTCATGTTAAACTGCGGCATGGTATCTCAGTGAGCTAGCACTATAAATCGGCATCAGTCCGGACTAGTACAAGCAGCCATACACACACACACGTACATGCACGTCGCTATATAAGTGCAATAATCTTGGACGCGACATTAAACCCAATTTCACCATCACCTGTATGGTGAAAAAATGAAAACCCATGTACAATTGGAGGTGAACAGTGTTTTATTACAGGGATTTATATAGGCCTTCGCGGAGGCCAATGTTCGGCCACACATTAGCACAAATGTTTGGAAAGTTCCCAATTCATGTCACTCTAGTGACAACTGTTGTTACTGGCTTTGTAGTGTCTTGTGCTTTATTGATAATATGGACAATAAACATGATGTATAGGAAGAGGCTTTAGTTGTAGAGTCTTGCCTTGAATCAATCTCATTCAAATCAGACCTTAGTTCTCGCTACCGCTAAACAAAGATCTGAGGACATCCTATTATGGGTCATGTCAGACCGACCTTGCACAAACTTTGACCGACCAATGGAATGACCAATCAGAAACCAGCTTTCTCTTGCTTTACGGATAAATTTCAAATTGGCGACTACGCTTCGAAACATCTTTTGACAAATTCTCGATTACAAATTTGAAACCTGAACAAAAAAACATTCTAGAATGACTAATAGATGGTCTAGAATGTAAGGATTCAGTCGTTAAACCCGTAACTATTGTTCGGAATACCCCATGTTAAAGTTTTCGAGTCTGCATGATTAGAAATCACATTCCGACAGTCACTTTCATAATCTTGTAAGCGACGCACTGATTGGTCGGATGAAAGGTCTTTCCCCTAATGGGATGTCTTCAGATCTTTGTTTAGTGGTAGCGAAAACTAGGATCTGATTTTAATGAGATTGGCCTTGAATGCAATGCTGAGTATACATTGGTAAAATATCTCTGAATGTAAGAAACAAGAACTTGAGCAAAATACATGATTTTTTCCCCCAACTTGACCGCCAAGATCCTTAATAAATCCCTGTATTAACAATTTATCATGCATTGGTCTCCAGCAACCTGTGCCAGTCATAAGAGGTGATTAAATGGATCAGGTAGTTAGTTTGGTGACTTGGTTGACTCATCATCGTATTATCATCATAATAGTCACTTGTTTGTCTGGTCCAGACCCCTTTATTTACAACCACTGTCTTACAGCTGGAATATTGCTGAGTGTGGCGTTGAACAACAAACAAGGAAACAGAACAAGATTTCATGTCATTTTACCCTGACAGTTTGTTTTTGCATATGACATCAATTTTCTGGCCCTGATTATTACCAGGCTGCCGTGATGTAGCTGGAATATTGCTGAGTGCTGAGAAGCAACGAATAAGATGCCGATCTGGGTTAGAATAGCCCTTTAGCAACCCATGCTTGTAATAGTGGCGACTAACGGGATCAGGTGGTCAGGCTCACTAACTTTGTTGATGCATGTTATCGTATCCGAATTACGTGACTCGATGCTCATGACATCAATTACTGGATTGTCTGGTCCAGACTTAATTATTGACAGACCGCCATCATATGGCTGGACTATTGCTGAATGCTGCGTTAAACAACAAACAAACAAACATAAACAGAGATCCAGATAAGCTGCGTATCTGCGTAAAATACGCATCAGAAATTCAGAAATACGCAGTAAAATAATATCCAAGCGTATCAAATACGCAACGAACATTACAGATACGCTACAAAAATATAACTTGTGCGTATATTCAAAATATTGTGAAGTAACCCTGCGTATTCGATTGGCAAATCAGCAACTTATTTTGAAATTATAAACGGGCATTCCGTCAACCTTGCCAAACTTCACGATGACAGTTACATCATGATCATTTGCCATCACACTTACTTGTCGAAGTATCGTGGTATTTATGAGTCCTATAAAGCTCTCGAACCCACACAGCACCAGTTTGCAGGGACTAGATGAATAGTGTTTTTAAATATTTAACTTAATACCCACATGTGTAAAAATTAGTGGGTAACAGAAATTTGAATACCCAGATGGAATAGCTGATACACAGTGATTTTAAAATGCATAGGTAAAATACCCACAACACCAAAAGCTTATCTGGAGCTCTGATAAATTTGCTGGCCATTCTGATGTAGCAGCTGTTTCTCTGTCTGCAGTTTAATAACGTTCACTTAGACAATGTGCAGGTACATAGTTGGTTTGTTCTGATATCTGACATTGGATTCAGGATAATGTCCCCAGCAACCAATGCTGATCGTAAAGGGCGACTTAATGGATCGGGTGGTCAGACTTGGTGACTTTGTTGATTGTATGTTTCACGACGGTGTGGATGTCACTGCATTTTGTAGTCCAGATTTAATTACAGCCTGAAATCAAATAGCTGGTATATTACTGAGTGTGGTGTAAGGCAATAGCAAACAAACAAGGCTATGACTCGTGAGGAAGCACCTTAAGTATACAATCCACTGCTGTGGTACAAGAACACTAAAATGTTCATACCTGTTGGCTAGTCCTTAAACACATCCTTTCTGTTTTTTCAGAGGCATGCTTCCCCCAATCAGCTCAATGGATCTAGTCAGTCCTCGGTCAAATCATTCCATGCGGTCATCCGATTCATCCATGTCTAGCCGTTACTCTTCCTCCTCCTTCAACTCAGACTTGACCTCCACCTACAAGATCGTGTCCACTTCGCTGTGCCAAGCATCCACTCGCCAGCCCCATCCCCCTCCTCAGCAGTTGAGACACACCATGCAAGAAGCTCCTTGCATCCAGGCATTTATGTCTCAAGCAAGACCAGGGTCTGCCAGACTTGCTGAACATCGATATGTGCCTTTAGTCAGAAATGCCTTTCTTGTCGATGCTGACGATAAAGAAATGTATTCTCCGAGATCTCTGAAATTAGACAGAGCTAGTTCCACTACTGATCTTCTGCCCAGATTTGACAACTATACTCAGACACCAAGAGACTCTGCCACACAAACTCCTAGAAGGCATAGAGAACAGATGACTACTGATGCCACTACTACTTCCACCAGTGATGCCTTTGTTGATCAGGAAACCCAGACTCCTAGGTCCTCTCGGCATGGGATAAAGAAGAAGAGGAGGAAGAAATATGAAGACCTGGAGTTATCATTGCATGGCTCAGATACTACTGTGTCGGTGGACTCAGAAATGAATTATGAAGACAAAAATACCAGGAATCGAAACCGAAACATGGGAGTAAGCTCAACCAGTGAAAGTTACAGGTCAACCTCGATACAAGACCTGAAAACTAAAATCTGTCAAACAAGCTTTTCTATAGAATCAGAAGAGTCCTTCCCAAGCCTCCGGAGAAGGCACAGAAACAGAAGTGAAACTGTTACACTGAAATCTGTTGATGAAGATAATGCTGCATCTTCACTGCCAAACAGCACTGTCCATCTCTTCAAAGATGACAATATGTCTGACTCCGTGTTTGACTCTGAAGAACAAAATGGAAGATATGTTGGAAGTGCAATTGATTCAGAGAACAGAGCTGATGTTTTGAGCTCTGAAGAGTATGTTGCTTATGACAGAGCTGGTGAGGCTGAGAAGACCCAGGACACGAATGACACAGAACTACATGGAGCTCCTGGAACAGAGAAGCAGCTGGATGATAGCCCCAAAACTCTTGGGAATGAATCTAATGAGGATAGCTTCTGGGAGACTCGAGGAGACAAGGATTCCCCACTAGCTGCAGGGAGTGATGAGATTGTAGATGAAAACGCATGCAGTGATGGTCACAAAGATCAAACTACAACAGAGGACACTTCTCAGCTTGAATCAGCTCAAACAAAAGATCAAAAAGAGACTGAATCATCTTACACAAATGACCAACAACCGACTGAATCACTTCACACTGACAATCAACAAGAGACTGAATCACTTCACACTAACAATCAACAACAGACCGAATCACCTGACACGAATGATCAACCATCTGTGGTCTCCTCTGAGGTCTGGACAGTATCACCGGAGAATGTGACAGTTGAAGAGCCAGCTTCAGCTGATACTGCCATTGAGGTAGTGAAAAGTAATCCTGAAGTTGATGGAGAAGATGCAAAGAATAGCAACTTGTCTCAGAGTTTTGATGATGTATGCCGGGGAGCTGTGGAGTTGACTTGTTTTGAAGAGGACCCCAGAGGGGATAGAATTTTCTCTGACATGGATGGAACGACGGAAGAATACAGAGGCAATTTCCTTAACAACCTTTCTGAAACAAACAAAAGCGATCCTTCATCAAGGTACAAGAAGTTTACAAATGAGTACATGCATGTTCCAGAGGAGAGAGGATCAGATGGAGAGACCCTTGTTGACTCGGATACAGATCCTGAAGTTTACACCAAACCTGAGCAGATATTTACAAGGGAAGAAACTGATGAGCAGCATGAGGTGGATGAAGAGCTGTGCAGGGGGGCAGCTCCTGCTAAGAGGAAGAACAGTGACGCTTCTTCATATTGCAGTGCAACCAGAGCACTAGGAGAGACAAACACTACATACCAAGAGACCATTACAAGTCGAGCTAATTCTGTGACTAGCCAGGCCACCCTGTCCAGTGTCAGAGGTTCAAGAATAACTGCCTGGAAGACGAATCCTTCAGGTGGACCAGCTTCTGCTCAGAGTGATAAGTCAGAACAAACAGCTGTGTTGGATCTGACACAAGATCTTCTGGATGATGAAGATTTCTTTGAGGTAACTGAAGTTTATGAAGCTGATATGATGAATAGACCTACTGCTGTGACAACAGATGTGAATCCTATTACTGATGATAGGACCTCCTCCTGCTCACGAGGAAGTGGTGACAAAGTTCCTTCCCCTTCAGCAGAAATGCCATCAAGGGGAGAAGAAGAGTTTTTGAATCTTGAAACATTGGAAGTTGAAATGAAATGTGAGGTATTAGACAGACCAGTGGACACTGAAGACAGACAAAGCTCATGCAGTTTGAGCACTGGTACTGGAGATGGGAAGAGGATTGTCAGCGACGTTGATGCTCCAGTCGAAGCTGAGATTCATCTTGAAAATGATGGAAATAAGATTGGAGAAGACAGACTTGAAACTTCTCATTCTGGATCAAGAGGAAATGTGGATAAGAATCAGCATGATCTAACCATATCCTCTCGAGGTGGGGATGAAGCAAGCATTGAGCCTTTAAATACCACAAAGGATGACAATGATCAAATACAAGAGACTCATCACAACAGTGAGGTAGATGTAAAGTATGAACCAAATGAGGACAGAGAAGAATTTGACACAGCTGTTTCAGAAGGAGCTGAGTCAGACAGAAATCATGAGATCACAGCAGAAGCAGGAATTCCAAGACCAAACTCTTCCTGTTCAACTTCTAGAGGATTTGTTATGAATGATTCCTCTCTACAAGGATCGAGTCAAGCTGTGTCTTCTAGAGGCCATCATAATGATGAGACTGTTGCATCTATTGAGGAATCAACTGATGAGGGAAATGCTGAAGATGTTGTGGAAGTGAATAAGAATGCAACTGATTATGTCACTAATGATAATTTCAACAATGGAAAAAATCAGCTGCAAGAGTCCACAGTACCTACTGTAGATAGTGTAGAAGAGAGAGGTGATACTGAACATTACTTGAATGATAAAAAAGAATTAGGTGTCCTCAAAACGGATGAGATATGTGAAAAAGATAATGATTCCCAAAGAAACATGAAATCAGAAATGTCCCATGAGAAAACCTCTTTGAATTTACCAAGTGATGATGAAGTTTTTGATTCAGATCCAACTGTGTCAATGGGACCAGTATCTGCTCACTGCGTACGTAGGCCTTCTGTATCACCTCCAAGACCCATCTCCGCCTGTCGTGTGAAGGTTCCGCCACTGTTGATGGGCGATCCCAACATGAAACAAACGACTGCTGTGGCTGATGAGTTGCACATTGAGGCAGGGAGTTCAGATGATGAGGTCTTCCAGATGCAGACCAGTGATTGTAAGGATATCATCAGTCATGATGAGAGTCGAGGACAGATCGACACGACTCTGGGAACTGATGCCATTCTGTGCGAAGGTGAAGAACAGAAGACAGGACACCTTGAAGAACAGGGAGTTAACCAGGATGATCAAATTTCCCAGAATAACACTGTTAGCCCATCACCCACAAAAGATGAAAATGTCAAAAACAATATCAATATTGTTTTAGATTTAGGTGCCCCTGTCAAGCCTACTGCAGGGGAAAACAATCCAAGAAGGCCAGTCTCGGCTCACTGTGTGCGAAATAATCCGGTACCTAATCTGATACAAAGACCAGTCTCAGCACACCATAGACAGATGCCTGATATGACCGTGGAGGAGGCATTTGAAGAACAGTGTGCCACAGTGGCAGGGCCTGTTACCATGGGAGATGATGACTCGTCAAAGGGTAATGGTTGCGTGAATGAAGCTGGAACTGTTCTCCTCGATGAAAGCAGAGGACAGATGGATGTGACAATGGAGGCACAGTGTCAAGGAGATCTGACAGACAAAGTGACTACTTTCATGGAGAATGAGCCAAGAGAGTCTGGAGTTGATCTGCAAGAGGAGATGAAACCAGTGGTTCCTGAAATGTTCGAACAATCTGAGCATCAGGATATTACTAGTCAAGTTCTGACAACTGTGAATAGATGTGATGATGGCACTGAGACAAGCCAAAGCACAGAGCCCAAAACAGATTCAGAGGTGACAAAATCTCCTTTGAGTCAGGAGGCAACCGATCTGGACTTGCTAACAGAATACCCTGTCCACGCTGGATCGTCTTTGAGTATGGAAAGGGGTGAAACTACAAACTCACCAAGACCAGTTCAAAGTCCACCTTGGAAGAAGCTTGAGAGGTCTGCTTCTGTATGCAGTAGAGGTTCTGCAAGTGACGACAATGATAAGATATGTTCCCAAGAGATTGGGGAACAGATAGTTCAACTGTGTGAGAAAGAATCAGATGTAGTTCCCGGAAGTGTTTGTTTGGAACCAAATGCAGAGATAGTCCCTAAAGAATCAAAGCCTGGTAAAAAGTCACAGCCAGAAGGTGAATCATCAGATATCTATACACCTGTTGTTGATGCAAAATATGATGTCAAGGAAATGATTCAGGCACAAGCGTCTCACATTTCTGAAGGTCAGGATATGGAAGAAGAAAAGCAACCGTATGGAAGAGATGTTGCAGCTCGTAGAGGAAGTATCATACGCAGAGATGCTGCTCTGACTGGAGATGTTGTTACGGGTGTGTTATCGCCCACACCATCTGTTGATAGTGAGGTATCACATGTGCCCCCTGTCCTTGGAAACTCACACACTGATGACATCAATTGTGATTCCTCGCGTCAAAGAAAAATTCTTTCATTCCAAGATCATGATGTTATGACTAATTCAAAGACTAATGATCTGTGCTTACCTGATGACAAGTTGGAAGAAAAGCCAAAGCCAAACATTTTGATATCTAAGGAGTCCTTGAATTTCTTTTCCTTTGATGATCCTGATGAGAGTAAAGTAGGCCATTCCTTTATTTCAAGTGAAGAGTCTGTTACACTTCAAACTTCCAATGATACACTGATGAATGATTCCACTGAATCAAGCACTACTGGTATGAGTACGACAAACACAACTGACACATTGGAGGAGCATTACTCGAGGACTGACCAACTGATTCCAGCTAATATTTTGGCTGATATTTCGAGGCTTAGCTATAAAATGTTTGATAGCAACATTCAGAATCAAACAGTAAAAGATACCTTTGATGAAAAACTTGATCCTAAGTTTTCTGATGAAATTGATGATGAAGTTCCAGCAACTGGAACAAAAACAAATGTTCCAGTGCATCATGAAGAGTCCCCTGTATGTGAAGTAGATGCTGCTGCTGCTGCTGCTGATGGTGAAGAAGCTTCTAGGGAGGATGGGGCCAGTCCTGCAGGCATATTCAGACCACTGTCAGTATTAGGCCTGCCTCAGAAAGATCTGTCAAATAGACGGCTTTCTTTGGAGTCAAGAGGAAGTAGTGACTTTATCATTGAAACAGAAGAGGTACTGATAGCTTCATCAAGAGGGGATGAAGTCATGCCTGAAAACATTGTTGGTGAATTACCTACAAACAATAACATTCCTGAATCGGAGACTTTTACCACGGAGACTGGATATCATCAAACCGAGTCAATTGTTGTTGAACCACGAGGTGATGTAGAAGAGGAGACTTACTGTTCACTTGCACACCCATCAGGACCTTCAGAAGAACCACCTAACGCCAATAACACACATAAAGGACAAGGAGATATGAAAGTAATCAACTCTCTCAGTTGTACCAATCCTAGTCTAGAAAATCCAGAACTTTCTGCTTATTTGGGAAATGTAAAAATGAATGCCTTGATAGCTGTTGTGGATGATTCACCAGTGGATGTTGACTATACAAAGAGTGGGAAGTCCAAACAAACATCCTATCAACTTGTGTTGAATGAAGAACATGATGAGCCCAAAAGTAGGAATGCAGAGAATGGTAATGATGCAGACAGAGTGACCAAGGTTTCAGATGATAAGAAAGACAGAACTAAACGTGGAGTCACAGGTCTTGAGGACAAATGTGAGTTGAACATTCCTGCCTGCAGCATTGTTCCTGAGCTTCAAAATCTCAACATGAGTGCTGATGGTATGACTTGCTTGAATGAAGGCTACCCACTTTCTGAACAAACAGGAAATACAAAAACTGTCACCTTTGTTGATGGAGATCTGCCTGAAGAAGACATTCTTACTTCAGATTCGGCACCAAAAGAGGCTGGAAATGTTGTTGAACCACAAGGCAGTCATGGAGAAAACTTGACAAGAAAGGCTGTCTTGAAATCAGAAGTAATTATGCCTGAATTAAGCAATCATCAGAATAGTGACAAGCAGGAGGACTTGAACCCCCAAAAGTCAGAACACAAAGAAACATCTGTGAATTCATTACCATTGCAAGCAAATATTAATCGTGTTACAGAGACAGAGGCCCAGAGAGGAGTGTCTGAGAAGGTTGATGAGCCCGAAGTTACAAGAGCAGCGAATCCAAACCATGGCCATCGCAGACAGTCAACAAGTTTGCATGGGCCGACAGTCATCACAGTTGCAGAGGCCCAGAGAGGAGTGTCTGAGAAGGTTGATGAGTCTGAAGATGCAAGAGCAGCAAATCCAAACCATGGCCATCGCAGACAGTCAACAGATTTGCATTTACCGACAGTCATCACAGTTGCAGAGGCCAAGAGAGGAGTGTCTGAGAAAGTTGATGAGTCTGAAGTTACAAGAGCAGCGAATCCAAACCATGGCCATCGCAGAGAGTCAACAAGTTTGCATGGGCCGACAGTCATCACAGTTGCAGAGGCCCAGAGAGGAGTGTCTGAACAGGTTGATGAGCCCGAAGTTACAAAAGCAGCGAATCCAAACAATGGCCATCGCAGAATGTCAACAAGTTTGCATGGGCCGACAGTCATCACAGTTGCAGAGGCCCAGAGAGGAGTGTCTGAGAAGGTTGATGAGTCCGAAGTTACAAGAGCAGCGAATCCAAACCATGGCCATCGTAGACAGTCAACAGGTTTGCATGGGCCGACAGTCATCACAGTTGCAGAGGCCCAGAGGGGAGTGTCTGAACAGGTTGATGAGTCCGAAGTTACAAGAGCAGCGAATCCAAACCATGGCCATCGCAGAGAGTCAACAAGTTTGCATGGGCCGACAGTCATCACGGTTGCAGAGACAGGACAAGATTCAGGAGCTGTAGCCATCTTTCAAAGAAGCAATGAAGCAGTGGATGGGCAGGTTGAATTTACATCACAACACCAAGTGATTGTAGTGTCAGAACGTGAAGGGCTGCCTGATGAGGCAACCGATGAAGATGTGATGCAGGGGGAACAACAGAACAGGAGGAGTCCACCCCGAAATGAGGAGAAAGAGGAGAAGAAGGAGGTTGAGTCTGAGCAACATTCTATGGACACTGTAAATGCTCATGCAAAAGAAAGCAACGATCAATTGTCGGATGAAGCTTTTGTTCTGAAGCCTATGGCAATGTCGGAGACAGATGGTGTGTCAAGTGTTCAAGAGACTGTTTCTTCGTGTCTGAATGGTGATTTGACCGGTGGCAGGCCACAGACAAGCACAACTAAACATGGTGGAATGTCAGTGTCTGGTAACATGGCTGAGTCAGATGCGCAATCTCTGTCTGATTCTGAAAGAGGATTGCATTCGGATCAGATGTCTGGACATAGGATCATCCTTGTGTCTGAGAATATCCCAACCCCTGTTGCCAAGGCGAAGGTCATTGAGAGACACCCAGGTGGACCCAGAGTTATTCTAGTGTCGGAAAAGTCCCAAGTGTAAAACTGTCAACTTTGGCATATCATTATTATTTTACCTAAAGGTTAAGCTGAATAATTTTTGGCAGGATTTTACATATATGACCTGATGCATACCAAGCATTTATAGATAGATTTGACTTAATAATTTAAGTATAGTTTACTTTTTATTGTTTTCCATGTTTGGATGTGAAGTAAAAGAATTAGCCCACTGTTAAACAGGAAAACCTGGCTTTTGGAAGATTACATATTGAATTCTTTTTTTTTTATAAAGCCATACCCATCTTTTGAAGAAAAGAACAAAGGAGTAACCGTTCTTTCTGTGTTGACCGAATGCCATTTCAGCGATTAGTTAAAAGCAAAGTAAGACTAACCTAATTGTATTTTTATTCCACATATTTGAACATTTGAGTTGCTGTGTCCATAAACTAAGTAAGTGAAAAGAAAACCATCTTATGAAAGTCAGTTAAAGATGGTGCTGGATGCAAGCAAAACATTCAAAGTAAAATTTGTTTGGAGTAATAAACCATACATAATACAATAAACCTTGTGAATCCAAATGATGCCATTCACAGTGGAATTGACTGGATTGATAAATTTATAGACATTTGAAAAGCAATTTGTCAGAAGGCAGGATCCAGATTAACAAGGGTCTACTGTATTCAGGTTCCCAGAAGTAATCCTCCAGAAGGTGGTGTTTCTTGGCTAATTTCATAGTGTATGAAATGTCGTACATCCTACAGTCCACATAAACAAGGTCTTCTGTATTGAGTGCAGCAACCACTGCATGGTGACACTACCCTGTGTGTTTGTTCAGAGACCATATACAGTCAAGTCCCGTTAATCCGACATCGATGGTTGCATATGATTATGTCGGATTAACAAGTATGTCGGATAAACGAAATTTAGTAGTATAAACGTTCGAGATCGAAAATCGGACAACTACACGATAGATAAGTTTCAAACACGTAATAAAAAACATAAAATAAATATTCATATTGTTATGTTACATTCATCTCGCATCAAAACACGGGCTGTGTATTCGCAGGCAGATGACCACGGAGTACGCTGATCACTGTGTCGGATTAATGAGACTGATTAATGAGTGATTTCGGTTATTCGTTGCAAATTAGGTGTGTCGGAGTCGAAGTGCGAGACTGTCTGATTAACGGGTCTAAATAGCACTGATTTAATCAGTTCCCATCATTAGTGTCGGATAAAGCCGACTGTCGGATTAACGAGTGTCGGATAAACGAGACTTGACTGTACTGAAGGACTGGCCTCAGGGCTAATTAGTAACTGATCACCGCCGTATATGGTCTCTGGTTTGTTGCCCTTTCGTGTGTTTGATGTTGACACATTTTTGATTGATTGGGTTTTATGTTTTCAGTATGTCTTTTTCATTTACATTGACAACATTATTCTGTCTTTATCATGTTGTTTGTTGAATTGTTTTGGGACTGGGATTTCATTTTTTGTCTACCATATTGCATTTGATTCCATTGAGTACATACTAATTATTATGACTATTTTCTGTATACCTCTTATGGAAATTTATACTTATGTGTTGATATGAATTGTTCCATGGCATTATCGACTACGGTTTGTTCAAACAAGTCACTCACAGCCTGCACCTGGATACTCATGCCCTTCTCACCTTACTGTACCCCAAAGTGGATTCCACGTAGAATTTGGTCCCCAGCAACCTATGCTGTTCATTAGAGGCAATTTAGGACTGGTGGTCAGGCTTGGCAATCTCATTAAAATCATATCTTAGTTCTCGCCACCGCTAGAGGACATCCCATTGCAGGTCATGTCAGAAAGACCTTTAATCTGACCAATCAGAGCATTGCTTATCAGATCATGAAAGTGACAGTTGGAATGTGACATTGGATCGTGCAACCTCGAAAAAACACACACAGGGTATTCCGAATGACAGTTATGGACTCTATGTCTGTATTCATACAATCTAGACCATCTATTAGCCATTCCAGAATGTTCTTTTGTTCAGTTTTAATTCTTTAATTGAGTATATGTCCAAATATGTTTTGAAGGCGTAGTCGCCAGTTTGAAACTCGTGCCGTAAAGATCGATTAAGCTGCCTTCTGATTGGCTGTTGTCGACTTCTTGTTAGTCATTCCATTGGTCGGTCAAAGTTCACAAAAGGTTGTTCTGACGTGACCCGTAATGGGATGTCCTCAGATCTTTGTTTAGCAGTAGCGAGAACTAAGATCAGATTTTAATGAGATTGTCGGGCTCGGTGACTTGTTTGAAGGCGTGTCATCACTCCCTTGATGGAGAGGATCATTGCTCATGATATCAATCACTTGATTGTCTGGTCCATCATCATGTGGCTTGAATATTGTTGAGTACAGCATTAACGAACAAACAAACACGCATATTCCTTATCAAAAGTTGAGAAGTATGGTTTTGTTCTTCTGAACAGCGATGATAATCAAGGAATATTTTTTTACCTCCAATTTTACAAAGAATATTTACAACGAATGAAAACTTGCTCATACTGATTTAGTCATACGAAATATATGCAAGACAATATTCAGTCAAAACTTACCAAAATGAACTTCTTAGATTTGTGTGAAAACTGAACATACATGTATTATCACTAGCTATAATACTCTATATGTGATGGGAGTGATGTAGAGATGTAATGATACACTTTGTCACGATACAATACATATCTCGGAAGTAGGTTGCGATATATGTAAACTTGAAAACTGCCTTGCTCAGAGAAATGTTGAAATGTTCAGAATCAATAGAAGAAGGTAGAACTGTGTGGAGAATTTAGGTAGAAGGTCTTGAGACCTCCAGTAAGTACAAGAAGATACAACTTTGTACTGTACTCATATTTCATGAGTAACTTGCATGCAGTTTTTTACATCACTTGTATATAATTGTATTGTTTTGTATCAATTCATGAAATGATACTTGCATGTTTTACATGGTACTTGTATCGTGGGTAGAATAGGTCCTCAGCAGCCCATGCTTGCCGTAAGAGGCGACGAACGGAATCGGGTGGTCAGACTCGCTGACTTGGTTGATGCTTGTCATCGTTTTCCAATTGTGTGAATCGATGCACATGATGTCAATCACTGGATTATCTTGTCCAGACTCAATTATTTACAGACCGCCATCATATAGCTGGAATATTGCTGAGAGCAGCGTTAAACAACAAATAAACAAACAAACCTGGCGTAAAGTATTTGGATACACCAAACATTGGGTGAATCGTGACAGTAGGAATGCAGTGCTCCAAGAGTGGTGGTGTTTAATTTGTTCCTATAGTGTAGTTAATGTATTTAACTCATCAACAGCTGTATGCTATCTGTGATATGTAGAAGCCATGAATGTTGTTAAGACCAAAGAATGTATTGTGTAATAGATCACAGTGTCTTCTCACTCTGTGCTCACAGGGGGCACGGGTGGCCCAGTCGACTAAGGCAGCGCGATTCGTTGTGCAGAATTGCGTCCCTTGGGCACGCCAGAAACCTATGATTGTGGGTGTGAATCTCGGTTCGGCCCGATTACGTTTCTAGGTTTGTCAGCACCATACCTGTGCTCGTGGGTTTCACCAAAGTGGTAAACGTATGGACCTGCATCACATCGGGCTTTCCTCCCACATTAAGCTGACACGCAGCGATATAACTGGAATACTGTTAAAAGCAGCATTAAACCCAACTCACTCACTCACTCTGTGCTCACCAGCATCACTGTAATGTATGAGTGAGTCAGGTTGAAGGCCGCTTGGACAGTAATTCAGCTTTATCATGGCATGTCCTTCATGTGGGAGGGAAGCCCCAAACTGCTGGTATCTGATGTTCATCCTTTTGGTGAAACCAACAAGTGTGTGAATGGTGCTGACAAACCAAGGATCAACTTAGGGGCAAATCTGGAGTTTGGACTATTTTAACATATTCCACCAGAAGGTGTTCCTCAAATGGTACCTGGATTGGGAACCCAACCCAGCTATTCAGCCAATGATTTAAGCACACAGTGGAAGAAAACAGTGTTGGAATTATTTGGATGAGGTGGTCCTGCTACCTTGATGTCCTGAGAGTTGAGGATCCGATGGTTACAGTGGTTGTCCTATCTGACTGTGTGACATCCTACCCAGGCAGTGTGGACTGCAGACAACATGACCCAGACTTGGATAGTTATTGGCAGACAACCTGACCCAGACATCAATTTTGGCTGCTGTGATATAGCTGAAATATTGCTGACTTAGTTTATTGGGGTGTGGTATTTCATGCTATCAGACCATCTGCTGTGGAATATTTTGACCAGGACATCTGCTACTTCAATTTGTTTGTTTATTATCCTGAGTGTTTGCTGTCAACCCTTCTATCAACCCATTCAGAAGGATTAAAAGCAGACATTTATTTAACAAATCCTAACTTATGGCTGCTTGTTTGAAATCGAAAGTGGGCAAAAATGTTGTGGGTGATATGCAATTTTCCAAGACTAGAAAATGATTTTCAATGTCATTTTTACCATTATTGTCTCCAATCGAACTCCAAGGCCCCTCTACCACATATTAAATGACTATCTGTCCCTTACCTGTTTGTTTCCCTCTTCTCCCCTATGAGGATCAACGATTGGTTATAATGCCAAGAAAACATTGATATTGATCTGTATCTGTTTTCTTCTGTGAATACCAAAGATGTATGGAAATGGGGACTATTCCTGGGGTAAAGACCCGTGAAGACCTGGAATAGAATAGGTCTTCAGCAACCCATGCTTGCCGTAAAAGGTGACTATGTTGTCGTAAGAGTTGACTACCGGGATCGGGTGGTCAGGCTCGTGGACTTGGTTGATGCATGTCATCATATCCCAATTGTGTTGATCGATGCTCATGATATCAATCACTGGATTGTCTGGTCCAGACTCGATTACTCACAGCCCACTGTCATAGCTGGAATATTGCTGAGTGCAGCGTTAAACAACAAATAAACAAACAAACCTGCCTAAAGCAAGAACGTATTGAAGGAGGGAACACTTATTTCATAGAATAGAATCTGATCAATGCACCTATGTGTTTGGTCATTTTCAAATTTTTATGTAAGTATAGATCTGGGGATTGTTGTAATTGTCTTAAAACACGTACAGTGTTTCTCCAGCATGGGAGATATTAGACAGGTTTTTCGTTGAGGCTGAGGTTTGATGTTTGCCTTTTATAATGCATTCCATTATTGTTGGATACAAATGTGATATTTTAATAAGAAATATTTCAAATATTGTGTTGTTTATGAGAAAGTATTGTGATGTTCATGAAAAATGTTTTGTGATGTTTATGGGAAAATATTTCGGTGTTCATGAGAAAGTCTTTTTGTTTATAAGAAAGTATTGTGATTTCCACGAGAAATTATTTTGTTTATGGATAATTATTGCGATGTTTATGAAAACATTGCGATTTGATGGGAAAGTGTAATGTTTCTCAGAAGTTACAGAAATGTTTTTTATGACACATTGTTTTGTTCATGAGAAAGCATAGAGATCGACATGGGAGAATGTATTGTGATGATTATGAGAAACTATTGTGATGTTCATGAGAAAGGATTGTAATGCTCACGAGAAAGGATTGTGATGTTCGTGAGAAAGGTTTGTAATGTTCATGAGAAAGGATTGTAATGTTCACGATAAGGGACGTAATGACAGAAGCGTCTTTCATCAATCTCATTAAAATCAGATCTTAGGTCTCACTGCTAAACAAAGATCTGAGGACATCCCATTATGGGTCACGTCAGAACGACCTTTCATCCGACCAATCAGAGCGTCGCTTACCAGATCATGAAAGTGACAGTCGGAATGTGATTTCTCATCATGCAGCCCCGAAAACTTTAAAACGGGACATCCTGAACGAGTTACGGGCTTAACGACTGAATCTATACAATCTAGACCATATATTTAGCCATTCGAGAATGTTCTTTTGTTCAGGTTTCAAATTTTTAATCGAGAATTTGTCAAAATATGTTTCGAAGCGTAGTCGCCAATTTGAAATTAGTATTGTAAAGCACGAGATAGCTGCCTTCTGATTCTAATGTCGACTTCTTGTCAGTAATTCCATTGGTCGGTCAGAGTTCGTGAAAGGTCGGTCTGACGTGACCTGTAATGGGATGTCCTCAGATCTTTGTTTAGCGGCTGCGAGAACTAAGATCTGAGTTTAATGAGATTGTGTCTTTCATCGGGTGTGATCATATCACTAAAAGTGTGAGTACTAAGGGGTGATGGTAACTAGGGCACAAGTGTTGTTATCCTGTGGTGATTCACATTGTTTTCAGTGTTGGGTATTACCTTCCACAAAAGAGTACTCACTTGTTTCACTGATAGTACAACACAGTGGTCACTTGTTTGTTTTAACATGTCATTAATTGTTGATGTTTGCTGTCTGCTGTCTGCTGTGATACAAATAAAACCTTTTCAATATCTGCCATAGTTAGTGTGCAGTTAATACCAGAGGAGGGGCTGGGGTGGGGTGGGGCGGGGTGGGGTGAAAATAGCAAAAAGGTCGTTTTGGAAGTAGTCTGTCTCCCAGACTACAGAGATTAAATTACAAAAGGAGCTCAACTCAAGTCTAGAATGGTTGGGCAAGTCTAGATTGCCTCAGCTGTAAGAATAAAATTAAGCTTTCTTCTAGGCTCGATTTTGATTCCATTTTGTTCATATATATCTTTAGATAAGATGACTTTATTTTTGGGTACGTAAAGTAAAAGTTTTGGAAAGTAAAAGTGCTTTAACAAGCAAAATAAAGAGTATATGCTAAAGAAGGTGGAGTTATGCTCAAGAAGGGTGAGTTTATGCAAGAAAAGGTCAAGTTATGCTGAAGGGGTGAGGTTATGCAAGAGAAGGTGTAGTTATGAAAAAGAAGGGGGAGTTTATGCAAGAGAAGGTCAAGTTATGCAAAAGAAGGGGGAGTTTATGCAGGAGAAGGTATAGTTATGAAAAAGAAGGGGGAGTTTATGCAAGAGAAGGTCAAGTTATGCAAAAGAAGGGGGAGTTTATGCAGGAGAAGGTCAAGTTATGCAAAAGAAGGGGGAGTTTATGCAGGAGAAGGTCAAGTAATGCAAAAGAAGGGGGAGTTTATGCAAGAGAAGGTCAAGTTATGCAAAAGAAGAGGGAGTTTATGCAGGAGAAGGTATAGTTATGCAAAAGAAGGGGGAGTTTATGCAAGAAAAGGTCAAGTTATGCTGAAGGGGTGAGATTATGCAGGAGAAGGTCAAGTTATGCAAAAGAAGAGGGAGTTTATGCAAGAGAAGGTATAGTTATGAAAAAGAAGGGGGAGTTTATGCAAGAGAAGGTCAAGTTATGCAAAAGAAGGGGGAGTTTATGCAAGAGAAGGTCAAGTTATGCAAAAGAAGGGGGAGTTTATGCAGAAGGTCAAGTTATGCAAAAGAAGGGGGAGTTTATGCGAGGAAAGGTCAAGTTATGCTGAAGGGGTGAGATTATGCAAGAGAAGGTATAGTTATGCAAAAGAAGAGGGAGTTTATGCAGGAGAAGTTATAGTTATGAAAAAAAAGGGGGAGTTTATGCAGGAGAAGGTCAAGTTATGAAAAAGAAGGGGGAGTTTATGCAGGAGAAGGTCAAGTTATGGAAAAGAAGGAGGAGTTTATGCAGGAGAAGGTCAAGTTATGCAAAAGAAGAGGGAGTTTATGCAAGAAAAGGTCAAGTTATGCAAAAGAAGGAGGAGTTTATGCAGGAGAAGGTCAAGTTATGCAAAAGAAGAGGGAGTTTATGCAGGAGAAGGTCATGTTATGCAAAATAAGAGGGAGTTTATGCAGGAGAAGGTCAAGTTATGCAAGAGAAGGGGGAGTTTATGCAGGAGAAGGTCAAGTTATGCAAAAAAGGTTGAGTTTATGCAGGAGAAGGTATAGTTATGCTGAAGAAGGGGGAGTTTATGCAGGAGAAGGTCAAGTTATGCAAAAGAAGGGGGAGTTTATGCAAGAGAAGGTCAAGTTATGCAAAAGAAGGGGGAGTTTATGCAAGAGAAGGTACAGTTATGAAAAAGAAGGGGGAGTTTATGCAAGAGAAGGTCAAGTTATGCAAAAGAAGAAGGTGTTTATGCAAGAGAAGGTATAGTTATGCAAAAGAAGGGGGAGTTTATGCAAGAGAAGGTCAAGTTATGCAAAAGAAGGGGGAGTTTATGCAGGAGAAGGTATAGTTATGAAAAAGAAGGGGGAGTTTATGCAGGAGAAGGTCAAGTTATGCAAAAGAAGGAGGGGTTTATGTAGGAGAAGGTCATGTTATGCAAAAGAAGAGGGAGTTTATGCAGGAGAAAGTATAGTTATGAAAAAGAAGGGGGAGTTTATGCAAGAGAAGGTCAAGTTATGCAAAAGAAGGAGTTTATGCAAGAGAAGGTCAAGTTATACAAAAGAAGGGAACAGTTTGTGCAAGAGATTTTTGGGCTATGCAATTAAGGTTATGCAAGAGAATGAGGAGTTTATGCAAGGGGAGAGGATGTTTATGGAAGCAAAAGGAGACATTGGTCCATGCGAGTGTTTAATACAGGGTAGCATGTCAACCACTGGTTTGTCTGCTCCAAACTCCCTATGTTTTGTGTGCAAAGTAGATGTGAACACTTAATTGAATAATGAATATTTACATCTAATAAAATAAGTAAGGCCCTACATTAATAGTTTGGTTCATGGACCAGCCTATCCATAAAAATAAAATAATTCTGAATGTCAAGGCTTGTTTTCGCCGACGATAAAGATCGCTTGACAATAAAAATGACAATGAATTGCCGCTGTCAGATTGATACTATTTACACGGTGGGGTGAAATGGGGTTCAACGTCGCGTCCAAGATTATTGCACTTATATAGCGACGTGCATGTACGTGTGTGTGTTTGTATGGCTGCTTGTACTAGTCCGGACTGATGCTGATTTATAGTGCTAGCTCACTGAGATACCATGCCGCAGTTTAACATGAATACCCAACTCAGACACAGTATACTGACTCCGAGCCGACCAGTCCTTGTTTTAGCCCCTTAATGCCGAGCACCAGACAGGGTAACAACAAGTACCATCTTTTAACGTCTTCTGGTATGACGCGGCCGGGATTCGAACCCCGGACCTTCCGCTCTCCGGGCGGACGCTCTACCACTAGACCACGGAGGCGGTCACTATTTACAAGGATCCAAACCAGGGCAAGATGTTTTACATTTTACCACCTACCGATCAAAATACAATTTAAGATGATTAAAAACAATCCTGTAAAATCCATTTTTGTCAACCGACGACATAAAAACGGTCTGAACTAAATGTAAGAATGAAATCTATAGAATCACTCCTTATGTGATGAACAATCCAAGACAGATAAGAACATATGTGTCTCAGATATGTCGCCTTACATTTTACATGTTTTATTTTTGAAGTGAACTAGTTCGTTTAACAGGACAACGTAGTCGCATAAAAAATTCGATGTTTATGAAACACAAGAGTTAGCCTTGACAAAGGAAGTCCCAAACTTTAAATTAAGAATTGAATATATGCTATAGTGCAGATTTTAAGACATCAAAAGAAGTTATGATAACATATAATTAACTTAATAATCATTACAATTTGAAACAACTTAAAGAAATATGGAATATTAATACATAACGAGCATTGTAATATTCAAACCGATATTCCAATAAATGTTATAATAATTACAATAAGGTTAACCACAGGGCTGTTCAACAATGGCAGTTTGTCCCTCCTTTAATCAGATTGTAAAGATACCGGTTCTGTGTCGAGAAGAGGGGACTTAATATAGAAGACCATGAATGGTCGTACAACTGACCCGGCTGTATCCGGCTGATAAGAGGAACCGGATCTCTGTAACCGGAACTGACCGAGCAAACGTTCAGCCTCATTCAAAAGGTCAAGCATTGTGGGCGGATCTGCAAACTGTCCAAAAGTTTGTAAACTTTACTTCAAGAAGCAGTGTTGTGCTGGGTGATAATCATGAATATTTGGATAGTTCTTTCGTTGTGTATCGTAAGTATTTCTTTGTTGTTGTTGTTTTCGTGTTGTTTCTATCTGGTAAACCTGTGTTACTCTTTCGTCTTGGAATCTAACTAAGAAACAAATACACATTGCATTGATTGTCAAGACACTTCTTTACATTTCAACTTCAGATCTCTTAAAAATGTTTTCCATCACAAGTATGATTTCATATTTACGGTAATTCATGTTAATTTCAAAGAAAGTTGGTGTTACTAGTGGGATAACATTCACCATTCATTTGTGATACATACGACATTAAATCCTTTGTTCTTTGACGTTCTATTTAAACCATATATGCCCTAGATAAAGTTCTTTTCACCAGCATCCATTTCACTGTCTGTTCATCAGAGATGTTAGGTGATCTCGGTGAGCATTGAGAGGAATCCATTTTGGATTTACTAGTTCACGTGACTATCACATTTAACTACAAAACCGTGCGGTTATCTCGACCCTTGTTTAAATGTTGCTCGCTGTCAAATTGTGGTTTGCACGACGACACTATTTCTACCCATAAGGTGTCAACTATAACTGGAGGACTGTTCACAAGGGACCGCCTCCGTGGTCTAGTGGTAGATCGTCCGCCCGGAGAGCGGAAGGTCCGGGGTTCGAATCCCGGCCGCGTCATACCAAAAGACGTATAAAGATGGTACTTGTTGTTTCCCTGTCTGGCGCTCGGCATTAAGGGGCTAAAACAAGGACTGGTCGGCTCGGAGTCAGTATTCTGTGCCTGAGTGGGGTATTCCTGTTAAACTGCGGCATGGTATCTCAGTGTGCTAGCACTATAAATCGGCATCAGTCCGGACTAGTACAAGCAGCCACACACGTGCATGCACGTCGCTATATAAGTGGAATAATCTTGGACGCGACGTTAAACCCAATTTCACCTCACCTCACCTGTTCACAAGGGCGTTAAACCCAGTGATATTTGATAGTGATACATAAACACATGCTCTTGATATAGTCGATATCGTACAATAGATTCTGTTTTTAGCTGAGATTTCTATTGAATATGGAAGGGTTTTGTCGTTTTTATTTATAAGGATGAATTGACGATACACATAGGACATGAATCTCGTGTGAAACGGATGCCCATCTATTCAGCTCTGTCTCTGAGCGAATGCGTCCAGTTGTTAATAATTGTCGAAAGAGGATTTATATATATTTACAGGTAGTTGTGTCGCCGGCTGATGAGGCTTACATATATTTACAGGTCGCCGGGGGGTGAGGGTTTCCATATATTTACAGGTAGCTGTGTCACCAGCTGATGAGGGTTTCCATAACATTTACAGGTCGCCGGGGGGTGAGGGTTTCCATATATTTACAGGTAGCTGAGACGCCTGCTGATGTGGGTTTCCATATATTTACAGGTAGCTGCGAAGCCGGCTGATGCGGCTTTCCATATATTTACAGGTAGCTGTGTCGCCGGCTGATGATGGTTTCCATATATTTACAGGTGGCTGAGACGCCGGCTGCTGAGGGTTTCCATATGTTTACAGGTAGCTGTGTCGCCGGCTGATGAGGGTTTCCATATATTTACAGGTGGCTGAGACGCCGGCTGCTGAGGGTTTCCATATGTTTACAGGTAGCTGTGTCGCCGGCTGATGAGGGTTTCCATATATTTACAGGTAGCTGAGACGCCGGCTGATGAGGGTTTCCATATATTTACAGGTAGCTGTGTCGCCGGCTGATGATGGTTTCCATATATTTACAGGTGGCTGAGACGCCGGCTGCTGAGGGTTTCCATATGTTTACAGGTGGCTGAGACGCCGGCTGCTGAGGGTTTCCATATGTTTACAGGTAGCTGTGTCGCCGGCTGATGAGGGTTTCCATATATTTACAGGTAGCTGAGACGCCGGCTGATGAGGGTTTCCATATATTAACAGGTAGCTGAGACGCCGGCTGATGAGGGTTTCCATATATTTACAGGTCGCCGGGGGGTGAGGGTTTCCATATATTTACAGGTAGCTGAGACGCCGGCTGATGAGGGTTTCCGTTTATTTACAGGTAGATGTGTCGCCGGCTGGTAGCGTGGCGCGACACGTGGCACAAGCCATTACAATTGTATACAAACACAAATCTGAAACCACTGTCACTAAGGCACAAAAATCAATCTTCATCTTTATTCTACAAAATGGCAAACAATTTAGCACCAGCTTATCTCTGCTACCTAATCTCAGACCATGGTCCACTTGCACAAAGCGATCTTAGCGCTAGGACTATCGTAAGCCTATATTAAGGAATTGCAGTTACGCTCATCTTAGCCGTAAGATTGCTTTGTGAAGGTGAGCCCAGGTTAAGGCTAGCAGTGAGCCTTAGAATCTCCTCAGATATCCAAATACCAGTAATTAGATGTAAGACTGAACACTGAATTATTTATACCTAACTCCACAAAATTATGGAATAATCTATCTGAAGAAATTAAATCTACTGGCTCAAATGTTCAAAATGTAATATCATGCAATAACAATTACAAACATTTCTTTAATACAGGGGGGGCACAGGTGGCCCAGTCGTCTAAGGCGCCGCGATTAGCTGTGCAGAGTTGCGTCCCTTGGGCGCGCCAGAAACCTATGATTGTGGGTTCGAATCCCGGTTCGCCCCGATTATGTTTCTAGGTTTGTCAGCACCATACCCGTGCTCGTGGGTTTCACCGAAGTGGTAAACGTCTGAGACCTGCATCACTTCGGGCTTTCCTCCCACATTAAGCTGACATACCGTGATATAACTGGAATACTGTTAAAAGTGGCGTTAAACCCAACTCACTCACTCACTCACTCTGACAATCAAAACCGGACACTGCTGATCATGTTTGATAACTGACCACCAAGGTATTTTTGTTTAAATATTTTGTAAAACACCTCGACCATCTTTTCCTTGATTTCTCTGTAGGGAGAGGCATTCAAAACAGCGCTGTCTTGTTCACCGATCAAAATTTTCAGTTGAAACAAAAATATTTTTAAACCATCTATGTCGCAGGGTGATGGGCATCCCGGTTTTTTTGCAGGTAGCTGTGTCGCCGGCTGATGACGGGCCGTGCTTTGAGTTCAGTGGAAACAGTTCTTATCTGGAGTTTGAACCCGAAAACTTTGATCTGTATGACAGGTTGGTTCTTGTATTCCTTCGTGCTTGTGTGCGTGCGTGCGTGCGTGCGTGCGGGGTCGTTTATTGCTATCGGGTAACCCAGTCGTCTAAGGCAAAGCAATTCTTATTGCCGAGTTACGTCCTTTGTGCGTACCAGGTAATGGGCACGAATCCCTGCTCGCGTGGATTATGTTTTAAGGTTTTTCAGAACCGTACTCGTGCCTATCGGTCCCGCTAAAGTAGTAAACTTGCATGACTTGTATCACTTCAGGCTTTCCTCCCACATCAAGCTGACACGCCGTGATGTAACTGGAATACTGTTCCATAGCGGCGTTAAACCAAGGCTACACTCACTCACTCCCACATCAAGCTGACACGTCGTGATATAACTGGAATACTGTTCAAAGCGGCGTTAAACCAAGGTCACATACTCACTCCCACATCAAGCTGACACGCCGTGATATAACTGGAATACTGTTCAAAGCGGCGTTAAACAATGTCACACACCCCACCCAGCATCAAGCTGACACGCCGTGATATAACTGGAATACTGTTCAAAGCGGCGTTAAACCAAGGTCACATACTCACTCCCACATCAAAGCTGACACGCCGTTATATAACTGGAATACTGTTCAATGCGGCGTTAAACCAAGGTCACAATTTACTCCCACATCAAGCTGACACGCCGTGATATAACTGGAATACTGTTCAAAGCGGCGTTAAACAATGTCACATACTCACTCCCACATCAAGCTGACACGCCGTGATATGACTGGAATACTGTTCAATGCGGCGTTAAACAAAGGTCACATACTCACTCCCACATCAAGCTGACACGCCGTGATATAACTGGAATACTTTTCAAAGCGACGTTTAACCCATCTTCCCGAGGCAACTGACTATAAAAGTCCAGTTTCCACCCTTGCCGAACTAGGCTGAAATTCCTGGGCTCTGTCGTAGCGCCACCACTGGCTATTACGAGTTATGTCCCTTCTAAGCCTCTCCTTTAGACCAATCAGATTCCACGTCTCGTATCACTTGCATTTGCTTCAAACAAAACAGTGGCACCCAGTCAAGACGATCTGATCGATAACCAAGGCCTATGTTGTGATAAAACGGGTCTTACATCACGCAATGCGTGAGCACCTTGATTTTAAACATGAAAAGATTTGGAAAATATCTGTTGACAACGAGTTGGCGGTGCACATGCTTTGAAAACCCTTCAATCGACCGAAATCTGCACGACAGTTTACGAACCGAATTTCGAATTCGTTGCACGATTTTGATTGGACTATGCATGGACTCGTTAGTCCAGCCAAAATGTAACTCCATAATACCAGCCCAGTTCGGCAAGGGTGGAAACTGGACTTTTAAAGTCAGTTAACACTCTTGCCTCGGGAAGATGCGTTTAACCACAATTCCTCACTCATTCCCACATCAAGCTAACACGTCGTGATATAACTGGAATACTGTTCAAAGCGGCGTTAAATCAAGGTCACACACTGCTCCCACGTCAAGCTGACACGCCGTGATATAACTGGCATACTGGTCAAACCAAAATCATTCATTGCAGGACAATTGTGATAAATCAATAGATCTATCAACCACTAACTCCTAAATCGATATCCAAATGTCTGAGTCAGCGTTCTGTGCGTGTTTCAGCGCTCACTACAAACTGAGCTTCAAGACCACCCAGCAGAACGGCATCCTCCTGTATGCCCGCGGCTCCCACGACTACGAGGCCATCTACATCCGCGGCGGCAAGCTCATCTACGACCTCTACAACCCCACGTCAGGCGGCGCCGGGGGCACGTTCGGGGTGCACTTTGAGAGCAATGGTCTCGTTAACAACGACAGATGGGTTTCGGTAAGGACTGATCCTGAATCATATTTGGTTGAATGGTTGAATGGGGAAATCAACGGATTCAACCAGAGCCAAAAGAGATAATCATAAAATGAAATACAGATATTTTAAATATTACATTTTACCCGATTGCTCTTTCTTTGATGAATTTGGGAAACTTAAAAAAGACACATCTGCAGAAATAAAAGAAAACTTGTTGGATGATAATAGTTATTTTACATAACCCCTTATAAAGAGCTTTTTTTTTATTTTAGGGCACACGACCCGTAAAGATCAGGGTTTGAATAGGTCTTCAGCAACCGTGGTTGCCGTAAAAGGCGACGATGCCTGTCCTAAGAGGCGCCTAACGGGTTGATGCATGTCATCGTATCCAAATTGCGCGGATCGATGCTCATGATGTCCATCACTGGATTGTCTTGTCCAGACTCGATTATTTACAGACCGCTGTCATATAGCTGGAATATTACTGAGTGCGGCGTTAAACAACAAACAAACAAACAAACAAAACAAACAATTATAAAGAGCACAATGCTACTGTGTTGCAAAACATTCATTTGCGAACATACATTGCTCAAACGTTTTTTTCTTTACTTAAAAGCATCAGAATCTCTGCACTTGCACACAGCAGACGTTATTCAAAATTAATCATAGTCTATCTCTTGGTTGTGGTTTGTTTATATACCGCCGTCAAAAGGCAAGAGTACTGCTGTGTGGTGTCGGGCTACAAACACGTCCTTTTTTATGCAAACTGTGTGTATGGCGGGTGATATCGAGAGGGCAGCACATGCTTATCCTTTTCGCGAACACCTGATCCATAAGACCGCCTCCGTGGTCTAGTGGTAGAGCGTCCGCCCGGAGAGCGGAAGGTCCGGCGTTCGATCCCCGGCTGCGTCATACCAAAAACGTTAAAAGATGGTACTTGTTGTTACCCTGTCTGGCGCTCGGCATTAAGGGGCTAAAACAAGGACTGGTCGGCTCGGAGTCAGTATACTGTGTCTGAGTGGGGTATTCATGTTAAACTGCGGCATGGTATCTCAGTGATCTAGCTCAATAACGTGACGTTAAACTCATTTTCACCTCACCTCACCTCTTTATTCGGTACAGGTACTTACATAGGTAGGTATGCCACAAAGTATCTTTGCGCCGTGTTGATCCTCTGGATCAAAGCTATCTTGTTTTCACTGTACCTCGCTAACCCGTAAGGTTCATGCCATATGCATTACATTTGCAACATACCAACCACAGTTTTGTATCTCGAATTCATGATGTAAGACGCCATTCTCCGGATATTTACGATATTTTCCCGAATGATATAGACCTAGGGGGAATAACTCTAAATTTGAGTTATGTCGTCTGCTACTTCCATGAATGTGAAACAGGAATGAAGTTATAAATGTCCAACTGTGGTATCCTTACCGATTCGGGCCAAAACAGGCATACGACATACCTGCAATATAATTTGGTGTGCGGTGAGATAGATTCCTTGTCCGCCGGTCCCTCTGCGGTCATGGGCTGATGTACCCTCGAGTTTGAGCATCTTCCTGAGGCAAGGGAGTTAACTGACTATAAAAGTTTCCACCCTTGCCGAAATAGGCTGTCTATTACGAGTTACGAGTCCCTTCTATGTCCCTTCTATTGACCAATCAGATTCCATCACACATATCACTCGCATTTGCTTCAAACAAAATGGCGGCGCCCAGTCAGGACCCATTCGTGACCAACTCGTGTTATTCCGGGACAAGCCGAATAGCGACTCGTGCCCCTCTCGTGGCCATTTTTGCGACCGGGTTCCGTTCTTAGCGCAAACTGGCAGACCTAAAACAATTGTCAATTCGTTGTGTAATGGTTCACATATATTTCGCCATATATCATATATATTTCAGATTCAATTTAAAGCACATCGGGACTTGCGGAATTATACAGTATGATTGAAAACATTTAACTGTGTCTTGGGTATATTTTTAGATGCAAGACATATGTAAAATCAAAAATCATTGCTGAGGGATTCTTTGACGAAGTACTTGAAATCATACGCGCATTCTGATTGGTTTGTCGTATTTTCGCTCATAACATTCATCGATAGGGGGACGAGTCTTCTTGCAGGTTACGGAAAGGGGCGAGTGGTGACGAATGAGTCAGGACGATCTGATCGATAATCTAGGTCTCTTTTGCAATAAAACGGGTTTTACCCGCATTACCTGCATTAAATCACTGAAGCACCTTATTTGAAAAACATGCAAAGATTTGCAAAATATCTGTCGCCGCCCAGTTGACGGTACACATCCTTTGCAGTCGACCGGTATCTGCACGATTAACTCCATGTTGTTTACGAACTCTATCTCTAGTTCGTTACGCGATTTTGATTGGACTATGCATAGATTCGTTAGTCAAGTCAAAAACTCCAGGAAACATAAACTAACATGGAGAGTATGTTTACCCATGTCCCCCTAAAGACCACTGGAGTAAGTGAGTGAGTTGGGTTTAACGCCGCCTTTAACAGTATTCCAGTTATATCGCGGCGTGTCAGCTTAATGTGGGAGGAAAGCCCGAAGTGATGCAGGTTTTAGACGTTTACCACTCCGGTGAAACCCACGAGCACGGGTACGGTGCTGACAAACCTAGAAACATAATCGTGGCGAACCGGCATTCGAACCCTCAATCATAGGTTTCTGGTGTGCCCAAGGGACGCAACTCTGCACAGCGAATCGCGGCGCCTTAGGCGACTGGGCTGCCTGTGCCCCCCCCCCCCCCCCCCCCCCCCCCCCCCCATCCCCACCCCCAAAAAAGACCGCTGGACAACTTATGATATGAAAAGACTGTTTAAGAGATAATATGTGGAAAAGAAGAACAAAAATAATATATTTGGGTGGTGGTCGTGAATTAACTGGAATAAATCAAAGCACATTGAACCCAAATCACTCACTCACTGATTGTGCTGCAGGTGGAGGTGTTCCGTAACCGCCGCGTCCGCCGAGGGGCCGCCAGGATGCCCGGGCAGCAGCCCCCATTGATGTCTGGCCTCGTTCTGGAGTCCGATGGCGAAGAGGAGGAGCATGTGCAGGAAGTGACGTTAGTCGGGGTTCACATCCAAGGTCTCGTGTATGTCGGCGGCGCTGGACGAGATCTGGTGGGTAGATGGTGTTTATAATGTTTTTAATCCTACCTGTCACCACTTCAAGTACTGATTGTGGTACAGAGAGACTCTGTTCTGAGCTCTGATCCCTATTAGGGAGCGGTCCTTCATTGTGAGGGTAGGGCTTGGTGGGATGAGGGGTGGAGGTGTCAGAGGTTTTTGATGCACTAATGTACGGAAAATAATAATTACCCTCCCCAAATGCTTGTCATATTTTTGGATGACCGTCCTCATGAACTTGTATTTTTCGTGACCCTTCCCGAAGAGACAAAATGCAAAAACACTTTATATTTTATAATAAAATGTCCTCCTTTTCATATGATAATATGTGTATTATTGTTTATGACCCTCGTCTAGAGACTGGCATATGTCTTGGTGAGTTAACTGACCAAAAAGGTCCAGTTTCCACCCTTGCCGAAATAGGCTGGAATTTCGTGGCTCGGTCGAAGCGCCACCAGTGGCTATAACGAGTTATGTCCCTTCTATGTCCCTCCTATTGACCAATCAGATTCCACCTCTCATTTCACTTGCATTTGCTTCAAATAAAATGGCGGCGCCCAGTGAAGATGACCTGGTCGATAATCAAGATCTATATTGTAATAAAAAGAGTTTTACTTTGCAAAGTGCATAAAATCACGTGAGTACCTTAATTAAAAAAATGAAGATTTGGAAAATAATTGTTGACGCTTAGTTGATCGTACACATGGTTTGCAAATCCTGCAGTCAACCGAAATCTGCACGGCAGTTTACGAACCGGATGTCGATTTCGTTATGCGATTTTGATTGGACTATGCATAGACTCGTTAATCCAGCCTAGTTCGGCAAGGGTGGAAATTGGACTTTTACAGTCAGTTAACTCACTTGCCTCGCGAAGATGTCAAATGCCCCATCCTCTATTATCCAGTGTATTATATATTCCACTCTATTACTATGAGAACTTGTATATCTTCAGTTGGTGTCTGGTTCGAAATTAGCCGTGGTATCATGGTACACCACGTGCGTTTGGTTATTAAAACAGGAGTCACCAGAGTTAACATGCACGTCGCTGTGCAATAATCTTGAACGCGACGTAAAACCCGTTTTCACTTTTTGTCATTAGGGGGCGGTGTGGTAGCCTAGTGGTTAAGGCGTTCGCTTGCACGTTGAAGACCTAGGTTCGATTTCCGACATGGGTACAGTATGTGAAGCTCATTTCTGTTGTCCCCCGCCGTGCTATTGCTGTAATATTGCTAAAAGCGGCGTAAAACCATACTCACCCACTCTTATTAATAGGCATTCGGCAGGCTACAACCTACTGGGACAATGTTAAGTGGGTATTCAGAGGCGAAATCGTACCTGTCTCGTTACAGAGTTTGTTATTTACTTAAAAGGTTATAATTCTTTCTAAATTAATATAGATAATAAAGGAAATATTTGAGGTAGCAGACATTTAAAGTGTTGTTTTAATTGGGACTACAGTTTTGCGTCAGCCTGGTTCCCTGAGTATGCTGCGCTGGCGCGACACTGTAGCGCCAGCGCAGCATACCCAGGGAACCAGGCTGAGTTTTGCTTCAGCTCAATTTTAGAACTTAATACAAGAACCTGCCTGTTTCAGAGCCCGACAGTCCGAGAGTTTAAAGGGAAGATCAGCGACATATGGGAACTAAAGAATGACAAGCGTTTTGAAGACCCCTCCCGTAACAGCGGAGTGACCCGTTGCTTGCCCAACAGAGGCTCCGAATGAGGCGTCGCTACTACAGCACTGTGCGGAGTTTTTTGCCTGGTTGGGGATTTCGATTCTCAACATGCATTATTTTACCGACTTGCTTCGGAGTTTCATTGATGGTGTTAAATCAGTATGAGTTCAAAGTATCGCCTTTAATCGTAGTTAATAAACTCTAGCTAAGTTATTTCCGAGAAAGGAAGGGGAATTCATCGACTGGTACTGTGTTTCATTCGCAGGTATCAGATAAATTGTTTTCGAAACACACTGAATTCCATAGGGTTTTAAATGCTGTCGGACGGACAAAATTCGATAAATGTTATTGATTCAAACCATATTGGCTTTGTATACAAATATCGTTGGTTTCTGTTTCTCGGGATTTAACATGTGCAGTTGTTTATCAAATTGACTTTTTTAACATAAGGGTCGGGGTTAATGAGATTTCACTGTATAACTGTCTACATTTCTTTTTGTCTGCATTTTATCAGTTAAATGTCCGTGTTTAAATGTTTTACCACGGAGTCGGATGCATGACGCTGTTAGCATCGGAAGTTGAAGTGTTAACGCAACAATCAAAGGGAGGGAACTCAGTACGCATTAATGACCCGAAGACAACATAATTGCGAAGTGAACATTTTGTACAGATTTTACTCCTCTTCAAATACTCTGCATCCTGATAGCTAAATTCATAATTCTCATTTACTCAAAGTCAATTTTATTCGGATTCTGCACATTTACTGATATCTTAATATTGATGTATGATTAAATAAAAATATGACTTGGAATAAGTTTGATCAATCGTCGAAATGTACACAACAAAATTAATTGGTGAAGGGGCTTTGTTATTTCAAATAAATTGTATTCCACTTCAAAATAACAAATATATTAAGTGGGCAAATACATTACTTTCAAGTAAGTAGACACGATAAAATTAATGATGGGAGTCTTGTATGCATTATTTGAAATAAAAAAAAATTGAAAGTATTTTATGAACGCTTTACTTGTGATAATAGGACACTTCCTCACATTTCTTGTGACAATGGACTCAATGTTGTGTTTTTTGCAGTCCTTTTCAATTTGACAAACATCACTCAATAGTATCATGAATACAGTTCTTCGTTTCCGTCGCTGTGGCGTGGTCACAGTTGTATCACAAGCTTCATACAATCAAAGGGAGGTCGGGTAGCCTAGTGGTTAAAGCGTTCGCTCGTCACGCCGAGGACCCGGGTTCGAATCCCGACATGGGTACAATGTGTGAAGCCCATTTCTGGTGTTCCCCGCCGTGATATTGCTGGAATATTGCTAAAAGCGGCGTAAAACCAAACTCACTCAATCATACAATCAAACATGATACCTCTGAAAAGTTTGACTGTTCGTACAGCGTTCATTGCAATGTTTGACTCATTGCTTCGTTATCTCCAGCCCTTTTCCCATTCGTGACCAACTCGTGTTATTCCGGGACAAGCCGAATCATGCAGGTTACGGAAAGGGGCGACGAATGCCCTTTTCAAATTCCCAATTTCCCAAATTGCTCAACGCCAGATATTCGGCCGATATTTTTAGTCAATAAATTACTTCTGAACTATTTAGTTAATACTTCTGAACTAGATACCTTTGAACCATGACGGTGACGCCAGGTTCTTATTTATGCAGTGGATTCTGAGCCAGGACCTCCCGTTACGATTCCGGGTTAGAGTTGGTCTTCAGCAAACCATGCTTGTTGTAAGAGGCGGCTAACGGGATCGGGTGGTCAACTCGCTGAATCTACAGATTCGAGTGATTTCTTCATTACGGAATGAATTGATTTTTTCACCCTCGCTGTCTTGGAAAAAAACCAACGGTGACCGATGCAGGAAGATTACTAAATGTTTGTTTTGTTTGTTGTGTGTTGTTTAACACCGCACTCAACAATATTCCATCTATATGACAACAGTGTGTTAATAATCGTGTCTGGACCAGATATTCCAGTAATTGACATCATGAGCATCGATCCACGCAATTGGGATGACATGCATCAACCAAGTCAGCGAGTCTGACCACCCGATCCCGTTAGTCGCCGCTTACGACAAGCATAGTCGCCTTTTACGGCAAGCATGGGTTGCTGAAGACCTACCCTACCCCGGATCTTCACGGGTCTACTTCATATGAAATATCTATTTGTCATAAATCACAAAAAAAATATTTTGATCATGAATAAAAATACATATTGCTCAAATTGTCCATCTGAAATATTTTTTTGTAATGCTTCACAAAAAAGATGTTGGTGATAAATAAAAACAACCTTCATATTACGAGCCAGATTAAATAGATTAGTGAGTGAGTGAGTGAGTGAATATGGTTATACGCCGCTTTTAGCAATATTCCAGCAATATCACGGCGGAGGACACCAAAAATGGGCTTCACATTTGTACCCAAGTGGGGAATCGAACCCGGGTCTTCGGCGTGACGAGCGAACGCTTGAAGCATCAGGCGACCGCCTCCGTTGTCTAGTCGCAGAGCGTCCGCCCGTAGAGCAGAAGGTCCGGGGTTCGATCTCCGGCAGCGTCATACCAAAAGACGTTAAAAGATGGTATTTGTTGTAACCCTGTCGTTAAGGGGCTAAAACAAGGTCGGCTCGGAGTCAGTATACTGTGTCTGAGTGGGGTATTCATTTTAAACCGCGGCATGGTATCTCAGTGAGCTAGACAATAAATCGGCATCAGTCCATACTAGTACAAGCAGCCACACACACACACACACACACACACACATGCATGCACGTCGCTGTGTAAGTGCTATAATCTTGGACGCGAAGTTAAACCTCACATCACCTTAACCCAACCCCCCGAAAAAGAGTAGAAAGAAGCCATATTTTGTTAATCGAAACATGTCATTGCGCGCCACAGTTGTGCAATAACAGTCAAAACGTTGAAAGTTGTTAAATTAGTGAAGGTCGCAAGGTTAAAGCCCCTCAAATATCACCACGACGCACGGTTTATTCACGAGGAAGTTAAATTCCAAACTCCTCACATCGTTATCTTGCTCCCTAAACCGAAGGATAACGAAGGCGTCGTGAGCGTGAATGGAGCTTGGTTATTATCGCAGACACGTGACCTCCAACTTCTCCTTACAACTGACAGAAAGGTGATGTTTGAAGTTGTAATGTATGCCCTTAAAACGATATTTGCGCCGCTAAGAATCCCGTCTACTTGAAGTAATATGGTACTGTCAGTTTCATTGGAGCAGGTGAATTGAACTCTTCGTTGAAAGCGCCATGATATCTGAAACAACCCGCCTCACTGAATACATTTACATACCACCCAAGAACCATGACATATAAGAAATCGATTTGTCCGATATATATAAATATCTACATTTGATGTAAGAGGCCACGACAGAAGTGCGTCTCGCGAGACGCTTAACTGTTTTAGGAGGCACGGGTGGCTCAGTCGTCTAAGGCGCCGCGATTCACTGTGCAGAGTTGCGTCCCTTGGGCACACCAGAAACCTATGATTGTGGGTTCGAATCCCGGTTCGCGCCGATTATGTTTCTAGATTTGTCAGCACCATTACCGTGCTCGTGGGTTTCACCGAAGTGGTAAACGTCTGAGACCTGCATCACTTCGGGCTTTCCTCCCCCATTAAGCTGACGCGATGCGATATAACTGGAATTCTGTTAAAATCGGCGTTAAATCCAACTCACTCACCTAACTGTTTTAGCGTACAAGTATATAGACAAAACTTACACCAGACGAAGGAGATAATAATTTTATTGACCTCTGTCCACAATACAATGACAGTGAGCGTCACAGTGTACCATGTAAAACTAGCAGGGAATAACCGTTTATTATTTGTGCGTGTGCGTGCATGAGCGAGTGCGTGTATGTGTGTGTGCGCATGTGAACGGTTATGGGGCTGACAAGCCCATAATCCCAATCCGGGTGAATTTGGGATTCAAACCGACTATCATAAGTTCCTGCTTCACCTAAGGGACGCAACTCTGCACAGCGAATTGCCCCGCGACTGGGCCACTCCTACTTAAATGTCGAAGTGTTAAAGTCGACCAAGGAGTATCTGGGATTTCGACAAACGATCATAGGATCCTGACAAGTCAAAGGGAAGTAATTGAGCAAAACACACTAATGCTCCTTTAACGACTGGACCAAATGTGCCCCCTTCGTAGACACAAACACAATGAGCCCACGGTCTATCAAATAGTCGATTTTATGTCATCATTGTCTGGCGTTGTCCTGTGAAATATGCGTTCTTCACTGTGTGCTTCAGACAGATTTGGGTCGACAGTAAACAATACTATGTGTCCTCGTCCAACTTGACAAGACATTTATGCTATCTATACCACCGGGAGACCACACTGCAAACACGAAAACGTCGTTTTTTTCCGATAAAAAAACCATCCGATAACATCTGTACACCCTTGTTGATGGCGTTGATGCGGGGGAGTGGTTGCGGCGATCACCGTCACCCCTAGCCTGCGCCTAATTAAAACAGCTAATGGCCCCTGAATTCGTAAAACAAATAAAAAAACATATTGCGTACGTACATCACCAGCAAGAACAGAGATGAAACAAAACAACGTGTAGATGTTTGTATTTAAAGCGCTATGGGCCTATTCCGAAATGCATATTCTGCTAAATATACTCATTCGCATTCACTTGACTGTCGATTCTTACCCTGAGTGTAACCACGTGATCAAAACTCAATGATGATGTTTATCGAAAACAAAATGGATATTACTTGAAAAACGCACTTTTCATATTTAGTCATAACTGTAAGTAACTCGTATATATCAAATACAGCCCATGCAAGTCTATAATGTTTGGCAAGTCTAGATTACTGCAGTATCTGAAAATGAAGAGAGTCACTGGGCTCCCTTTTATTATATTTTTATTAAGATAACTGAACAACTGTTTTTTCTGTATGATATGTTCATTTCAGAGACTAGATGTTAGTCTAGTGTTCCAGATTTTAAGTGTGAAAGATTTTCGTACATCACATTATACTTCAACTACGAGGTCTCAATCAGGGAAAGTAAAGTAATGTTATTTGCGGAGAGTAGTTGGATGGGTGACTGTTTTCAACAGCTTGACTACTGAGTGATTCTTGGGCTTCTAACCCACATTGAAACACATATTACATGTGATTTTCTCTTTAGCAAATGATATGGTATTGTGACATTCCCGCACCCCATGAGGCAGGCTGACTAGTATACACCCCAGGGAGCTGAGAATGAAATTCAAGTGCACACCGATCCATGTATAGGCATATTAAGGCTTGGATGTCGATCTATAAATATAAACACGAGCACTATTATCAAGTACTGAATTGACTATTCAAGAATATATTCCATTTCGCTTTGGCAGAGGAGTACATGGTTTCAGGTCGGGTAATGTCTAAGACACTGATTCCAAAATGTTCGAATGATATATTCCAGTGAGTGAGTGAGTGAGTCGGGTTTAACGCCGCTTTTAACATTATTCCAGTTATATCACGGCGTGTCAGCTTAATGTGGGAGGAAAGCCCGAAGTGATGCAAGTCTCAGATGTTTACCACTTCGATGAAACCCACGAGCACGGGTATGGTGCTGACAAACCTAGAAACATAATCGGGGCGAACCGGGATTCGAACCCACAATCATAAGTTTCTGGCGTGCCCAAGGGACGCAACTCTGCACAGCGAATCGCGGCGCCTTAGACGACTGGTCCACCCGTGTCCCCTGATATATTCCAGTTTGGTAATGAAGTTGAATATCCTGTCAAAAGTTCAGATCATGAAAATGTCCTGATGCCGTCTGTCTTGTGGACATTAGATAAACCTCGGCACTTTTGTAAATCTTCGGCGCAAGGTTCGAACCCCACTGTGGCGATACACATGTTTCATCGAATCAAATGATAAAAATAAAATAGAAGTGATGTTTAAGCAGCAATTCAATTAGTTAATCCTCGGTTTAAACAAAAGTGTCATGGTTTTGAATCCGTTCTTGCCCGA